GCCCCCCCCCCCCCAAGTTCAATGGATGATCCATAGGACTTTAGTTGCAAGATTTGAAGAGGGACATATCTAGACTGTGGATAAGGTTGTGAACTAATGCTTTTATGAGCTAGAGATAGGTAGAAATCAAGATTATATGGATTGGAAACGACTGGAAAAAATTATGCATGGAGGAATACTGCCAAATAGTAATAATAATGTGTTACAATGTGCAACACCTAGTCACGAAAACAAAAGGACTTTTTAGTTAGCTTTTTAGTGTGCCTTGTCAGCAACCTTCTGGATATGGGAAAAAGAATCAACTACACTCCCGCATGATGTCTGTCTAGACTCGTCCATCATCTTCTCGAGAGGGTATAGCAGCGTCATCCTTTAGTTTACCGCTGTCCTTCACTTGGTATAGAAATGGAAAACAAGGATTTGTTTTGCGGATGCAACGAGCACCAAACGCATTTGAATGGTTGCTTGTTTGAAAGCTGGTGACCGTGACAGTTGTTCATCTCACCAATTGATTAGGATGTCTTTTTTTCTTTTTGCGTTCATGCAGTCCATTCCTTGAGTTTCTTGATAAAAAAATGGACGGTTTAGATTGTTTCTCTGAGAGATCCTTCCAGTGTGTTTGCTTTTGTGATTCTTGGGGGATTATTGAGTTTTAACATTAGGGAGAGATCTTTGATGCTGCGTACTGGCTGAAGAATTTAGAACATTTGCTATGGTTCACATGCTTAACAAACCAAAAAAAAGGTGTTCACATGGGATACAGACTCAGCCTAACTAAGTAGAATGTAAAGCCTATTGCAAGTGTTTTTACAAGAACTAGGGATGGGATGAGCATAGGCTGTGATGGAAAGTTGTCTTTTTGAGCTGCTAATTATCAGAATATGCATATTATGTGATGTCTTAATTCTTTAGCATGTGATAAAAAATTACGTTGATATGGTTACTCCAGGTTCGGGGATGGTAAAAACCTATGTTTTTACGGCTCGCTATATTCTTTTGTTTGTATCGTAAGTGCATGTCTTTGAAACTGATAAAAGCCGCATAACAGATGAAATCAGCACATATATATTTTTTTTTAATTTTTTTTCCTTTAACTGCAATTATTTGGGGAGATAGTTATTTCCATTTCTGGGTATGGAACATAGCCAAACCGATTATAAATAGCCCTGGCTGCTACGGAATATCTGTACTCCCTTTGGCTTCTATCATCTTTCTTCTTGTCTGTTGAGCGATCATGGACAAAATGAAGTTGGATTACAGGGGTAAAAATCCGTTGAAGGAACTTGAGAGGATCACCATGAATGCTGCTGAAGTTCAAGAGCACATTTTACAGGAGATCTTAGGACAGAACAAGGACACTCAGTATCTGAGTAAGTACATGAAAGGGTCAGAAGACATCAGCGAGTTCAAACGTTCTGTCCCTGTTATCAAATACAAAGATATATATCCTTATATCCAGAGAATTGCTAATGGAGAAGACTCCTCTCTCGTCACTGGTCATCCAATAACTGAAATATTATGCAGGTCACTTCTCTTTACTATATTAGACCACTACTCTGCTTCTTTCCTTTTCTTCTGTTGTGTTTCTTATATAACTAAAGAAAGTGTCTGTTTCTTGCATGTTGCAGTTCAGGGACTTCTGCCGGAGAGCCGAAGCTAATGCCATCAATTGCCGAAGATCTTGACCGCCGGACTTTTCTCTACAGTCTCATCATGCCAATTGTGAACCAGTTAGTGAACCCTCTCTCCTACTTGTAATCTCTTCATTCTTAGTAACTTCTTCTGTTGTCATCTTCCCTAAGGAAGAGATGATATAACTCTTATTAGGACACAATGCACATAATACTTACTTGATAATGGACCAAAGTGGCTGATCTCATGGTACCATGGTGGCTTGGGGTTTTTCCCAAAGCTGGACATTGAAGGCATCACATCACGTGTGAAACATGAAAATATGACAAAATGCTGTGGATTTGTTTTTACTGATAAGCGTCGTAAATATGGTTTCCTCGTCATTTTAGCACTAACATGTGGGATCGGGAATATGTACCGGCACTTTCGGCTTTAGTACTGGGCCGTGGTACCATGATGGATTTTGATGGGTTTCACTAACAAAAAAAGTTTCATTTTTTTGTTGTTGTTGCACATAATGCTTTATATTTCGTCATTAGTGTAGTAGCACCGTACCATCATTGGAGCATCTTGCCTCTATAAAGACATCGTCATAATATGCTGCAACCTCTATCCACACGTCCTTTCACACCCTTCAAAGGGTCCCATAAAAAGATTCTTGGAGTTTTGGTAGCACTCGCATTTAGCCAGAGTCATTCGAACGTGAACCTTTCCACTGACGTCAGCTATTTTCTGACAGGAGTTTAGTTGTGTCTGAAGATTTATCTGCTTGTTCCTGCAGTCACTCTTATTTTCACTGCTTTAAGCTGTTGTCTTGTGAAAGATTTACTGCTTTTAACCTTAATCGTAAATGATACCACTTAATTCTTGGAATATCTTTAGGTATATACCTGGACTTGACAAGGGAAAGGCCATGTATTTATATTTCGTCAAGGCTGAAACCTCCACTCCCGGTGGTTTGCCGGTTCGAGCCGTGCTCACTAGCTACTACAAGAGCAAGCACTTCAAGTGCCGACCTTATGATCCGTTCAATGATCTTACCAGCCCAATTCCGGCTGTCCTATGCGAAGACAGCAACCAGAGCATGTACTGTCAGTTGCTGTCTGGTCTGGTTCACCGCCACCAGGTCATGCGCCTCGGAGCCGTCTTTGCCTCTGCATTTCTCCGTGCCATATCCTATCTCGAACGTAGATGGCTCCAGCTCTGTCGTGACATCCGCGAAGGTGAGCTTGACCCGATGATCACCGACCCTGGTTGTCGTTCATCGATGTCAACCCTTCTTGAGTCGCCAAATCCCGGCCTGGCTGATGAGATAGAAGAAATCTGCAGAAGATCGTCGTGGAAGGGCATTCTGTACCATCTCTGGCCGAGGGCAAAGTTCATCGAGGCTGTGGTCACTGGCTCGATGGCTCAGTACATACCAGCGCTCCAGTTCTACAGTGGTGGGAAGTTGCCGCTGGTCTGCCCAATGTATGCTTCCTCCGAGTCTTACTTCGGGGTCAACCTGAAACCACTGTCCAATCCTGCAGACGTGGCTTTCACCCTCCTACCAAACATGTGTTATTTTGAGTTTATACCTCTGGGAGAAAACGGCTCGCTGTCTTTTGATGACAATGACGATGAGGAAGTGTCCAGTGATAAAGTTGTAGATCTGGTGGACGTTAAACTTGGTTGCTACTACGAGTTGGTGGTCACCACTTTCGCCGGTAAGAACACCTTTCCGTAAGAAAGTTCGCTTAGAATAGGATTTGATTCGGCTCGTTCTCTCCTGACAGGTTTGTGCCGTTACCGGATGGGTGATGTTCTGCAAGTGGCTGGGTTCTACAACACAGCCCCACAGTTTCGGTTCATATGCCGGAGAAATGTGGTACTGAGTGTGGACAACGACAAGACCAATGAAGAAGATCTCCACAGGAGCATCACGCTGGCTAAGAAGTTTCTGGAATCCCACAACGCGCTGCTAGTCGAGTACACGAGCTACGTGGACACCTCGTCCGTGCCTGGCCATTACGTGCTCTTCTGGGAGATACAGCACCATAGCGGAACCCCCAACGGGAAGACGGCCATGGAAGGAGAAGTGATAGAGGAGTGCTGTATCTCGGTGGAAGAAGAGCTCGACTACATATACAGGCAATGCAGGAGCAAGGATAGGTCGGTTGGGCCGCTGGAGATAAGGGTCGTGGAGGGTGGCTCGTTCGAGGCACTGATGGATCTCATCATTAGCCAGGGCGGCTCGATCAACCAGTACAAGACTCCCAGGTGCGTCAAATCCAACAGCGGTGCGCTCAAGTTGCTCAACGGCCGCGTCATCGGTTCCTTCTTCAGCCCTCGTGACCCCATTTGGGTCCCTTGACGGAACGGCCGTGGAGAAGAAGCAGCAGCAGCAGCTCGCATGAACTTTCTAATAAATAATAATAATTATTATAATTATTGGACGCAGTTTGGAGTTGAGGGTTGATGGTGCTTATGATGGGCTATCATGTTTCATCTTATGCGCTATTTTTTATAAACTATGTCCATGAATCGAATATAATTTTGATGTTTAATTATGGAATGTGATGATTTCTACATTTACATATATTTTGTAGAGTGGTGATGATATCACGTTTCAACTCTAACAATTAGATGGCATATATATTTGATATAAATCATGTTTCAACTCTAACGATTAGATGGCATAGACTTTTTGGGAATTCCCCGTAAGGACGTGTGGTTCAGAGACTTTAGATGCAATAATTAATTGATCTCCGACATGTTAAAGCATGCATGCATGTCATTTCTTTCTTCTTCTTTTTTTTTTTTTTGAAATGAAAAAAAAAATATTTGTCGCATGCTTTTACGTAATTCGAGAAAAAGCTAGTGGAAGACGAGACAGTGAAGCTGAAGGGTTAAAAAAAGAAAAGAAAAGGAAGCATGAATTCCGACACGCGCGTGCCACTTTCAAAAACCCAAAGAGAAATTTCACTTTGCCGACATATTGAGTCAAAGTCAACGCTTTTAATCTTTCATTTAATCATCCCCAAGATAGAATTGTATATACCCACCATCCCATAATTTTAATGATTTAATTCCGAATTCCAAAATGCGAAGCACCATTATAAATAAAGTTATTGCTCGATATTACGGATAGAATGTGTATACTAATACTAAGTACTTATAACCATAAAAGACAGAATCATTTATTGTAATGTATTGGGAGAGGAATAAGATTGCAATTATGGTTTGGTGGGAGCCAGAAAGCTTTGCTTTGCTTACGCAATCGCCACTAAGGACGGATGGACGAACACTGTTCCATTCCTCTATATCGAGCGATCACATGGATTGGATTTGGATAATGTATGCGCGAGTTCAATTGTATATAATGGTGGATTTTTATTTTTATTTTATTTTTTGTAATAAAAAATTTATGAAATTATTTATAACCTTTCTTTTAAACTAGAAAATATCCTTAAATTCGAATTCTGGGTAAGATTCGATACATGCGTAAAGGTCACAGGCACAAAGGGACAACTCTTCTTTAAGTGGATAAGATTTGTAAAGAATTGGGACAGCCGTCTTTATTCGAATCGAACTCTCCAACTCGGACCCTTTCAATAAGCACATGAAAAATTGGTGAATAGCGACGGGCCTCTTTAGAAATCCTCCATGGGCTTGATTGGTGTATATACCAATCTTTTACAAACACTGGAATTTTAATTTTATAACCATCGGAATGATATCATGTAATGATATCCATTTATTCAACGCAAACGTACAAAGCTCATCGCCGTAGAACCAAATCACAAACAAACATTACAACGCATATGGCACATACAGTACAAGTTGCGATAAAATCGATTAATGATGGTTGACAACACAACCATCATAACCATAGCGTGGACCTTTCTCGAGAAACCCCCTCGCGATCTCGCCGTTGGCTCCGCAAGGGAAGAAGCCGCCGGGACGGTGCTCGTCCCCTGTGCCGTACACAATCCTGAGGATCTCCTGAGGCGTACGGCCGTACGACAGCGAGTATTGGTTGGCCGAGAGGAGGTTGCTCGTCGTTCGGTTCTCGGCCCCGAGCCACAGAGGCACGGACAAGCCTTCGTCCTTGATCCCGCACATACCAAGCTCGTTCCTCAGCGTCGATAAATGGTCCGTCAGCTCAGCCACCGAGACTCCTCCGTACTCCTTGACCCTCTCGTGCTGTCTCTCGTACAGGAGCGTTCTTATGGCCGCGTCTTGTCCGGATTCCACCCCCAACAAACCACCCACCAGCTGATAGACAGATGTTTCAAGTTCTTACGTCAATTGTTTGTCTAGGTCCAAGATGCATGATTTATTATATTATAGAGTACATGCAACTTATTTACGTGGCTGATCAATAACTTCATTTTTTAGGTCCACGTACGTAACTTGGCACACACACATGTATATATGTACACATTCTACGGACAAAAACACGCCTACGTACGTCTTGTTAATTAGCATAAAATTAAAGCATACCCGTTTGACGTGGAAGTCGACGAGGAAAGGAATGGTGCCGGTATAACCGGTGAGGCCGACATAAGGGATGATATACATCGCTATGAGGTAGTTGAGTGAGTTCGCGTACGGATCGAACGGTGGATCTGATTTCCGTCCAACCGCTCTATCCACGGTCGTCGCGAAATTCTCTTTCGACAGATTCAACAGCGGCCTCTGGATCCCTCCCACCATATCCGCTATGGCCCTTCACATTCGTTTTTAACATTTATATAATGCATTCATATATACACGTCTCTCTTAATCTTACATTATCCATAACATTTTAATCTTAGCCTACCATATCCTTTCGTATCAATGTTCTCGTGGGATTACGTACGTACCTAAGGTGGCCGATTTCTTGATAAGCGAACTCCTCGACGATTTTGTTGGTTATGGGATCGAGATTGGCTTTCATGGCTCCGACCGGTGGGGGTCCACCCTTTGCGAGTGTCTTGTTGAAGGCATCAAGCCCTTTCCCCGTGGCGCCCTCCAGGAAAAACTCGGCCTCAAAGAATTCAAGGTTCATCGCGAACCGAACCCTCTCCGCATCGCTCGCGGACATGTTTCCCGAGCAGCTCGGGTGCTCATCATACTCGTGATCGTTACACGAAATTCCTAATATTTGATGCGATACAAGCAGCAACCCCAAAGAGAGATAGAGCTTGAACATATCGTCCATGATATAAAATGAAATTGCGATTTTTTTTTTAATGAATCGCTCCATACAAGAGGGTCCTTTATATAATAAAGGGTAGAGTTTTCTTGTTCGAATAAGACAATGTTGGCATCATTTTCTTTTTTGTCCGAATTATCAAAATTTAAAAGAAGTTGGTGTGATGCGTTTAATTAGGGAATGTACGTGTGCCCCAAGTTAACCCCTCGTTTTAGTACAAATGGAATGCTAACAAGTCTTTCTAACCTCTGATTACAAATGCTAATATTTTGTTCTATACGCGAACCAACTTATAACACATATTATTCATTAAAAAAGGATTATTTGTGCAGGGAAAAAATAAATAAATTATCTAGGAAACTGATTACAAAGTCCGGAGAAAATTTGAATCTGTTTTTCGAAAGGTTGTATAATTTTTTTTCCACGATTGCAAATACTGGCGGTTACTGTAGCGTATTCCCTTGAATATTTGTGAGAAAGATAATTAGGGGATGTCAATTAGATCATCTAATTTACTAAACCCATTGAAATTAGAATATGATAATAAGGGAAAGACGTAGAGAGATTGGCACCGAAATCGGATAAAGATGACCGGAGCGTAGTTGACACATGGTTTTCTAACTGGAGAAATTAGCACCTCATTTAGTTAAGGAATAAACTGTATTAAATTTAAAACAAAAAGTGTGACGATGTGTTATAATTAATCCTTTGGCTCCGACTAATTTTTAAGCAACGTTATTATATAGTTCATCTACTTATATATATATATATAATTGAATATTACACGCAAGGAAATTCATACTTTTTCTATATTTTCGGATGTACCAATTATGACGGCACCACTTGATCTTCTTAATATCTTTTTAGTCTTAATTTTTTTTTAAAAAAAATTGTATATATACATATATATATATATAGATATATATTGGTACGAGATAAACAAATAATTATATATATATACATACGCATGACGTCATGTAGATGAGATTGAGTGTGGTCAGGCAAACGGACATAGACAAGTCAGTTTCATAATTAAGCAACATCGAGATCATCTCCACGCCATTAAATTCATACCGAGCTTAATTACGTATAGGCAGACATGGACCGAGGGCATTCTCGGCATCCATGCTCCTGGCAAGGGCAAGATCCGAGATGTCAGTTGCTTGTATTCAAGCCTCGGCCAGTCCCAGGACTTAGGGATAGGACCGGAGGGAATGGGCGCTACAGCAGCCAGCTAGCCAGTTGGGTTGGGGCGCAATCGCTTTCGAAGAAAATATCCCACTAGTCCTAGTTAGGGAAGGGATGTATAGATAGAGGTTTGCCGAAGATTCCTAGAAAAAGGAGGAGTGGAAATTTTTTTAGGAAAAATTTCATTAAAAATGTTGTACTTTTCTCTAACCTTCCACATTTTTTTAGAATCTTACTAAATTATATACTTTTTTATTATCTAATAATAAAATATTTATATTTTTAAAAAATTGGTGAACAAAACTCTATACACAAAATTTGATTATTCAATACTGATATAACAAAACTTACGTCCTACACACATTACATATCATCAAACATCTAATATTTAATAATTTATATATGTTTTATCTTTTGTTTTCGTATTTATATCGATTTGACCAATTTTATCTCCATAAATTAATTAAATAATTTATCTTGCAAATCCAGATATTATATATACATATATATATATAAGTAGTTTTTCTTATTTTATTTTATTTTTTATTAATATTATTATAATTTTTAAATATTTTTATTATTATTTTATTATTAAACATTAGATGATGATGTATTATATGAATGGGATGAAATTTTTGTCATGTCAATTGAATAGTTAAATTTTCCGTTTAGATTTTTTTTTTTGTCAATTTTTTAAAAGTAAAGATATTTTATTATTAGATAATAGATATAACAAATATAAAATTTAATAAGATAAAAAAATATATGGTTAAAATTGTGATGAGAAAAAATTATATGGTTTTTAAAGGAATTTTCCCTCTTTTTTATGTATTACATGCCTGTTTCATTTATATTGATTTTTATCTTAATGAACATAATAATTGTTAATATATAAAAAAAGTATTATAAAATATATGAAAAATATTATGAAATAAATCGTATCATAAAAACTTTATTAAATTTAGAAAATAGATATTTAAAAAAAATTATAAATATTTGATGTTAACTATAATTTTATTTATTTAGTTTGAAACTCTGTATATTTATATTAATAAAATATCACCTTGCTCCTCATATTTCTTAAATAATATTTGAATAATATTAAGAGAGAACATTTTTGCAGGCTGCCGTGCCATGCTCTTTATTTAAATTCAAATCCGAAAAGTCATTGCTTTTGTACCAAAAAAAATAAAAAAATCGGGAATTTTGGGCCCATCCTCTTCTCGCTCACTTTGCAAACCCACCATCCCATGTTCCGCTTTATCTCGATTTAGGAGCCATTATTATCGTCAACAGTTATTAGTATGATTACCAGCTTTTATCCCAGTTACAGACATTATTAAATAATTAATTAATTTTACAACTCTCTAACACTGCATAAGATGCCCGGGCCCACATTCTTTTGACCCAATTCTGCAAAATAAAGAAATACTAGATTCGTCTCGAATCCGTAGATTGTCACATGCAACAATATAAACGTATGACGAGGTGTTACTTTAGGGATAAATCGCGTGTGCTAATTCAACTTGAGTTCGCATGTACAATCTTATGTTTCGGAATGACCATAATTGCATATTACCATGGAATGATATGATACATATTCGATATTACAAGACTGCCTTTTATATATATAATACCACAAGCTTTTGGTTAAACAATAACATAGAAAAAAGACTGCAAAATATGAATACAGAACCCTAAACCCTTATAATAAACTCTTATATAGTACCACTAATTTATCACAACGGGAAGTGCTCCGGCCTCTTGGCCTCCGACCAGCTGACAGCGAACCACTGCAAGACCTAAACACTGTCGTTACATGATGAAGCAACCGGTGTCGTCGTCACAGTCGTGATGACCGTCATCGTAGTCTTCGTAGCTGTTGAATCTGATCGGATCATGCGGCGGAAGATGCACGAGGGGATCAGCCAGGTGGGTTGCCGGAACAACGAAATGCGAGTTCACAGCTCCGGCGTACGGCGCTGAATTGTAACTCATACCGTAGTTAACTGGAGGCTGGAGATCTGACGGCGGTAACGGCGAGACTGGAGATCCGACGGCTGTGGTTGCCTCTCCGTTCTCTGTTCCTCCATCACTCAACTTCGCTTCCTTCTTTTTCTTCTTCTTATTCTTCTTCTTCCCCTTGTCGCCATTTCTCTCCGCTTCTGGAAGCTTCTCCTCTTCATCTCCGCCGGTTTCTGGTTCTTCCGCCGCCACTTTTTTCAGGTTATCGCCGTCTTTGTCGCCGCTGTCAGCTTTAGGGGTTTTCTGTTTTTCGTTCTTGCCCGGTGATGGCTTATGAGGAATATTCTTTTCCTTGACCATCTCCGGTAGTTTTTCCGGCCAAATCTCGGCATATTTCCCAGATCTTGCGAGTCTCTTGATCAGCGTGTCAGAATCCACGTCGCCGGTGACTGTAACTTTGTTCTGCTGGGCATCGATCGCCGTCGCATAAACACCTGGTCACTCTCCATTACGTACAAGTGAGTCAACCAAAACACAACCGGCAGTATAACCAATACGTTTGCATACATTCGATATACATCACGTTCATATATAATAGTCGTGCTTGAACTATAGGCATCGATCGATGCACCTATTTTTTTTTTTAAATTGACGACAAGTATATAAGCTTTTAAAAAAAAATGGAATGATCGTAGATTATCAGTACCTTCGATGCCCCGAAGAAGTTTCTTGACTTTCTTCTTGCAGCCTTCGCAATGGATGGAGACTCTCAACACCCATGTCTGCATATAAACACACACACACACATTAAAAGAGACTGAACACAACTTTATGTGACACACCGATATATACACACAAACCTTGAACTTTAGCGTTTCGGAAGCAGCCTGATTTCCGACCGGTTTCGTCGCCATCGAACTCAGGAAGAGAGACAGAGCACGTGCATCAGACTGAAGGTCGAGAGTTATGAGCCTTAATTATATATGACTATACAAAAGAAGGAGGCAACAGAATAAATAAGTGGGCGTGTCATCAAATACTGTATAGGGAAACGAAATTTGTCTGTATAAAAAAAATGTACCGTAAATGTCATGTCATTTTCAATCCAGCGAACTAAAAGTGTTGCCGACGAAGATTTTTAATTATCATCAAACTCGAAGAAAGCAATTGACCAATAGATACGTATCATTAGCGTCTAGGGTTTGGGCTTGGCAATGATTACGGGTCTTGAAGGCTGTGCGCATATAGAGGCCTAGAAATTTCTCAACCAATATTGGGACGTAGGGGCAAAGAGTGTACAGGGAGTCCAACCACATCTCCTGAATGTGCTCGAACACATCCGCTCGTGTCGGACTCCATATCTATGTATAAGTGACGCCGTTCAGCTTTGTGTCAGCCAATTTTTTTTATTCTGCAAGCATTTTTTTTAATAAATATGTGGGTTTAGGTCAAGAACAGTATCAAACTCGTGTGCAATATAATGCATTCATTTGGCTTGTACGTATCGTGTCCTTTGGACAACTGGGAAGCACATCAAAAAGGCGGAAGAAGGATCTTTATGATAACAATTTTGATAAAAGATTTTGTAAGGTTCACGGGATTGTGAATGTGCACATTCTGATGTAATCATTAAATCTTTTCATACAAACACAACAGCGCATCTGGTGTAGTGGTATCATAGTACCCTCCCACGGTACTGACCGGGGTTCGATTCCCCGGATGCGCAATTTTAACTTAAAAGTATTTTTTTTTTTACAAATTAAAAAATGTCCGTACGCGTACGCTTGATGGCGATGCCAAATGAAAAATGATTATAATACAGCACCCGTCCCTTGCAGGGGGACACAGACAAATTTAACAATAAGATAAAACAGCAAAGTGGAAGCAAACATTACATTAAAAGATACAAACACCTGTTTTGGAACGGCACAGTTCAAATGCTATTCCTTAGGATGCAACCATCAGACGTTCAACGATAGGAAGTGGACCGTTTTTGGACAAAACAAAAGCCATCTGTCTGTTCAGTTATTGCCGGAGGCAGCTATCATGCCTTGGATTGGCTCGACAATGGACACCTCCGAGCCAAAAACGACGTCGGGTACCTCTCTCAGTGTACTTTTCTTCTAGGTATCGTGTGATGGCTCTTGATTCTGTGTACATAAATATACACACCATTTTCCCAGAGACATCAACCAATATTGCTGATCATTAAGTTTACGCACCGAAGAGTGTGAGATCTCCATCTTCAAGAACAGGGACTTGACCCAAGGGCTGAAACGGCACAAGGAAAAAATGAAATCAAGATAGCGACTGAGTGAGTTGAAAGAGTAGTTTTAGCGGATTTTGCTTACATTGAGAGAGAGGAAAGCGTCAGTCTTGGATTCGCCCGAGAGCCAATCGACGAAAACGAGCTCGAAGTCGATGTCTTTCTCATGGAGGCCGAGCATGGTGGCCATGCCCGGGAAAAACAGACCGCAACGGAGCTTCGTCATAACCATGATGATGTCTATTGGTTTGGAAGAGCTTCGTCTCTCTAAGCTTATATGGAGGCCTCAGAGCTCAGGCTCCTTTGGTGATCGATTAAACAATGGCTGCAATACATCAAATATGAATGATTTGGTGCTATAATTTGCACGTTACAATCACTACATTAATATTGACTCCTTGCACCCGGTCTTTTTCTATTCATACGTTATTGGGGAGGTTAGGAAAACGACAAAAAGGTTGACGTGCGATATGACGTGGCGTTTTATAATTTTTTTATTCCAGTTTCTATCCATTACTGCAGTGCTCCGAGAGTTTAGCTGCACACGTGGCTGTTGGATAACACCGTACCTTTTTTCCCTACCGAGTCCGGACTGCATGCCGTTTCGCACATGGGCTTAGGTTTCCGCCTAATGGACCCCGTAAAGCCCAAGGTGAAGCGGTCACAGGCCGAGTACTTTGACCGACCGTTGACTTTAAACGTCCATCCAGGCCCTGGTCTATGCTTTGACTTTTTTACAGCATTAATTTTTTTTATTCGATTTTCAGATACATATTCATATAATTTTTCCTGAAGGTGCAGAAATGTTAACAAGGTACGAAGATGAATATGAACAAAGAGACGAACACGCGAATGGTTTCTCCGAATGACTGCTCAACTCATGTTCCAAACCAAACTTAAAGATCCAATATCTCTATACGCATGCGTATTCATATACATTATATATATATATATGAAAAGTCTGGATATCGTTCAAAAACCATAGAAGTGGTACAATCCAAAGGCGACAAAGTCACACTTATGAACAGGGAAACACAAGAACACTTAAAAACACCATCGCATAACACAAAAGGCACACAAACAAGCACTACCCTCGATCTCTTTTTATTTCTGCTGTAGAAAGGACGCTTTAAACATAGGGATGTCTGACAAACTTTCAAGCGGACTTGAAAGCTCTCTCTCTACTGTGGTGGCTTCTGCAGGGCAAGAACCTTGGCCCAGGCCTCCCTGGCAAAGATTTTGGCTAACCATGCGCTGACCTTGGGGTGAGCCTGGAAGACCTTCTTCGAGTCTGTGCCCATCAAGTAATGAGCCACAGGGAGGTGGTGGAGGTCGGCCAAGGTGAAGCAGCCGCAGCCCAAGTACTCGGACTCTCCAAGCCTCTTCTCGTACACGTCAAGGACCTTCCCCAGCTTGCCTTCGAGCTCTTCAACGGCGGCCGGGTCAGTGGTCATGCCGAGCATGGGCTTGAAGACCCGTTCGAAGGTCAGCTTCATGGCGGTCGGTTCAAAATGCTGACCTTCCACCTCCATCCACTGCCTGGTGGTTGCCTTCACAACCTTGTCGCCAGGACAGAACAGCTGGTTTCCTTTGTCGTTGTATTCCTCAGCTAGGTACTGCGTGATGGCCCTTGATTCTGCACAAAGACAGAGCATTTCAGCTTCAATGTTTCGGGATTGAGTACACCATTACAACAGAGTGACCAACCTGAAGGAACAATACAAGTGTTTGCCTTGCATACTATGCGAAGTAATCCATACTCTTAATAGACTCTACACATAACAAGCCTTTAAGCACAAACAGTCGGTTCCAGTCGAAATCACGATGTCTTCTTTTTTCAACCGATCCATTCAACATATCATCAGTTATGTCCATGGACATGCAAGAAATGACTGATCAACAACCATGGGTAACTGCTCGTTCGATAAACAAAAAAACAAATGGATCGGGGATAATCACGGACTCACCGAAAAGCTTCACATCACCGTCTTCAAAAGCCGGAACAAGACCAAAAGGCTGCAATAAAAACAAGGATCAAACTGAGCATCAGATCTCACGGAAAGCCCTAAAGCCAATGATCGGGATCGGCCCTCCCACCGCAACGAAAAACAGGACCGCGTCTCAGATCGGAGCGAAAACAGAGGATCGGAGATAACTTACGTTGCGGGAGATGTGGGGTTCCTGCTTGTGAGCGCCGGTGGTCAGATCAACAGGGATCAACTCAAAATCGAGACCTTTCTCGTAGAGAGCAACGAGGGCGCGCATGGTGGCCGTCGAAAAAGGGACTCCATAGACCTTGATTCCTGCCATTATCGTCGAAGAAACGGAGTTAGAGGATGATGAACCGAAAACGAGAAGGAAGATGCTTTGGGGATGCGGATGAAATGGAAAGGGGCTTGGTCTCTTTATATAGGGAGAGGAATTTCGACGGTTTCATGCCCGTGCCTTCTATTCTATTCTCGAAACCTCACTCTCACCACCTCCTCCATCTTTTTTTTTTTGGTCAACAACTGAATTTCTTTTTTCTTTTTATTTTTGTATAAATAGAAATGACTAATAACCCCCCCTCCCCTTCTTTAGCTTTACCAAAAATAAAAATGTAGTAATTCTGGTGTTTTTTTTTTGCATATTATATTTTATTACTATATCTCGTGATATTCAAAGAGATCCATATACATGGGCCACATACATTATATAACCGTGTATCATTATTACTTCATAGTAATTATCAGAGAGTTAATTTTTTGGCCCTTTCATATAATAAAAATAGCATGATTTATGCTTAAATTATCAACATAAATAGTGAAATATCAGATATTGTACAATCAAATGTTTTCCCATCGCTTTGTCACCTTTTGTTTTCCACAAAGCAAAAAGGGAGATTCTTTGCTCATTACATGACATTTACAATAATAATAATAATAATAATAATGCTATTTAATTATTCATTTTTGTTTATCTGAGTGAAATGTTAATTTCGTTGCCTTTTTCCTTTATTCCAACTTGGCCACGTAAATGTCCACGTCTCCCTTAAACAATAAAAGACAAATGTATTTTTTTTATTTTTGTACGGAATTAAATTAAATAGACACAACTACGCAAATGGTTCAAATAAAACATGGACCAAGTCCACTGTATGCTTTGAATCGGCCGCGTCAATGTGCAACTCTGTACATTGACTTTTCCTTATGAAGTCCTCTCTGCCCGATATTTTTCATTATACGATTCGAATTGGATTTTCAATTTAATTTGAATCATATATAATTATATTATATTTAGATTCGATTTTGCATATTTGAGATAACTGAATTTTTAAATGTATAATTTATTGTCCTAACAAATCATTTAATGCCAGTTGATCTAACGCCAGGCGACATATAATCTTGCAGAAGCCGTAGTGGTTAGAAATAATTAATATTTGGAAAGTTCAACATCGTCAATAATTTTTGAAAAAAAAAACATATACAATATTTCAAATTTTCAAATTAAATACGACTTCGAAAGTGGGGTTCAACCGGAATTTTCATTTCTTAAAGAAATAAAAATCATTTAGGAGCAGACCGTGTGGGTCAGACAATGGTTGTCGGTCAATCGCCCAATAAAAAGTCTAATGCGTTGGAACGAGTTTTCGAACAAATCCTTTTTCTTTTCTCTCTTTTTTTTTTTTTACAATCATCTTTTATTTTACTTATATATATATATATATATATATTATTTATACGAAAGGGAGAAGACCAACGTAGTAGAAATATTTAAAAACTGTTGTCAATTTCTTAAGAACCGGAAAAAGAAAAAGAAAGGAAACAACATTAGAATTATATTTAAAAGAGGTACCGTTGTAACTATCAAATATTAACAATATAAAAAGAGTTAAAGGTGGACCAAACCTCTTTCTTAATTCGGGTTTGAATATTTATTTGGGAGAAGGATATTCAAAAGATGTAGTTAGATCGAAAATTTGATTAATTTTTGAATTATAAAAGAATAATATATAAGAAGACAACGATATATATATAACAGTATATCGATTGATACTTGTGTTGGCATTCTTAATGCGTTGAGGATGATAATACGAAGTTGCTGCCTTTGAGCTTATATATATATACACACACGGGCATAATAATTAATGCCAAACTTTCTAAGATAATTATGGTGAAATTAAAATAGATAAAATCATCAATTTATGAGCAAAGTCCATGAGAACCAAACCGAAACACAAAAACAAAAAAGGGATGGAACCGATCAGTTCAGAGTTTGGGATCAATGCTCATGCCGGGAGCAACCTTGAGATAGGCCGGACGGGAAGAGAGATCATGCCACCAAGCCTTAACACGAGGGCGGTCGTTGATGAGAGATGCGAATTCGGTCTTCATGAAGTAGTGAGTGTACGGAACATGATGGAGATCGGCGAGGCTGTAGAAATCTCCGCCCAAGTACTCTGACTTCTCGAGCCTTTCCTCGTACACGTCGAGAATTTTGCCCAGCCTGTCGATGTTCTCTTCGACGACGGCCGTGTCCGGGGACTTCCCATGCAGCGGCACCACGACCAGCTGGTGGATGACGGCGGCTATGGCCGGGTTGAAATGGTGGGCCTCCACCTCCGACCACACTCTCACCGCAGCTTCCTCTTTAGGGTTCCGGCGTCTTGTGAGGTCCGTTCCTGTCTCTTTGCACTTCTCTGCTATGTATGCCGTGATCGCCCTAGATTCTGTCGACATTCGATTAATTTGTTTGGTACGAAGCATAAATATTGGATCACTGATTAGAAAAACAATGATTTCATAATAAAAATAGTAAAACTTATAAAAAGGTTCATCAATCATATGTCCATAATATATATATATATATATATATATATATATATGCATACTCTTACGTGGTAGACAGATTAATGCTTAACAAAAATCAGCTACCGTAATAACTTCCTCGTGCATGTGATTATATCGTTAAGACGCATGTACAAGAGCATATGCATGCACGTGTGAAAAGGAATACAAACCGAAAAGGGTGAGATCTTCGTCTTCTAGAACAGGCACCTGGCCAAAGGGCTGCATTCGTAATATATATGCATACATATACATATAGAACTTGTTTAGTTTCAGTTAAAAAAATATTTGAAAATGAAAAACAGTCGGTCGAATTTCTTACGTTCTTGGAGAGAAAGGGAGGCTGCTTGTGCTCACAAGAGAAGAGGTTGACAGGAACAAGCTCGAACTCTGCATCTTTCTCGTGAAGACATAGCATGACACGCGCCACGCATGCCGACATCGGATCCCCATGCAGCTTCATCGCCATTGATTCAGAGATAGGGAGAGAGAGCGACCGCGTGCTTGTACGTGTATTTTCAAGCTTGTCGCTCTCTTCAACCTTCCTCGTTCATCTATCTCTTTATATATACGCGAGTTTCTTTTTTTCCCGTAACATCGAAACATGTAAACAAATGGTAAAAAAACGGTTAAATAATGACATTTATGTTATAGTTTTTTAAAAAAAGCGATGTTCCTAGATGCAAAAACAGGACAAATCAGTTCGTCATTTTTAATTTGTTGATTGAGTTGTTGTTAATCCGCGAATATGGCAGGTACTCGGGAATCTTTCATTTGATTAATCCACCCACCTTGGGAACTGGCAATGAAACGCCACAATCTTATGACGCAAACATTTCCCCAAATAAATAAATAAAGCCTAACGTTAAAAGGTACCATTTTGTAATAAAATAGGAAATTCGGCGTTTCAAACGCTGAAATCAATGTCCGGGTAAGATTCCCTTGGCTTCTGATGCGTCGGAATTCGGTCAGTAAATTTTCAAATGTCGTAAATCGAAAATCAGTGTTGCTAATCACGAGTATTAGAAAGTCGTCAGCGTCACGTTGAACATGAACAAAAAGGCCGAGATTGTCGTCCGGACAGAGTCACGTGGTCGAATCAGTCAAAGTCAAACCACCAAGAGATGAGATTTGGTTCGTTGATTACGCCGTTAATATTATGTTAATCAAGAAGGTAGTCAGTCAAATTTGCCAAGATGCATAAATTCCACAAAAAATTAATGCTCTATTGCCCTTATTAATGTTTCTAATACTATATAATTATAAGTAAATAAACTTACCAATGTACCCATCTTCTATAATCATTCAAAATTCAAATCTCGGTTTACATCAACGGACGCAGCATCAAAACATACAACATGATTAGATAAATAACACAGCCAGGAGAGTGCAAAAGAGCTCCAAGAGTAAATTGGAAATGGAAAACTGCATCATGGTTAGCGACGAGATTTACAAATATACGCCCATATATACACACATATCCACATTTACGGTATGCCCATCTCGAGAAGATGGGGAACCATACATGTACCATAGCAGCAGCATATAATAACAGGGAGAGAAGAGAGAACAAAAAGAAAACAATAACAGAAATGAAATGGCATTAGAAAACAGAAGGTGGCTTCAGGATGTTGTGGTACTCGAGCTGAGTCATCTCTCCTCCATGAACGGGATCAAACTGGCATCTGTAGAAGCTGCATCATCAAACAGAGCTCCGGTCAACAACACAAACCCGACAAGGGAAGATACACAGACACATATTTTGCATATATATATATATACATATAGATGCTTTTCTTGGTTCCAGGAGACATACAAGTTTGGAGAATTTTCCCGAGACAATTTCCTTTGTGATGTTTTTTACTTACCTCCCATCCATGCCAAGAATTACAACGGTGTTTTTCTGATGACCAAATGCTACAATGTATTGAGATCCTTCCACCAGCCGGAACTGAGCCACTGACCACTCTGAGCTGAAATACTTTGGCAACACTCCTGTGTTTGAGGAAGAAGGTTATTGTCAAAAATGATCTGCTTATGCCGTTAATGTGCACTTTAATTATTGGATATCTACCTTTGAGTAACGAGAGAGACGAGGACGGTGAAGAAGGGGAGTGAGTGGCAGCATCCACTGCAGTTCGGGATGTGTCGTTCACTTGAGACCCGGAGTTGACTTTGAGACTGAAAACGTGGACTGTTCCTTTATCACTCGAGACTGCTAACCACTGGGCATTTGCAGAGAATGCCAGACTATAGATCTCAGCTCTATCTGCACCCCTCCTAACCTGGAAAGTCACATCAAATCGATACAACTGAGTTCTGTAAGGAATATAAGGATCTAATCGAATTTAATGGCAATCAGGGATTTCATTTTACTTATGAATTTATGAGAGCAGTGTGTTGAATCTGAAACAACCAAGCGAAAAGCTAGCAGATGTCAGACTATGAAATTGATAAAGGGGGTTCTCATGATCATCACGATGAAGATGTTCAATACCGGAAAATTTTTCTACAACACTGAAAGAACTTCATTCAGACAGATGATACATGCCAGATTAAGATTTCCACGACAAAATGGAAGAGCCAAGTCGGCGGAAGAACAGTATCGCAAGTCTGACTCTGTCACTCTACTATGATTCTCAAAAAGCTTGATAATTTGAACATCACTTCAACAAGCACAATGTCAATGTGTATCCTTTATCAGGTTCCATTCGAGGGCCAAAGCTACCATACTGCCTAAGGGGAGGGGTTTCAGGTGAAAACAAAGAAAGCTCAGGATCCACAAAGAGAATTGAGGCTCGATGATACCAAATTTATACGAATTCAAAACTTGACTCCCCATCAGCATAGTCCCCCCATCAAGTGAATCGGCCTCATAATAGCCACATAAACGAACCTATTGGCATCTATGAACCAAAGAGTCTCAGATAAACGAGCAGCTCAACTACCAAATTACAAGGATTCCAAGATCGAGAATTTCAAGGCTTTTTACATGAGTTCGAACTTCAAAGGAAAAATCATAAACTCTTCACTGTGGCTAAGGCAACTCTTGTTAAGACGTACCTCTTGGAGCAAGGTACCATCCGCGGTGTTAAACACCCGAACCAAAGTGCCTTTGGAGCTCGCCGTGGCTAACAAGTGCCCGTCTTGCGTTAGCGCGAAACAAGCAATCCGAGAATCATGAGCCATGATGAACTTGGTCCGCTTCGACGCGTAATGTTCGACCCGAACTTGACCCTTCTGCAAACCAGGGCATACGAGTACCATCGAACCAGCTCCCTGAGAAACGGCGCACAGGCCTTTAGGGTTCTTGATGGTCTCGATTTGATGCATCAGCTTCAGGTCAGCGAAGTTATACACAAATATCTTCTGCTCGAGAACCACGATGATCCGATCCCTCCTGAGCCGGACCGCTCTGACATCTGACCTGAAGGAGAGCTCACCGATGCAGCGGCTCTGATGATCGTCCCATATCATGACCTTATTGGGTGGATACTGCGGCTCCTGACCACCGCCGACGAGGGCCAGAATATTGCATCGGAAAAGCATCTCCACCACACCGACTCCACCGCCGCGATCGAAATCCCTCCGGAAGATCTCGCGAAACGGGTCACAATTATAGATCCGGAACCCACGATCGCTGCCGGAAGCGAAGCAAGCGTGATCCTGGTTGAAGGAGAGATAGAGCAGGGAAGGCGGCGGCGTAGCCGGTAAATTCGGGATGAGATGCTGCGGCGGAGAGAGGGCCGTCTGGACGTTGAGGTCCCTGTTGGGATCCAGTTGCCTGTCGGAATTCCGAGTGAGCTCCTCGTCCTGGAGAGTCATGGAGGAGAAGGAATCGAGAGAGTCGGCGGCTTCGTCACGATCCGAGGCGGAGGCAGAATTAGGATTAGAATTGGGATTAGGGTTTGGCCAGGGAGGAGAGGAGAAAGCGGAGACGGTAGCCATGAGAGAAAGACGTCGGATGAAAGCGTGGCGTGGACGTGGAGAAGAAGAAGATGAGAAGGAATTAAACGTGATTTTGGGTTCTCTGGCCCATTTGATTATATGAATGTCGTGATATATCTTTTGGAGCAAAAATTCCTTTGTTTTTTTAATAAAGCCTTTTTCTTGCTCTAATTAACGTTTTAATATATTAATAATGCAAAAATCCGAATTTATCATATCAAATTTAGTATAACATAATTTCAGTTATCTAAATTCTCTGCTAACATATTTGTATATAATAATAGTAATAATAATTAAATGGTTACTTATAAGTACTAACACATTAGATCACTAGTAAAGGGAAATAATAGCAATCAACGTTTGTTTTTACAAAAAAAAAAAAGATTGTTAACGTGAAATACAGCCCATGGGAACCAAAGGATATTAATTTGACAAAATCAAAGTAGACAACGAAATTACAACTTGAGATATGCCACGTAGGGCCCACATCCTCGACGGGGTCAAAATCCATATGCGCCCCTCGGAGGGTATACAACCGGTGGAACCTGCGGTGGATCGACCGGAGGGTATCCAGCAGGTGGACCTTCTGCCTGATATCCCATCGGCCGAGCTACGGTCGGATATCCAGCTGGCGGCATATGCGGCGGAGCCACGGTGTGGTAGCTATAACTCGGCGGTGGAGAAGGAGAGCAGCCGTGGTAGCTGAACGATCCCCAACTCGGCAGCAACTGCGCCAGTGCCGGTGCACGTGGCCAGGGATACGGTGCAGGGTTATGCGTCGGCAGCGGCGGCGCGTGGACTGCAAACCCTCCGGCGCCGCCAGTTCTGGTCATCTGACCACCGAACCTGTAGAAGAAGTTAATCTCGCCTCGTGGTTTGCCGTTGGGCTTCTTGACCTTGTAGGTGATGTACCTCTGACCGGCCTTGTCGGCTCCGACATGGTCGAGAAGGTCTCTGACCGGAACATGGGCCTCGCCGATGTCCTTGTTGCTGCGGTCGCAAGTGATCTTGAAGGTGATAACGAGTCGGTTGGCATTAGCGAGGGCTTCGCGGATGGTGAAGGTGAAGGCGGAGTTAGACCACGTGGGGCTGGTTCCGCCATCTTTAGCCACGTGGGTGCGATGCTCGAGTTGGCCGGTGTAAGCTGGGTCGCCGGATAGCTTCACCGTCACGTAAACATCCATCTTCGAGAGGTGTTTGACCTTTTTCAGTCCTTTCGCCGACGCCACCGTTATCTCCAGAGATCTGCACTCCATTGTTGACATTACAGCAAAAAACACAAATTGATTGGACAAAAACGTCTTCTGTCGTTTATATGAGATTGTTGATCATCGACGTTGACGAGGACTTGGCACAGCCAACCACGTAAAAGGATCATCTGAATTCTGAAGAAACGCAACATTCCGTTGTAGTCTAGATGGTTAGGATACTCGGCTCTCACCCGAGAGACCCGGGTTCGAGTCCCGGCAACGGAATATTTTGTTTTCAGCCTTTTTTTTTTTTAATTTTGTTTCAGAGTAGAGAAAAGCTACAAAGATTAAGCAGGTGTATCAGATACTATAGATACATAGGTGGAGCTATCAAAGGGTTTAGCAAGAGCTGTCTTTCTTGTAAAGAAAACCCAGTGGCAGTTTTTTTTTATATATATATTTTGACCGAATCTGGCTGCGGACCTTCATATGAAAAATTCATTTCGAGGTCTATTGAATCATATTCTCTTCACCAGCCACCAATTTTTGACCACCCCCTTGGATATCCCACATATTGAACATAATGGTTCTAAACCAAGATGACGATATCATATATGTAAATTAAATACACAAATTTCAAATACAATGCATTTAAACAAAAAAAAAACGCAATGGAAACATGCGGTGGTTGACTACATAAGATGATATCTTAGAAAGGAATGCTGTGGGAAATTGGAGTGGTGACGAAGGGTTGGCGTACCGAATGGGCCTCATTTTGAGGCCAATCTGAAAAAAAAAGAGCGTAATTAATTAGTTAATGATGTTTATATTTCCAAAAAAAAAATCCCAATGACGTGGAAGACAAAGTCCATGTCGGGTCCCAACAACGTCATCCTAATCGGACCCTGAGAGAGATGAAGTGAAAAATAAAAGAATCGGATAGATTTTTTTATTATATAAAGTTTATTATTACAACGTCGGCATTCGGGAACTGGCAATGAAACGCCACAATCTTATGACGCAAACATTTCCCCAAATAAATAAATAAAGCCTAACGTTAAAAGGTACCATTTTGTAATAAAATAGGAAATTCGGCGTTTCAAACGCTGAAATCAATGTCCGGGTAAGATTCCCTTGGCTTCTGATGCGTCGGAATTCGGTCAGTAAATTTTCAAATGTCGTAAATCGAAAATCAGTGTTGCTAATCACGAGTATTAGAAAGTCTCCGAAAGCGATGCGACGAAAGGAGAGAGAAACTGGGTGAAGGTTTTTTTTTTTCCCTCTTCCTTTAATTATTGAGAAGATTTACGAGGACTACGTGGGTTACCACCGATTTGGCCGGCAGAGGGCGTGGAGGCATGGCGGGAGTTGAAGATGCGGCCATCGATGATCGTAATTGTCGCCGTGATTGTGGTAAATCGCCGGATTCCGCCGGCGACGATGGGGTCGACGACTCTCCCTCGTCTCCGGGAGTTTCGTGCTCGATTTGCCTCGAACCGGTGGCCGAGGACGGTAGCAGATCCAGGGCTAAGCTCCAATGCGGGCACGAATTTCATCTGGGTATTTTCAATCGCTTTATCCATCTTTTCTTCCAACATCTGAATGTTTTCTGTCTGGTATTTTGTGGAACTGTTGGGAAACCGCAACGTTTTTCTCCCTTTTCCCGATGAAAAATGGAAATCGCGTTCGTTTGATTTCGTTTCGGTTTATAGTTTCGCGTGTAAACTGCTGAATACTAGATTTAGACGAGAATCAAAGTGAAAGTTTTTTTTACGAGCGGCGATTTATGAAAAAGGAGAAGGGCAAATAAAGAAAAGGCTGGTCCTGAATCCTAATGCTTGCTGCGGTGTAAACCTTATGTAGATTCATAACCTGATCATCCTCATCAACAGCATCATTTTGAAGGTTGACCATTTCTATGGAAACAACAAGACTGTCCTTGATGGATTCATTCTAATCCGTGTTGAACCCACTTTGAAATGTGCATAAGCTCTGCGTTTCTTCTCTTCATGTCCGTGCAAAACCTCTGAACACTTCAGAGCCTCTCTTCTAGCTCGCCCATACTTCAACACCTTAAACTTCTCGTATACCCCATTTAATGCTAGATGTTGATGAAAATCGAATTGGAACTTCTGGTGAGCAATGGCTTGTGAGAATGAAGAAAGAAAAATTTAGGACATTTGCTTGTCGTAGAAGCCCACAACTTTGCAGTTCGAGATGAGGTCAGGAGCATGTTGATATAAGGAAACTGAACAAGTTGGCGTCACTTTCAAATTCTGTGGAATGCTAATTATATGTGTTTCTTTACTTAGTCTGGGATGGGAAAGAAGATAATAGTTACATGCGTCTGGCTTTCTCAATAGCTTTAGATAGTGAGTGAATTGCTTCCTATGCATTGCCAAGATGGGTTTTTTTGTTCTGCCTTAATTGGTACTTTCTTGTATGGCCTGTGCTATTTGGCGTCATTGTAATTGTATATGTATGTTTCCTATGCAGACTGTATTGGGTCAGCTTTTAACACGAAGGGAGCTATGCAGTGCCCGAATTGCCGAAAAGTTGAGAAAGGTCAGTGGTTGTATGCAAATGGATCTCCTCGACCGTTTCCTGAGTTCATGGACGACTGGATTCCGGATGAGGATTTGTATGGTTTAAGCTATCCAGAAACGGTAAAGTTCACTGCTTTTACGTCCCATTCTGTTTCTTTCCGTGCTCATTATCATTTCGATCAAGTTCCCGAGTTTCTTATTATAGCGGAAGTACCAAATAATCAGCGGCTTTTCTACTGAGTCAGCTCCGTGATGAACTCTGGACAATCGTCAATCTTAAAAATGTACGGTTTTTTGCAGCACTATCGGTTCCAGTGGTGCCCGTTTGGCGAACTCTCTCACGCTGCTGCTTCTTTCGAGTGAGCAGATGCCTTTGCTTATAATTTCTGCCTAATTTCTTTCTAGTTCTAACATCTCTTAGATTGTGGTGTCGGCATTCTTTCTTAAAATTTGAAAACATGATGCGTGAATTTACTTACAACTGAACTAAAGCTCGGGTTTCGGGTTTAGGGTCTTTCTTGGAACTCTGTTGTAAAATCTCCTGAGCTCTCTTCTCATAGTTCATGTGTTTCTTTTTTACAATGTCTTCCAGGGAACTGGATTCTCCTACGACCACATGTAAGTCATAATACGCAGTCCCATCATTTCTGTATATGCTCATTGTATGGTCTAGTCGCCATTGATGGTCAGTATCTGTCTTCCTTTTTTCCCGTCCAAGATCACGAGTTCAATGGACACCACACCATATATGCGGAACACACTGCCACGTCTTCCATTGCCCACTCTCACTCGTATCTTGCATACGTCGGACCGGTTCCAGCCGCCACAACTACAAGGACTGGCGACAGTGCCGAAGATCATCATCCATGGAACAGCCACTCTGGACAAAACGACAACTTTAACAGGCTTGCAGTTGCTACCCCTTATCTTGGCTGGGAACACCTTCATCATCTCTCCCATTCTTTTCCTCTGCCCACTGGTCACGCTGTCGCTGCCGCCGATCCGGTTGCCGCTGAAATTGACGCTTCAGCACGGCATAGATCTTATCGACACCCGTTTCTGTTTGGTTACCGGTTAGCTTCTCAAAGCACCATGCTTGCTCAAGATTTCAGCCTTTTTTGCAAAAAGTTTAGGAATTTTTTGCATTCGGGTCTGCAGGTCTGCTGCTCCGACCATTCACCGTCACCCGGGAAGCAGAACGGTGGCACGAGAGCGAATTCATGCATCTCATATATTCGATCATCATCGGCAGCAGCAAACAGGCAACGGTCTGAATCTGGCTTGGCATCTCAACCACCTGACAAGAAGAGGTGTTCTGCCGGAACAGAGCAGCGGATTCTTCGTCTTCCCTCATCCAAGCAGCCTAAACGAGACAGAGACCGATCATTTCCAGACATGGGAGAACGATTGGTTTCCACGTTTCCCGGTCTCATCCCGAGACTCTGCCTCTGGCTGGGGCTCCCACTCTAACCTGTGGCGCAGGCATTTCTCCTAAACTCAAAAAGGTGTTTCTCTGTTTTATTCAGAGAATCTTGGTCTGAAGTCTCGTCGAAGAACTTCATGAAGTTATCCTCTTCTTATTTTTTTTGGGTCTATTATTGGCTGTAAATGGGGAAACCTTATAAAACTTCGGTAATGATATGTATGTTAAAACTGTTTCTGCGTATGAGCTTGCTTTCCGGTGAACATAATCATGTTCGTGTCTCCACCTGCTTTGACACCCATCACACTAAAATCCCGACATCGCCCCTAAAATATTTTCCAATGCGGAGAATTCTGTCCTAGAAAAGTTTCTTGTACGAATTCGCAGTCTTTCAAAACTCGGCGCAGTAGAGACGTGCTATAGGGCTATGATGAGGAAATCGGATTGACCTCAAAGGCATACCATCTAATACCATGAACTTGGATTCGAAAAGCTGTGGCATTTAGTAGACTGAAACAGGTTTGCTCTCTTCCAACGCATGACACCAATCCATGTAATCTAACCAAAAACACAAAAGTGATGTGCTTTGTTTCTCAAGACCTTGGAAAATTATCACCATGAAGGAAGTATGCGTCTGATCACAGCCCAAGACAAGGCAAATCACGAGTGGACAGGAAACAACAGAATATCCAATGCAGAGAAAACTGAAAACGATCAAAGTATCTGTCTCCAACAACATACAAAATCCTCGCAAACCTTTTTATTATTCTCAGGAATCGGATGGTTTGTGGGAGATGCATATAGGAAGGAGGCTTCGGTCATGGCTAGTGATGAGCATTTGTCCCGTCCCCTCCCTCTTCGCCTTTCCTAGAGGCTGCTCTTAGTTTGCGCTGTTCCTCCTTGTATATCCTATTCCTCCGTTGGAACTGCAAAATACACACACACACACACATCACATCAACAATATTGAGTCCGAATGGTAACCAGCTGAGTTGAGAGAGTTTAGAGAGTTAAGAAGCAAGCTTAAAGAGTTTATTGATTTAAAAATTTTGAGATTATAAAGTTAAGACAGCCATTGGAATTGAAATTCAAATTTATATAATTAAGGAAGTTGAATTGAACTAACTAGTGAACGGTAAAATTCTTAACTTATCATCAATCAACCCCATTATGAATTGAATTGGCTGTAACTTGATGGCAGTCCATGGCATGTTTATGCATTCCCCCACACTTAAAATAAAAACATCGAACTAAGAATACTGATCATTACTTCCAAAAACCCCTAAAATGAAAGCATTGACCTTCATAGTTCCATTTCGCAGAATATGACACACCATAGCCACACTAGCAGGATCTAACATCACGTTTCCATTAAGAAGCATTAAAAAACATATGAAAATGGAAACAGGGCATAAAAGATCAATCAGTTGCATTTTCATGATTGGATGAGCTGAACCCATGAAGATTTTCTGCAGCAAGGTCATGTTTTTGAGACAGATACAATCAAATAGGCAAACGACTTCACAAGTAGCAGAAGTATTCGAATTGATGCAGTGTCTTGGAACTACTGGAACACGTTGTTCATTTCAAAGAAAATCATATCCCTTTGCTAGTCAACATTCAATAATTTAAAAGTTGAATCAGACACGACCATCAGACTGATCTAGGGTTTTGGAAGAACCGGAAACCGCGCCACCAAATTCGAGATCGCAGCCGTCCGAATCAACAACATCAATCAAACAGAATCAAAGCTTCGATACAGGAGAGAGCGAGTGATTGGAAGGAGATCGAGAAGACCGAACCTCTTTGGAATGGTGGAGACACTCGAGATAGTCCTCGCGAAGGAGGGCACAATCCTTGGGCTGTCTGCAAGTGGACATGCATTCGCTGAAATCAACCCAGAAATCGTAGCATCTTCCTTTGTTTCCCGTGATTCCCCAACCCGACGCCATTTTCTCCCGATCGCACGAGATGTGAAAAATAGCTCAGACTTATTCGTCTGATTCGAAGGATGCCGGAGAGAGAACCAGAGAGAGCCTATCTTCAAACGGTTTGGGCTTTTAAAATTGGATATTATGGCCCGTGGGCTATTATCCTCTGATATCCCCTCCCTTTTATATGGGCCGTTATCTGTCAGGCCCGTTACCATTGCATTACCCAAAACTTGGAAACTCGAAACCTTCGTCTTATTTTTTTGGTCATTATTAAATACAATTATGTTTAGTTTTTTTTTTGATAAAAAATTATGTTTAGGTTACTGTCTTGTATGTTCTTAATTTAGATTTGGAGAAGGTCAATTTGTTATTAAAATATTTGATCTTTATCTTATAAAATCGATCTTATTAAAAGAAACCAATAATACACTAGATAAAGGCCATAATTCGAATTTCCATCAAGAAAGCGAATCCTAATAAACTGAATTAAAACCCATTACTTCTTTTAATCTTTCAAAAAGGATAAAAATTAGTGGAGAGAGGATAGTGGAGCAGTCGTCGATTTTTTTAATTTTTTTGTTATCTCTGCTTTTTAGAAAAGAAAGGGGCCCATTGGTACGGGAAACTTGCGTGGGAAGGACGTGAATTGGCTCACGCCGTCAATCCACCGTTAACATTCTTAAGATGAGCAAGTTCCTTTGACCAATGCTATAAGTCAATACATCGCACGGTGTACAACGCTTTCCTCACAAATATTACCATATGTCCGCCGCACCAGATCCTAGCTACCAAAAGGCCAAAAAACATTATAAGTCCATGAGGGAGACTCGATTGACGTCTACGGACTTGCAGTTGCAGTGTTCTTTTTCAGGGCGCTGCTTAGCGGAGGAGGAGGAGGAGAGCAGAGGCCGTGGAGACTAGGGAGAGAGATCGTAGGCTTCTTCGAAAATGGTGGTTTCTTCGCCGACTTCATCTTCCACCTCTGCGCAGTCGTCGCAGTTTTCTTCATCAAACTTCTCGTGGCTTCCGGTTATGGGCCTCAGGAGGAAAATCGTCGAGAAAATCTGCGAGAATCGCGTCACTCTCATCGTCGGCGAGGCCGGTTGCGGTACGTTCTTCGTTTGGTTTTCCTCTTCGGGCTTTGCTGTTTGTTCGTCAGTAGTAGATTGGTCTTCGTTCGCCGATGAGTTATTCAACTGTTTGAAGAAACAAACTGAGATAACCTTTTGGGGGTTGTTTCAGGAACTGCACTACCGATTCTTAGTTTATTCATGGTTTTTTCCTTTGTGTTTTGCCGATTTTATGAAGTGGTTGTACTGCTTGACTCCATTCATGCATTCGGACATTACTGCTTCATATGATTCTTTTTTATCGCAACTTCACACTAACGTAGCGGAAAGTTTAAATTGCAACAACGCGAAAGTTTGATGCTTCACGCCTTTGTCGGCGTTTGTATTTCTTTTTGAAGATGTAAAATGGAAAGATCCTATGCGGAGAAATTTTGGTATGCTATTGTTCATAGGGCCGGTTGGGTGTCTTTGTTTGTCTGCCTTCAGGGAAGAGCTCGCAAGTCCCGCAATTCCTCCTGGAAGAGAACATGTCACCCATTTTGTGTACACAGCCAAGGAGATTTGCTGTTGTAGCTGTTGCTAAGATGGTTGCCAAATCCCGCAACTCTGAATTGGGTGGAGAAGTTGGTTACCACATTGGTCACTCCAAGGTCTTGTCAGAAAGGTAGCTCATACTGAAGTTTACTGTTAATATGTGCACATTGGTGCACTACTCAAGCTTTCTATGGCTTGAATAATATACATGAGAGTGTCGTTTCCTCTTTTTATTCTCCGCCTTTCCATGCCCTGCTTTCGTATGCAGATCGAAAATTGTTTTCAAAACTACTGGAGTTCTGTTGGATGAAATGCTCGACAAAGGGTTGAAGGCACTGAAGTACAAGGTTATCATTCTCGATGAAGTGCATGAAAGATCTGTGGAGTCAGATCTTGTTCTTGTATGTGTGAAGCAATTTCTCATGAAGAATCATGACCTCAGGTTTTGACCTTTTCCCCAATAATGCTTTAATAAATCCAACTGTTTCACTTATGCTACTCCTCTCATTGAGGAGAATTTGTGTTATAGCCCTTATAGTTCATTACTTTCGATCTTGTACTTGCAGAGTCTTACTTGAGGTGGTTGTTAAAGATATATTTTTGTTGTTTTCATAGGGTGGTCTTGATGTCTGCAACTGCTGATACGGCAAGGTACAGGGACTACTTTAGGGAACTTGGCCGGGGTGAACGAGTTGAAGTGATTGCCATTCCTAGCTCTGGTCAGAATACATTGTTCCAGAGGAGAGTCTATTACCTTGAGCAGGTTGATCTTATTTTTATATATAGATTTTGCATTGGACATTTGCTTCTTATTAGGAAACTACTTAATTATCCAACTTCTCCATGATCCTTTCATTATAAACTGCTATTTATGATTTTGTATCTTCTATGCCTCTAGAATGAGAAGTTTATTCTTGATGGACTAGGGTTTTCATTCTTACCAAAGCATGGAAAGTTGGAAACATGTGCTGCTATTCACCTTCATATGTAACGTACAGCCTGATGAAAAGTCGGGTATATGATTGACATTCTCAGTGCATTGCATGCAATATCGAATTTTAAATAGGAAAATGTTATTTTGGTATATTAGCATCATTTTCAACGAAATGGCAAAATCCAGCATCCGGCAGAGCGTTTATGAAAGTTCTTAGGCCCCTACCCTCTTTTTTCTTGACTCCTCTTACTTAATGGTAGAGCCTGTCTCTATTATATGATTATGATGCCATTCTTTTCACAGGTTGCAGGACTTCTTGAGGTGGATTCTGAACTGTCAACTTACTCGCCTGGTCCAAGTCCATCTACAGCCAATACTGAAATCAATCCTGCACTACAGCAACTTATTCATGACCTTATCTTATATATTCATAAAAATGAACCAGATATTGAAAAGAGCATTTTGGTTTTCCTTCCAACGTATTACTCCCTCGAGCAGCAATGGTATTGCCTGAAGCCATTTCAGTCATCGTTTGAGGTACACATATTACATAGGAGTATTGACACTGAGCAAGCCCTAAGAGCTATGAAGATATGCAAATCTCGTCGAAAGGTTTACCTTCAACTTGTTCTGGTAGCTTCTGGCTTTAGAGATGCATTATCATGTGTTGTGTGAGTGATGCAGGATGAACCTTACTTGAATATAAATGTGCAGAATACATCTAATTGAAAGACTGAAGCAGACAACATGTATTTTTAATCTATATTTGCCTACTAATTGAATATAAAGTTTAATGATGCACTGATCTAGGTCCATTTCTTCTTGACAAGATGGAAGGGTTTAAGTTTCATCACGGTTTCTATGATATTTTGTCGCTGTGCTTTTGAACAAATTAAGATTTACTTGTCTTGTAGATCACACAACTTTTCCAAACTACTGTTTGCAGGTAATCTTGGCCACAAATATTGCGGAGTCATCTGTGACAATACCCAAAGTAGCCTATGTCATTGACTCGGGCAGATCTCTTCAAGTCTTCTGGGATGCTTCCAGGAAAACTGATGCTACTCAGCTTGTTTGGGTCTCTAGGTCTCAGGTATTCTTGGATTTTTCCAGCTGCATGTGAAAGAAAAATGGATTATCCTTTTCAATCTGATTTTCGTGTGGTGTTATAGGCTGAACAACGTGGAGGGAGGACTGGTCGAACTTGTGATGGTGAGGTTTATCGCTTGGTACCAAGTGCCTTCTTCAACAAGCTTGAAGAACACGAGTCCCCGGCTATAATTAAGTTGTCACTGAGACAACAAGTTCTTCATATATGCTGCACAGAGACCAAAGTAATTAATGATCCTAAAGGTAATAATGTAAAGTTGTGCAGAGATTGGCTGACAATGACAGTTTCTTGGCTGCCTGTGAACTAATAAGGACAAACAGTTTATTTGTTCCATGGATCCTAGATAAGTCTAAATCATGTGTATTTGCTTTTGCATGTTGCCTTGTGTGGCCTGATGTATGATTTCTAGATTGTATAATATTAGAAATTTGAGAGATCTTATATAATTAAAAAATGATTAATACATTGGAAAAATATATTTTCCGTTTTCGAGAGGGATGATCAACTCCGCAAATATCGATCACTTGCCTTAGATTATCATTATTCATGCATTTTAATCTGTGATATGTGTAAACTAAATATATGATACCGAATGCTTTTGACCTCTAATTCGGACAAGGGCTGTATTTTTTCTGATTTAGCCTTGCTGGCGAAAGCTATGGATCCACCAAAGCCTGGCGTTGTTGAAGATGCATTGAATGTGCTAATAAGCATGCAAGCATTGAGGAGATTGCCTAGGGGACGGTATGAGCCCACATTTTATGGGCAGTTGCTAGCGAGCTTTCCATTGTCTTTTGATGCCTCTGTACTTGTTGTCAAGTTTGGTGAAATGGGAATGATACGAGAAGGAATTCTACTCGGTGTACTGATGGATATGCAGCCACTGCCCATTTTTCATCCATTTGGAGATGAATCTCTGGTATTTCTAACGGGTAAATGCTTTTGGTTATGATTATTTGAACTTCTACGTTAGAGTGTTTTGTTTTCCTCTTCAGTTTATGTGGTATGTCCATTGCTATTTCGGTGGAGATAGCAGCAAGACCATCTCAGGTGGCCGGAGGGAGCATGTACTTTTGGCAAACCTGTGTGCCTTTCAGTTTTGGCAGCGAGTATTTAAGGTAAAACTTCAGTTTATGTCACTATCTCCTAGCCGTAGTGTGAAGTGTTGTCCGTGATTATCTCTTCCGAATTTTCATCTCTTTTTTAGGATAAGCTTCGTCTTGAACACTTGAAACAAGTTTTGGCTGAAGACAAAGCCAAGGATGTGAAGTTGATGTTTCCCGAGATTGAACAAGAGTGGTGTGATTCCCACAATCTTGTCCGGTCATCACTGTATAATGTGTCTGAGTTGTGTAAGGATTTATGCGTAATCTAACTCTTCCATTTCAAAATTTCAATTCTGCCTAGAATTATCTCATTGCATTGTTTCACAATTTCACACACATACATGACTAAAGCATTTTTTAGTAGCAGTCCCTTTTTCATTTTGCCCCTTTACTGAATTATTGCTTGTCTGCAGATGAAGATATGATCAGCTCTTTGCATCGATTCAGACCCGACTTTCTGAGTTACTCTGATGCTGTCCCAACCTATTACAAGTCATACAACTTTGATCATGAATGCTATCTCGAGTGCCAGCTGTGTGAGGATACATATCTGGACGCTGGGGATGAAGAAAATGTTGAAGCACCCCATGGAACAAAAAAGTGTTTGTCATTTCCATTTGTTGATCCGAATGCATTTGAGACCAATGCTGTTGCGAGAACCATGACTAGCGTTGTCAAGGAGGTATGTAATTGATGTTTTTTGTTTTTTTTTTATAATCTTTTCGGCATTGTTTACATGCTTTTTGAGCTTCTGTTTTGGTTTTGTTGCAGATAAGAGCACAGTGTGCGCAAGATGTGTCTGATAACCAGCATAGAGCAGTCGATATAGGTGGTGAACATACTGATGAAGGAGAGATGCCAGTCTGTGTATATTTTCTGAAGGGATCCTGCAATAGAGGTGATAGCTGCACGTTTTCTCATGTTCTTCAGTCAAAGAGACCACCCTGCAAATTCTTCTCGACATTGCAGGTACTTGTCATTTCTGCTCCAGTTGTTTCCGTGCTGTTATATATATATGTATGTTTGACAATGAATCTGGGTTCACAGGGCTGTCGAAAGGGAGATTCCTGTTTGTTTTGGCATGACCAGCAAAGGACAGGCTCATACCATATAGCTCCATGCTTGCCGGAAGACGAGAATTCTCATGCACCTCCCCTTGTGGAGCTATTTCCGATATCTGGAGGAGGATGCATTCTTGTGTTTGACGACACGGACATGCGTTTCACCTCAGCCATAGCCAATCACTACGAGGCATGGAGAATACTTGCGACATCATCTCTATCAGACACTGTCCTATGTGATCCGTCACTAGCAGATGTCAGAATCTTCTGGGGACTGGATCACCCCTACGAGACTATCATCTCAAAAGACGCAGCAGTGAAGAAGGAGAACCACCCTATCCCGTGGAAGGAAGTGAAGTGTGTGCTTTGGTTCCTTAACACAGACGACAGCTATGGCCAAAACCCCGAGAGCAGCTGCCTGAGAACGGTTGTTCAGAATTTCTTCGAGTACATGGCCATCAGAATAATGGAGGGCGATGGTCTCTGTGAGATCCGAGTGATTATAACCATGAACAACATCAGATTCTCACAGCTGCAGGTTGAGAAGCTGGGCCGGGATTGCTTCTTCTTCCTTACAGCGTCTTTCCCGCACGACGAGACGAGTTTCGGCCACTTCGTGGACACTTTATCCATTCAAAAGCCGATGGTAGTCTCCAGACCCATCTCCTATGTCTTTGATATGCGACCACCTACGAATATCCAGTTCGGTGACCACTCATGACTCGACAAGAAGATGAATATCCAGTTCTGTCTCGGTTACTCTCTCTAACTTAAAAGCCAATCAGTTTCGTCTGGTTTGACTTGTCGTAGAACCCAACTAAAGATGGTTTTGGTTCCCCTTAAAACTCTATTTGGTAGAGATATTAGCAGCAGAAATGTTTATCTAGTGATAATTTCTACTTCCGAGACCAGGCGTAAATGGAACTTTTTTTTTTTTTTGCGGCTAACCATCACATTAACAACTTTCTTTTTTGGATGTTTGGTATGACGAATTTGTTGACCTCCAAAACCGGATTTCTCAATATTCCCTGATTGGGCCGGTTTACAAGCATCTAAACCGGATCAGAAGGTCATGAAACCATTCTTATTTGGAGGACAGAGAGAGGGAGCGACGGCGATGTCGATGGCGGCGATGGCGAGAGGAGAAGCATTGATCGCGTACAGAGCTCTGCTGAGGGCGACACGGAAATCGTTCGCCGGAGACACGGAGATGCTGTCGGCTTCTGCGGCTGAGATCCGTAAGAAGTTCGAAGAGAATCGCAACGTCTCCTCGGAGTCGGATATCCCTCGCCTTCTCGAAGAGGCCCGTGAGGCCGCTCATTTCATCTCCACCATGATCGTCCAAGCCCGCCTTAACGACCGTGGCGGCTATGGTAACTATCGCCTTCTGATCTTCTCCCCCTTGGAATCCAATTTAAAATCATCGCCTTGTGTTCTTCTTACACCTCTTCCCTATCACTATCGCCTTCTGTTCTTCTTGTGATGGGGGATTTTCTTTTATTGTTTGAAATATGGCAGAGGTTAAAGCAAGTAAGGAACATGCTGGAGCCACGCTCGAGGTTCCGTCGGAGGAGATGCTTCGGAAGTCTGTAAAGTGAGTGTTACGACTTGTCGGATGTAGCTCCGTTTTCTACTGGATTCGAAGAATTAGACGCAAAAGTAAGAAATTTTGTTTTTATGCTGAGTGTTTTCTCTTCAAATTCAAACAATCAGGTTTTATGAATAAGAACCCTTTTTTCTATTTTTCTCATTGAATTTATCCATCTCTGATCTTAGGGCTACTACCGTTTCTTATCTGTTACAGAACCCCTAGTGTTCGTTGGGTGAGGGAATATCACGGATTTACCAATCTTACTGAGCTTGAGACCGTGTATCCTGTGCAATGTCGTCCTCTCAGGATCATTAGATGTCTGCATAGTGACAGGAAGAGTAGACAACCTGGGATTTGAAGTTGTTACTTGTTAGGCTAACCTCAAATTGAGATTTCTAATGTCCCATCTCGCTGATCTTCTCTCAGCTGTTGACTTCTTCACCATCTTCTTGCTCTCTTTGTCTCCTACTCTTCCTTTTCGATTTTGGCTGCATCATACCTGCATGTGTGTTTGTGCATTGATAGGAGATTAGTGAGTTCGTCAGCCTCAGGCGAAGACATTAGGTTTCAGAATCTAAGTAGTTGTAGATAATATATACCTTTTACGATTGAATTGATAGCTTCTCTTTTTGGTTTCTTCGCATCAATAACGACTTAGGGTCAGGAGGAAATGTTTAAGACAGGGAAGAACCCACAAATCTCTAGGATTTTGAGAGTGTTGGAATGAGTTCCATACATTAGTTATCTACCAGGCGTAGGCTCCAATCCGTTCACATGCTTCTGAATCCGACCGACCCATCAGTCCTCATCGGAACTTTTCAGATCGATCTTTGATTCCCTCTCAGTGTGGCTGTCTCGACAGCCATTGGAATGGAATAGTGGGAGCATATCAGTTGAACACTTGTCTTCTGTTATGTTTGCATTTCATGATGTTGTAGAGCCTCCGGTTTGGATAAAGTTTGGGTCACTCTTTCTCCATGCCAACAGATCTTTAAGGGCCTACTACTGAGAATTCCAATTGCTCAATCAGCTTCTTCATGACCAGATTCGGATCCGAGGTTCTAGGGTTTGAATAAATTCAGATGAGGTAACTTTTGGAGAAGAAACGTTGCAATAGGAGATGCCCTTTCCATGCGGGTGCAGTCTCATCGCTATCATGTGAATTGTTATAACTGGTTCTCATGTGAGCTCAGACCTAATACCCCATCCAATTCATTAATATTACATCACTTGTTGTAAACCATCTGTTGATTCCAATTTCCAATCACTTAATTTTTTTTTTCAAGTTATAATTTTTACGCGTCTAATAATAATACTGGATTTTGTTTCAATATATTTATAACTTGTTCCCGGTGAAAAAAGAGAAGAAAAATAGTCCCCTTACAACGTCCGATTGAGACAATATTACCGAAGTAGCTGCGAACTCAATATCAGAAAACGAATGATATCTCTAGATTATTGCTATCAATTATTAGGTTAGGGTTTGTATAAATTTATCATCGTCGATCTTTTCTTCCACGTGAAAACACATCAAGTGACTGATGAAGGCCAAAGATGATAAGATGGTCTTAGATCGCGTCACGACGATACTGTACGCAATTACAGACGTGTAACTTAACCTGAGCCGAACACGTGAATGCATGCATCCATATACGGATCGCAATATCTTTCGGGGGACTGTTCAAATGTTCAAGAAACCACCAAATATGATGTGATCTCATTGCTAGAGATCATGGGATTAAATGAACCTCAAAGAGCAACAAACCCAACCCAATCACATGTTTTTCTTCGTTACTCCTCGCTTTCATTATGGCCCTCACCGGTCTCTTGCTTTGCTCAGCAAACCCTATTCAAGAAAATTAAAATACCTCTTCTAATTTCCTTTTCCATCTTATTTTTTTAAAACGTTTTGATTTATCTTTACGAGGATGATAGTATTATTAGTTTTTTTTTTTAAAAACATGTGATTTGTCAAGTGGGGTTCAAACTGGGTGGATCACTCTTTACGCATACCCACTTACCAGTTTTAATATCATTAGTTTTAATATCGTTTTGGGATACAAACTACACCATGGGCACGAAACCATACGCATTTCTTACCAAAAATATAATGTTGACATGGTGAACCGTTTCTATTAGGATCTTAATAAATCATCGTGAATGAATTAGGAATAATCGTCCCGCCGTCTAACTGCTAATTAGGATACGTAATTAAAGCCATAATTTCGTTAGAAATGAATAAAAACAAAATCTTTTACCGTTGTGATTATGAACTTAAATAGCCGACACCGACAAAAAGACTGTCATACCTCAAACTTAACCCTAAATTCAAATCCACGTCATCTTCGTCGTCATATATAACCCCTCACTCTCCCATATAAACCCTTACATTAAAGTTCAGAACTTTGCTAGAGGAGAGAGAGAGGGAAAGAAAAACACCAAATGAATCCTTTGATCAGAATTACAGTTCTCTTCTCTCTCTTGCTGGTAGAATTGCATCCATCGTTAGCGTCGAGACACAACGACGCCTACGTCAGGGACGCGTGTAGCGTAACGCGATACCAAGAACTCTGCATCCGATCGCTGTCTCCATTCTCGGCGGCGGCCAAGAACAGCCCCAGCAAGTGGGCCCGAGCCGGCGTCTCCGTGACCATAGCGGAGACCAAACGCGTCCTCAAACGCATCGCGGAGACGCAGCGTTCGGCGGCTGTCGGGAAACGCGACCGCGTAGCGTTGGCGGACTGCAGGGAGCTGTTGCAGGACGCGCTCGACGACCTCCACATGTCCCTCTCCGTTCTGAGGAAGCTGACCGCGACCGAGTTCCAGCAGCAGATGAGCAACCTTGCCACGTGGCTCAGCGCCGCCCTCACGGATCAGGACACGTGTCTCGATGGGTACGCGGGGACGAGGACATCGACGGTCAGGATCGTCCGGAGAAGGGTCGCCAACTCTATGTACTTCACGAGTAACGCACTCGCGCTCGTCAACAAGCTCGCGACCGCTGGTTTGTAGTTTCTCAAGCGCAATTATTATTCCACTCTCGGGCATGTTATCCAATAAGGTGATGGTTACACACACACACACATATATATATATATAGAAGAGTAGCCAGTTATATTATATGATTATTTAGATGCATAATAATTAAGTGATAAAGGTGTGTCTATATATATCTTCGTTGTCTTTAAAATATGTGGTACATACTATATGGATACAGTTGTTGTTATATGTGCTTTTATTAATTATGCCAAGGTACGTATACGTCTGGGCAGCTGTTCTATTATGAATACCTATCTATTTTCAAAGTGTACGAATTGTAAATCTATCCTTAATTTAATTATAAGCAAAATCATCAAACCGAAAATAATTTAATTACCGTCAGACAAAAATTCAACATCGATGACTTATTTGATGGATTTGTGTAAAGCCTGAGAAGATTGGGCCGTCTAAAAATTAAAATGAGCAATAGTTGAAGTAACACGGCCCATTATTTCTATTTAAATTGAGGCCCAGATCCGTTAATGAACATGGAAATAAAGCACACACGGGGAAACAACATACGAATGAAAAACACTACCAAAGCTTAAAGATCACATGCATGAACAATCCAAGTACACGCATATTATGAGGCTCGTATTAAAAAATAATAATAAAATTGTGATTTAACAATGGATTACTCAAAGTACCCTAACGCCGTCTCGAGAGATTTTTATTTATTTATTTATTCAAAAGTGGCTGATGCCGTTTTAGCGTGCGTGTAACACTTCACGCATGCATAAGTTTGAAGGTTTTTTTCTTGTGTAATTAATAATATATGATCTATATATACACATGATCATTTTGTGGACTATATATACATCATAATACATGTGTTGGAAAGCCATGCACGTGAATATCTAAAGGATATATATATATATATATATATATATATATATATAGCCCTCAAGTCCAGAAACCTAACAGTGAGAGACCATTCACCTTGCATCTTATCCTTTGATTAATCTTCATCCCAAATGATGAAGTCATTTTAATAATTTTCATAGACCAGATTAGTTCATAAATATATAGGCATTTTCCATTTTTATCATCACGAGCATATATATATATATATAACAGCTTTAATTAGCTACATGTGACATGTACTCCCCCCCCCCCCCGACAATTTGAGCCCTAAATATTTTTAAAAAATTCTTCATACCCTAGTGTATTAATGATCAAATAAATACTAGATTGCATTGTGTCTCAATTTGTTTTTTGCCTTTTTTTCGTTAAGGGTGATATATATATATATATATATATATATATATATATTAGTACAAGATGCAATTGAATCGGCAATCGATCTTTTGTACAGTAGAGGAAGCGGAAGAGCATAGATTCTGGCAATGAAGTCATCATCATCACCAAATCTATTACAGACATTAACGCTAACGTGTCCGGATCCGCCACTATATCAGCCCCATTACAATAACAATTGCATCTTCTTCTTTTTGTTCAACGTTAAACACAGTTATGTCTACTTTGTATTACCTTAATGAACCTGTTAATTGGACTCCCCAGTTCAGCAGTAAGATAATCTATTTCCTAATATTAAATATTTAATACACTAACTTTATTGGTTAATGTTCCTTAATATTGAAATTAGTCAAACGATCAACATTAACCCGAGCCTAAGGCTAAGAGTGACTGATTAGCGACACTTTCTATGGCTGAAGACCAAAACAAAGGCTCTTAAGCATCACCCATTGGTAGAGACTCTGCCTCGCTTCTTTTTACCATATTAGTTCCCATTTACGTTATTCGTACAAATGCAGACGACAGAATTTGAACCCATTTTTGCATATGGTAAGGGATAGAAACAAGGCTACATCAATGAAGCTCCACGGGGTACAGAATATTTCGTTCAGACAGTTCATGGGTCTAAAAAAACATAGCGGTGTTGCCACAGAAATCTAGATTACCTACAGAAGCTCTCATGACATGAAAAACCATAAAAGGATTGGACCTCTTAGTCTCTCTCTACTTTGGATTCCTGAGGACGATAATCACCGAGTCTCCTCGGAGAAACATCTTACTGATGAACCGATCCCTGTTCACAGGGAGAGCCTTCTTCTTGCCTTTTCCCGTCTTTGGAACCTAGACCAAGAGGGCAGATAAAAAAGCTTGAGACATTGTAGAAATTTCTCTAAATGAACAAAGCATGTGGTATGGGTACAGAGTAGCAGTCGAGAACTAGGTTTACCTCGGTCCACATTTCCCTGACATTCTCAAGAACCATGTTGCAGTGCCTGTCAAATGCCCTTACTCGCCCGAGAAGCTTCCTGTTGTTCCGGCAGTTGATTAGCACCTGAATGAACAAATTACGATAATACATCATGCCATGAATCCACAAACTCATCAAAAACGTCAAGCAGGTGCTATAAACAAGCTGTTGGATTGGAGGAACAACAGACCGCTCGACAAAATCCATTATAACAGTTAAACTAAACTATCAGGACATCCTCTTACATCTGGCTCGTAAAGATTAAGAGCACAACAAGATCTGCATACCTGGGTGTTGTTCTTAACGCTCATCATCAGAACAGAGAGTGGTCCAGTGTTGAATTCCTCCTCCTCGTTCTTTACCTGTTAACAAAGTGTAAAGAAATGGGGCCGAGAAAAGAATGACCAAAGAAACCATATCGAGTAGGGAAACTTATTACTCCACACCTCAAAGCGCTAACAAGCACATTACTTCCAAACAGTATATGCAAGACATGACAATCTAAGGAACTACCTTACCTACTTTGGTGATTTACTAACACACAGCCACCAGAAGGTTACATATGAACAAGAATCCGAGAAACAAATCCTGATGGAGTCATAACTTAAATTTTGAAACTTTAAAAACACAAGAAAGCAAAGCGAGGGAGGCAACCAGACGGAAATGGCTAATGAATCCTTTTTCTCGAGTACTACAGAACAAAACTATTTCCACGAGGTTATTAGGGGTTTATGCCACAGAAGGAGACGATAGCTAGAACAACAGAGCAGTAAACCAGTCGATTACGAGAAATTTACTTACGTTAGTATCCTCTTCCATCGGCCGACTGCACAGGGAAAAAATCAAGAGAAAAGAAATGTCAAAAACTTGCTAACAAGCGCGATTCAAACGTAGAAGAGACTGAGAACGGTAGAGAAAGACCTCATGCTGACTTGACGTGAACTCTGCCCGAGAAAGTTCGCCGACTAGGTTGGAACTGCAAACGACTAGGGTGAATGGATGAGAAGTCGATAAACGGAAACACATTTGTAGAGAAATCAGATCGACAAAATTAGGGTTTTTACCTTCGGAATCCGGCTTTCGTTTTCCAGAGATCTGTAACCGAAGACGATGAACAAAAGAAGGGTCAAGGCGGTAAGCGAAAGGCTGAAGTGAAAGAGGCCCACATAAAGTATTAGTACTTCTATTGGGCCTCAAGGCCCATACATTGATCATTTTATTTATTTTCCATTATATTTCCCAAACTATTTCACAGAAATCCAACTGTTTCAAAGAACTTGATTTTCGACCCCTTACGTTTAGATATTCACAATAACTCCCACAACATCAATAATTAATCAGTATTATCCAAAAGGGAAATGACTACATCAACATAAAAAATTTTTTATAACCAGGATGGTTATCCGAACGTTCGAACCGACTACATTCACCTTATTTCCAGAACCAATCTTTGTATATGGACTATTTTTAGTTCAGAAATTGCGTCCCTCCCCAACCGTGGAATCAAACCCACGATATTGAGAATGGCTTTTATCTCGATTAGTTTGATTAATAAACCCATTTCAATTATTTCATCTATGATTATGATTTATGAATGAAAAGATGCTGCAAATTAGACTTATTCGAAAAAAGAGAAGTTAATGGTTATATATTATTCCAACAAATACACGCATTGCTTGAGAAGTGCACGAGTATTTTTTATTATTATTATTACACAGAAGAGTGATGGAGCAAACGGCCACCGCCCAAACCGCAGAGGAGACTGGCCTGGGGCCGTTTAGGTCTCCGTTGGCCGTTACTAACGCCGTTGGTGACCTTCTCCACGGAGAAGCTAAAGTGGCGGATGGGAGTGACGGCGAGAGAGGCGGCGTCACCGGTGCGGACGTCGAGCCAGGAGATGATGTCAGCAAAGACGAGGTCGACGTTGTGGTCGGGCTCGCCTGACGTCAGCGCATGCCACATCCCCGGGTACATCTTAATGGTCTTGTCTTTGCTGCTGGCTTTCTCGTACAATGATTTGCTAATCTCAGGGTCCGTCACGATATCTGCCTCCCCATGCAGCACCAAGAACGGCGTCGTTATCTACGTTTACACACACAAACATGTATATATTGCAAGTGTGTTCCATATATGTGTGCGTGTATATACATGTATATACATAATGGATCGAAACACTAGAAATGTAATGACCTCATGGAGCGTGTCTTCGAGGTTGATGCTGGTTCTGAGCATTTCAAGAGCAGTTTTGAGTCTGGGCTTGTCCTGGTAGATCAGCTTGTTGTTCCTTACCTGCACCCATGATATTTTAGAACAAAAGATGCATGTAGACGTATCAAGTTGGTGAATTGAGGAATACATATACATATATATATATATATATATATATATATATATATATATATATATGTGTGTGTGTGTATATGTAGCAGAGGAGGAAGATATAGACCTCTTCTCGCTTGAAGGGGTCCTTGAAGGCAGAGTCGATAACGTCTTTGGATGGAACAATCTTCCACTTTGGTATGATCTCTTCCACTCTCGTCAGCAGATTTATCACCACGGGGTGTGGCTTCACTTTCTCCGATATCTACACATGCACGCCCTTCACATATCTCAGCTCAAAAACCACATTCCTCGATCGGCAATCCGGCCATTAAATCATCATCATCATCGGTGTCTAATTTACCTTGCACATTGGAGCGAGAAGAATGGCACCGTTCCAGAAGGAAGGGTCTTTCTTATGAAGCAGCAGTGCCACTGCACCTCCCATGGATTCTCCATACAAGAATCTTCCTTTCTCCCTGTATCCTTCCTGTGCTGCCACGTGAGCGGCAAAACACAAAACCACGAGCTGAAATTTAGGTGCGTTGTACAATCGGTCTACGTCTATTCCTTCATATGGGTTTCCCAAATTGTACAAATTAAAAAAAAAAGGAAGATAATTTTCAAATCAGAATCTTGAATGCAGCATTCATTTCTAAGGATAGTAATTGTCATTGGTCCCACGCAATTGATAAAAGGGTCAGTTAGTAGTTGGTAGATCAAACACGTTTCTATTTCACAATATATAACAACAAAGAAGAAGATGATGATGATCATGATGATGGTGATGATGATGATGATATAGATATAAATATGGATAAGCATACCACAGATGGAGGTGTAATAGCCGTAGCAGTCATCTATAATGTTGGAGAACTTCTTGATGTAGCAGCGAGCGCCCTTGGACTGACCGTGGCCCTCGTAGTCCATCCCAAACACCGCGTATCCCGCCGAAGCCATTCTCATTCCGCATTCTACATATATATATATATATATATGAATATTCCATTCACTTATAACAATTTTTCATCCATAAGCATTTCCTTCTAGAAAGCTCTAATGAAAGGAACAAACCAAGTAACCAACCACTCGAACATGTGTAGTTGCTGCAAGTCAAATCAAAACCATATGTACTTTGGGACCAGAAGGTAATTAATTAGTCAAAGCGTCGGTCGATTAGGAGATTTTAATTCTTCCCTAATCAAGTAGAGAAATCAGTAAAATAGCGGGTTAGTTTCTATTAGAAGCCACACGAAGACCAAATTTTGTTACTGATTGTTGTCCCACCCACACCTACCGGACTGACCTACCCTCCCTCCCTCCTCCCCTCACTACACATTCTTCTCTTTCACTTTGAACCTCCAAAAACAAACTCACAGTAAAAGGACACTGTATGTATATAACCATTGATTGCATCTATCTACCACCAATATACGACATCTACTACGTGGCCAATGGAGTCAAGTCCTCGCCCTTGTTTTGGGGGCCAGTTGATTCGACCCACATATACATAATTCGTCTTCAAACGAACACCGATACGTAAAACAGTAAAAGGACAAAACTTGTCATGAAATCAGCTGGTAAGGATACCAAAGAGTGACAAGTGCAAAATGCAGAAATGGGCATTACCGTAAGCAAAAGCAGCAGCACCAGCAGCTGCTTTATCTTATATTCACCAGAAAAAAAAAAAGATTAGATTTTTTTCTAAGGTACATTCACTTGTATTGCCATACGCAGCATTATAATTGGATCATGTCGTATTATTATATTATCCGGAAGAAATTAAACCTCAAGTCAACCACGTATTGTTTCACATCTACAAAAGGACAGGTGACAACTGTTAGAATTTATTGGTATGGTAATGATAATAAATTAGTGATTTTTCTTCCCTATGTTCCCCATATATACATGTAAGGTACTGGGAAACCCGACTTATCAAAATATATATATATATATATATATATATATATATATATATACATGTAAGGTAGAACAGAATTGAGCGTTACGATCTTCTGCACGTTTAGGATTTCTTTTACAAATTGGAGATATAATAATTACTTTGGAAAAGGAAATTATAGATCTTATTAATATTTATATTAAATAAAAAGATGGGAAGAGAGAGAGAGAGATTGCGTTAAAGAGGGAGAGAGTAAATACCCCTCATGAAGCGACTGCACTCCATTCCGTAGCCTGCAGAGAAGAACACCATACTATTCATTGGTAGGGTTTTTTTTGCTTTCGAATCAAATTTCAAAACGGACAATATCGAAAGTGTAGGCATATGTATACACTGTCTCGACACATTCGAGATAGAGAGAGAGAGAGGGAGTACCATGGCAGAGGAAGACGAGAGCTCTGGGAGAAGAAGGCGGAACCCAGCTGCAGGCGAACAGCTCTACGCCTCGCGAATTTCTTATATATTCCTGCTCAGTTAATTTGCACATTATATATTACAAACCCGAATCCTGTAAGATGACTCCAGAGAGAGAGAGAGAGAGAGAGAGAGAGAGAGAGAGAGAGAGAGAGAGAGAGACCTCGTGGTACTCGTATTCGGATTTGATGATCGGATCGGAGAGGATACGTTGCTGAGTATAAGTTCCGACGTCCATCGGAGTTTCAGTATCCCTCAGAATTCCTCGTCCGCAGTTTTGGAGGGAGAGAGACAGGATGGAGGAGGATGCGAGGGCGGGGGGTTCTCTATTTATAGGAGAAATTGTTTGTTTTGGTTCTGTAAATGATTTTCAAAGAGAGAGGAAGTTTGGGGCTGAAAGGCCCAAATGGGGAAAAGCGAGAGATGATGACAGATGGCGTCCCTCTCTCCTCCCAGGCCCATCCCTTTTTGTGATTCATAAGGTATATATACATACGGAATAACCCCGAAAATGTTCAAATAATTTCGTATTATACTATTTTTGTTGTGTAACCATTTTCAAACTTAAATGTTTTATATCGGTCAATTATTAGGTCACTGATATTTCTTATTCATTTTTGCCCCATTGTCTTAAATCTTTAAATTGGTCTACTACACAAACGTTCCAATTATTTTCAACTTTCAAAGAAAATTGATGTGGATTTACAGTGCCAGTTAAGCACAACATCCATGCTAGTTTAGATCACTTGGATAAAGAACCGAGAAAGGGTCATATCCGAAAGAACTGAGATTGAACTAACATGGTGATTCGAGAGTTCAAAAATAAAAATAAAATCCGAGAGCTATAACAAAGAAATGACAAAAAATGGGGAAACAGAGTGACTGAAGAGTACATAACAAAGGGACTTAGCTCATCCTCTGGGCAGCCTCCTTTGCAAGAACCCTCTCCTTGGCTTTGGTCTTTGCCTGAGATTTGGACCCCATTATGCCACCTCCCCACTTCTTTCTATTCTCATCGTACTTGTCGTTGAAGTTTGCCTACAAAACATAAACACCCAGATCGGTAAAACACAAGTTTCTTCAACAACACAAGCGGTTCACTATCCTAGTACACTACTGTCTACCTTGATGGCCTCGAGGATTTTGCTAAACTCCATCTTGTCCTCGTTCTTGACAGTGGTCAGGCACAGGCAAGAAGCAGTCTTCTTGTGAACAACCTGAGTGACAATAAGAAACAATCATTTATCCATTGTCTGTCCTTACTGAAGAGAACTATTTGAACTAAAAGCCAGATGCAGAGATTATATATTACTGCTCCAAGACGCGATTTCCCCTTGACAATGCAGTAAGGGACTTCCATCTTTCTGCACAGAGCAGGCAACCACACGACCAACTCAATTGGGTCAACGTCATGAGCAATCACCACAAGTTGCGCCTTGTTCTGCAATCAGGCAAAGCCTTGTAAAATTTTCGGGTTCTGGAAAAACTTCACCACAGCTGAAGGGAAAGTTTGCAATTTGAGAAAAAGACTACCTGCTCAATGAGGTAGGTCACATGGTTGAGGCCGTACTTCACAACAATAGGCTTCTTGGCCTCGGAAGGCTTTCCCTCAGTCTCAGCTTGGGCCTTCTTGAGAAGACGCTCTTTCTTGGCCGCCTTGTCCTCTGGCCTATACTTGAGGAGGAGCTTGAAGACGCTGGTTGCTGCAATTTCCAGCACACAGGCCGAATTAGAGTGCTGAGATATATAATTAATTCTGTGCATATGGAAAGCATATAGAGAAATCGCATAAAAACAAACAAACAAACAAAAACATGCAAAAGAAACAGTATGTGTGTCTCATGGCCAGTCCCAAGAGGTAATGGCAACAACGCTGCTCCACAAGGCAATGGAATATGAGACAATGAGATTCACGGAGGATCTCCTGGTTATCAGGAGGACCATCAACGCTACTACTAGTTGATTTGTGACGGTTACTTTGGGCTTTGCAAGCATTTGATTAAGCTTGCCCCTAGTCAAGTAATGATTTCCGGAGAGAAATCCCATCAATGTATGCAGATAGAAAAGAAAACACAGACAATGTCGAGAAAGTATCAATCGTAATGCAACATAGGATCAACTAGCTAGAAACAAAAAAGAAAACACAAGCATAGAGTCATAGACATAAAGAAACAACAAACATTCAAGATGATTCGCTTATCATTACAGGCAGATAGATTTGCATAAATAAAAACATGACAAGCAAAACAACAAGTTACCTAGATTCTTGTCAAGAGTCTTAGTGAATTGGTTAACAGCAGGCGGGACCTTCAACCTCTGCTTAAGGATGCGTTTCTGCCTCTGGAGGCGGATGGCTTTTGGCCATTTGATATACCGAGAAAGATCCTTCTTGGGAGGCAAGGCACCACCAATACCGAATTGCTTGGGCCGCTTCTCAAACAATGGGTTTGTCACTTTCTCCTACAATATCAAAATATTAACACACAGAATTATAAGAACCAACAAAAAATGCTACTTGAAAAGAAGAACTTTCTATGAGAGTATACCGGCTTCTTCTTGGTAGCCACTTTAACTCCTTTCTTGGGGGCCTAAATCCAGTGGTTGCATTAGCAAAAATCTTAGAAAAACGATTGACTAAGCGGAGCTAAGCCAACATAAAGAGATCGAATCAAGATTCAGATAAGAAAACGAAAACACAAAAAAAAGGCACAGATGCTGCTCTGAGAATAGCCTAAAATCACTGAAAACCCCAGGATAACAAAGGACAGAAGAGAGCGGAAAAAAAAGGAATCAGAGAACAATGGTGAAGAGACACGGAAACGATGTGTGATTCAAATATGAAAATTTGAAGATAGGGTTAGGGTTTACCATTTCGTCTTCCTCCGAGGCAAGTTCGCTTGACGGCAGCGGCGAGAGAGATGAGGGTTAGTGTTTATACGCAAATGATCCTGGTAGGGCAATCGTGCTGTTTATTTTTTCTCCTTCCTCTGTTTTTTTTTTTGGTGTTGGGCCTGGCATTAATGGGCCGAAAATGTTTATGGGCTCATGCAGATGAGGCTTTCTATTTATACAATTCACACGCAAACACTCCTAGACGACACCGTTTGATGACTCCGAAAATACCGTGTGTGAAACGTCGTCGTTTGCGTAAGACCAAAACCCTAGACGGATGCCATTTTTATCTCTCTCATCTTCCCCAAGAACATTTTCACGCGCGGCGAGAACTGAACCACAACTGTAGCCCAGCGTCAGGGGAAATAACCCAGTGATTCGCCGAGCAGAGGAAGACGACGATGAGTCGAGGAGCGGCGGCGTCGGTGGCAGCGAAAGGGGGGAAGAAGAAGGCGGCGAGCTTCGTCATCGACTGCTCGAAGCCAGTGGAGGATAAGATCATGGACATCGCTTCTCTGGAGAAGTTCCTCCAGGAGAGGATCAAGGTCGGCGGCAAACCCGGTGCTCTCGGAGATGCAATCACCGTTACTCGTGACAAGAACAAAATCACTGTCACTGCCGACACGAACTTCTCTAAAAGGTAAATGAATCGACAACAACCGCTGGTGTTCCTTTATTTGCTGCGGACACGTTTGGGATTCCGAATCGCTTCCCTTTCGTCTATAATGTGGTTGGATTTGTTGGAGAAATTGATTTTGTTTCGCTTTACATTTTATTGAATTGTTGCATTCTCTCGCATTGTATCAGCTTTTAGAAAAAGTCAGGGATTTGAACTTTATTTCCAAAAAAAGGTTGTAACTTGCGGCTGATGTTGAGCGCTCACGACCTTCATTGATTAAATGGCATAATGTGTGATCATGTTTGAAGCTCGACAATGGAAACCCATTTGTCAAATGAGATTCAGGGTGTTCTTTGATTTGCAACTTGGTTGTATAACGTGTACTCCATAAGAAAATGTATCGGATTGGCCCTGGATTATGGTTGTGGCTGATTTGGATAAAGTTGCAGTTTTTCCCCTCCGTGAGATGCTTAATCATGTCCTCTTTGTTCTGATTCAGATACCTTAAGTACTTGACTAAGAAGTACTTGAAGAAGCACAATGTTCGTGATTGGCTTCGAGTGATTGCCTCGAACAAGGATAGGAGTGTCTATGAGCTACGGTACTTCAACATTGCCGAGAACGAGGGCGAAGAGGAAGACTGAAAACTCCAACCCGGTTGGTTTGGTTGCATTTTGTTTATTTTCCATCGTCTCGTCAGTTGTCTGAACATGCTGAGATCCTGTCCAAAAATGTTATCCTGAGAAATTTCAGTTGCAGAGTTCTTTAGCTTGTCTGTTAGTTTCCCACTTTCATAAGACGGCAATTTCTCTTCTGCAATCCAATTTCGTATTCACGCTTGTTTATGGCTTCTGAAATCGAACTTCGTCTGATCATATTTCAATAGAAATCATAGATATTGGTGAAATTTTCAAAGTAAAACTCGAGAGACGTTTTGGATCCATTACTTTGCGAACGGGATGTGCATTGGATTTGGCACAAGTGGTATGGTTGTGATTGCTCGATTTGTATTATTTAATTTAATCTGCATAGAAATAATTGACTCATCAATGAAATCGATCCAAAATACATTGAATTGTTTAATCACAATAAAGATTGTCTTTTTCGACCGTGGCTTTCCTCGTCGTAAACGATGGGGCCCCGGCTGTGTGTTTGACGTCAAAAAGCACTTACAGTAAGTTTCTAATGATAAACCCAATTAAAGTAACCTTAATTATTCCATGAACAGTCATTAAGCACTAATATAATATGGACTTGCGTCTCCCCCTAGACTTCCTATTTCAATGAGTCAATGTCAATTATATATTAATTTGTTTATACAAGGAATCCCTTTTTAATATTAATAATAAAAAAAGGCAAAACTTTTTTCCATAATCCTCGATTTCCATATTTAGCCAATTTGAGTTTTCTCTGTGTAAAAGTGGGCCTACGAAGATCAATTGCTTTCTGCTGTGGTGTGTTTTGAAACTAAGCAAAAACAAAAGGATGCATAAGAAATCACGCTACGACGGAAAAGGAGAAATAAAATTATAATTAAGCCCTCATATATTCCAAAATATTTGCGAAGTAGGGTAAAATAAAAAACAGTACAAATTGCCCCCCAACCCCCCCAGTAGTTTCGTGCCACCCGTCTTTCTCGTGCGCATACAACTGAACTGACATGTCCATGTAGGAATAGAAGTCCATATGTCTCTCGGAGTTCCAATAAATGGCTCACGAACCTCCACCAACCAGCCCTCATCTATTCAAACTTGCGCCGCCGTCGCTCCGTCTGATCTCCGGCGATCGGCCGCCGGTGGAGTGTCGCAGTTCTCCGGTACGTGTTTTCTCATTGCATGGATCTCTTGGCATGTCGTTCCCTCTGTTTATCAGCTTTCGTTCCCGCTCTCTCTTTCGTTCGGGAATTTTTGTGATTTTTTTTCCTGCCTTCGTGCAATTAGGGTTTTGGCTTTTGATTACGCGAAGATCTGACGTCGCGACTGAACTTATGATAAAGGTCTTAGATTTGTTTTCCTGGAATGGGTTCATCTGGGTTTTGATTCGTTATTATAGGATAAACTTTGATGATGTTTCTCGGTGGATAGTCCATGAATTCTGAACCGGTTTCTTTGGAGAGAGTTCTGTCTGTCTTGTATTGTCGTGAGACTATGTTTCGAAAGGCTAGGCCGAAATTTTCAGATTCTAAACGTTCTAAGCCTCTTTCGTATGTCAGGTCAGGTTGTTTTCTCCTGGTGATCACAAGTAATTGTCCTGTTCAGTTGTCTTGCTAGGGGTTAAACTACAATGGTGTCGATCCTTAATCAGACAGAGGAATTACATGAATCGTCCAATGTCCTTGGACACATCAGATGCGGAAGCTACTTCCTGTTTTCTGGAGAAACTACTCTTTCGGATGGTTTCCGTGCAACCTTATACTTTCTCGGTCTTGCCTACTGCTTTATCGGGTTGTCCGCCATTACTGCACGGTTCTTCCTGTCTATGGAGAATGTCGTGAAACATTCTCGCAAAGTAGTGGAGATAGATCCTGTTACTAACTCAGAAATCATCACATACAAGAAAGTCTGGAACTTTACGATTGCAGACATCAGTTTGTTGGCCTTCGGAACCAGCTTTCCTCAAATCTCATTGGCTACCATTGATGCAATACGAAATGTCGGGGAGCTGTACGCAGGAGGTTTGGTCCTTTCAATGTTCTTTGCTACTTCTACCTGTTACCTTGAGCTAATTTCCCGATTGATCTGCATTCTTTCTTTGCACCCGGCTACTATTTCTTCTCGGCGTAAAAAGATTAGAAAATCTTCTCACGGCATGTATTGCGTATAGGTCTCGGTCCGGGAACGCTTGTTGGTTCTGCCGCATTTGATCTTTTCCCCATCCATGCTGTTTGCGTGTTAATGCCAAAGGCCGGAGAATTGAAAAAGATTGCCGACTTAGGCGTCTGGCTAGTGGAGCTGATTTGGTCTTTCTGGGCTTACATCTGGCTCTACATAATCCTCGAGGTAACTCCAAAAGAGTTCTATTCATCTCAAACAATACGATTAAAGCCTCCCCTTTTACATTCACGCCCCAATGTAACAGCAGATGTGACCATAATTCATGAGAATTTGAATATCGGACGTGTCTTTGGACCGCAGGTTTGGTCACCAAAGGTTATTACACTTTGGGAAGCCTTGTTGACAGTACTGCAATATGGATTGCTTTTGCTGCATGCTTATGCCCAAGACAAGCGTTGGCCTTACTTATCGTTACCTATGTGAGCTCCTCTCTCTCAAGCAATCGTTTCATTCTCCGAAATCCTGCAAAAGGAATTCCGTTGATGATTTTGTATCTGTAATTGAAGGCCGAGGGGCGATAGGCCAGACGAGTGGGTTCCGGCGGAGATCGATCCATCTAAAGAAGATAATGATGTTTATGATGGTTATGATGATATCGCTCGGACAGAGCTGGGGAACAGAAACATTGTTGATATTTTCTCAATTCATTCGGCTAATGATTCAGGTATTAGGTATTTATCTTCATCATTTGTCCATCTATTCGAATATAGACACTTAGCTATAAATCTCTCAATCACTTAATGTTCATAGTGTGTTTATTCTGTATGTTTGTCCATCTATTCGGATATAGACACTTAGCCGTACTATTACCAATCACTGTTTCCCTGTAACGGAAATTTGCAGGGGTAAACTATCATGCAGTGTCAGATGTTCCGCCTGAATCTTCCCGCACGAAGGCCAATGCCGAGAATTCAAATGTGTTTTCCATTTGGAAGCAACAGTTCATGGACGCACTCGTGGTATAACCTTCGGTTTACAATTTCATATGACTTCTGGATAACATTTTTAACTTACCAGTGGCCTTTAGCTGGAATGATGTGTATTTTGTCTTGCCCTTTTCGCCATTATAATAACTCGACTTACCTGCTCGACTTTCTTCAGACGTTCTTGGTATAGTTTCGTAGTAATTTTCTCTTTTCTTCTTGAACAAACCGCCTTTAGAACAAGAATGAACTTTCCTGTTGAACAGCTGGAAACAGCAGAAGCAAGGAAAGTGGACAGTGTGCTTCTACGGATTGCGAAATTGTTCTGGCAACTAATTCTTGCACCTTGGAGGCTTCTGTTTGCATTTGTGCCGCCTTGCCACATCGCTCACGGTTGGGTCGCCTTCACATGCTCGCTCATGTTCATCAGCGGAGTTGCTTACATCGTGACTCGGTTCACAGATCTTATAAGCTGCGTCACCGGTAATATATCTTTCCGCCCTTTAGAAACCCGAATCTCGGGGAGAATCTGCCTGAATCAATTACCTGAATGAATTGAGAAAATATTTGCAGGGATAAACCCATATGTGATAGCGTTCACAGCACTGGCGGCTGGAACGTCGTGGCCAGACTTAGTAGCGAGTAAAATCGCTGCTGAGCGTCAGCTAACTGCCGACTCTGCCATTGCCAACATCACTTGCAGGTGCATCACATATTCTTCCATTTAAATATCATAATCTATAATCTTTGTTAGGATCATGTAGTATACCATTAACGCCGTTCATTAATAATCAAAATTTTGCAGCAACTCGGTGAACATATACGTCGGGATAGGGGTGCCATGGCTGATAGACACAGTCTACAACTATGTCGCGTACAAAGAGCCGTTGTACATACAGAACGCGACAGGGCTGAGCTTCTCGCTGCTCATGTTCTTCGCCACGTCAGTGGGGTGTATAGCTGTTCTCGTGTTGAGGCGTTTGGTCCTGGGAGCGGAGCTGGGTGGGCCCAGGGTGTGGGCCTGGTTGACTTCCGTCTATTTCATGCTCCTCTGGCTCGTCTTCGTCACCCTCTCCTCCCTTAAAGTTTCGGGCCTCATATAAAAAAAAATAAAGGGTTTTTGTGTTTTTTATCATTAGGGCTAATTTCGTAATATGGCCAAAATGTGTGTTACAAAGCAGAAACTTACTCAGTGATATTCAATAATTGAGATGCAACTGGAGGGTTACATAGAAAATGTTCTCCGAAGGCAAATTTTTGCCTCTTGCTTGCAGACACTTGATAGCATCCAATGACGGTACAAAAGCAGAACGGGGAATGACAAGATTTTCAATGTATTATATTTTATTCTGTAATAAACCTTCTGCCCAAAGGAGAGGGTCTCATGTCCCACGGGCCACGGCCACAACAAGACAAGAACCAGAGACTCTTCTCACTTAGTGAGGGTGTTTGTTTAATCAAGCAAGGGCACCAGCACAAGCTGTTGCATGAACAGCAGCTTCGACCTGTCTCTTAGCCGAGCTGTACTTCTTAGTGATAAACCTATTAGAAGCACAAAAACATGTAAAAAAAACAGAAGCTTTCACTACCACTGCTACTGCTCCCAAAGAATCAAAACCGATAAAGAGCAAAATTTTGATCTTTTACCTGAAGAAATCCCTCCACAGCAACTCGTACATCAACCAGTTGAGTCCAATGTCTCCTGATGATCCTTTCCTGCAGACCATTTCAGCATTCCAACACGAGCTCAGCTTAGTTACCTATTAAACGCCCCATGTATCGACTATCGACTTCCCAAAGTTACGACTCTTATGCTTCTAAAAGCAAGAACCCTGTATTCGTATTCAATGTGCAATCCCTAGTATCTTAGATTTACCGCTTAACTAGTCCTCAATACCTTTTTCCACAATCCATGTCCTTTTCTTGGAGTCTGACACTATACCCCAATCGATATGAACCCTATGCATCTTTGGCTCCACCAATTCTTTCAGTTCAGCATTTTAAAAATGTGCTCCTGACAAAATAAATAAACATGTACGGTTTTAGAGGGTGTGTGGTTTCGAATCCGTACTTTGAAGTTACGGCAGAGGTAGTGCTTGCGACGGTTTTCTTCAGCTCATCGAACATGGAACGAGGAGAGATGCATCCCATGGCCAACCATGGTGATATCTTGCACGAGAAGTTTGAGCCATACACACTGTTACTGTTGTCCTTCTGCTTAGCCTTGTTTGATCGAGCCTGACACTCTGCTGCGAAGCTCTGTATCCTATTCAATGCCTCTGTCTCTCCTCCTACCCTTGCCGGTTTCCCCTCCTGCAGCAAAGAATCGGTTAAGCATTGTGTCTTGTGCTGAAGGAGAAGACTCATGGTTATATGTTAGAGTCTCTGTTTCCTACAACACTAAGGCCATTCTGCAGGAGTGGTTCGATCAGATTGTTCACAGTTAATGACGAATTACCATGTGTCCGAAGTATCATGTGATGCATACATAACACTTCATGCATATAAATCATGTAAACCTTCGGCCTTCGGTCATCGGGTGTGTGTTCAAATGGATTTAGGACCTATGGACCTATGCAAGTTTACACCTTTCTGATCAACCCACGTACATCGAGCAAATTTCCATCTCTATGCCTTATCTCTATAGATTCTTCAAGCGCATCTGATGCTCTAAACCTAGGAATGAAGAACTAACTCAAGCTAGCTAATCGATCTAACTCAGTGTAGATAAACATAGTACGTTCTCTGGCAAATGAGATAAGAACCCCGAACCTGACTCGTTCTAGCGCTTGGATTAATCCCGAGATCCACCAGAGAAGGAATATCGCCGGGCTCTACGTCCCCGCGAGAGGGCAAGCCTTTCAACTGATCAAGAGCAGCCATAGTTTTTCGAATCTCCAATCCCTTGACTTTGTCCCTAAATGCTCCGTAATTCGCCGGCATTTCGCCTAATTTGAACGGTAAATCGTCCATGTGATACAGAGTGCTTCCCCAGAAGTACTTCACTTCCACGCCTTCCTCCTTCATCGCCGCTTCTATCCTCTCCTCCGCTTTAACCTCATCGTGCGACACTTCCCGGTGAGCGTAAATAGCGTCTGCTCCAACCTCCTTGGCCAATTCCACCAGAACGGACTCTGGCTTCCCGACACGGACAACGAGATCCGACCCTCTCGCTTGGAGATTCTTCCGGAGGTCGGAGACGGATTCGATCAGGAACTGGGCGCGAAAAGGCCCTGTTTTGTCGAACCCAGACGAGGATTTGACATAGTCTCTTGGGTCGAAGCAGTAAACGGGCAAAACGGAGACGCACTCATCGTTGGCGGAGCTGAGGCATTCGTTGTCGTGGACGCGGAGGTCATTGCGGAACCAGACGACGGAGGCGCGGCGAAGAGCTGCGGCGGAGGAAGGATCGACGGGGCGGCGAGGGCCGAGGGATAGAGGAGACTGCAGAGGATTGGCGGCGACGGTGGAGTTGAAGGAGATTCTGGAAGGAGGAGGAGGAGGAGCGGTGGAAAGAGAGAGATGGGTGAGAGAAGAGGCTTGGGTAGGGATTTTGACCTTGTTTGGATGGTGAGGAAATAACTGAGAAAATCTAGGGTGAAGGAAAAACTGGGTGTAGCTGGGGAAGAAGGTGGAGAAGGAGAGAGAGATTGAAGCGATGGGTAGAGAAGAAGAAGAAGAGGGGACAATGGCGAGTGCGTCTTGTTCCTCTGCGGATTTGGTCTCTCCGGTTAGGTTTTCTTGAAGATTGGAATCCATTTCTTCAGGAGAATGAGCGAAGTGCGCAAGGGCTTCTGAAGGAGAACAGGGTGATAAGCCCTCCTCGATTCTGTTCCTCGGGTTCATACCTTAGGCTTTTTCCCAAACAACCCTCCTTTTTTTTTCCATCTAGCAGTAATTAAAAATTCACTGTTGGTAAAAGAAAAACAAAATCAATCACTGATTTTTTTTAATGACAATGAATGCAATTCTAAACTCAACGATAATCTAGTTATAATTAATTTAATGAACATTATATTCTAATTTATTGTCGTGAAAACAAACAAAATCTAAACAATTATTTTCTTACATACTTTTGTCGTTATAAGACCCGGTCTCCGACAAAATTAGAACACGATTAAAGATCAAACCACTCCTTGACACAGACAGAAGAGATACGACCACCTACACTCGAGCTCGTCGATCCGGGCGTGCAATGTTCTGTTTGGCAGCCGGGAAAGTGACGGAAAGCAGCCACAATCTTGATTCTTGAAGCTTTGTTAAACGAGACCCTCCAAACTTGATATCCGAATGTTTGTTCATATTAAAATTTTGAATACATATACGTAAAAAAAATCCACCAATAAGAAACACACACAGAGACAGCAATTTAGGGATTCATCATCAAAGGGTCACCCAAATGAACTTTGAACAAAAGCTAAACACACGTACGTGTGAGTATATTACCCGGAAAGAAAGGAAACGAAAGGCACCGATAGTGAGGAGGTCATGTTGGAGAAGGGGAGCACGTGCAAATCACACGTATTCCGAGTTCTTTTTGCACGTGCCCTGCTTCTCCAACGTGAATTTGCTCACTCGCATCGTCTAGCAACTGAGTTCGCGAACTCGGTGAGGCTGTGGCTTTTGAAACGGTTGCGCGTATATATGTATATATATAGGCCGAGTTGGATTCATTCAGACTTTGCATTAATGATACACTTATATATATATGTGTGTGTATGTGTATGGGTGTTTTACGTATGTATGGGAAAAGGCAAAGGAGCCATGCCATGCAATGATGGTTCCACGCAAAAGCTAAGAATGAGAGAACCAGAGGAGATTAGGGCCAAAGGATGCCTTGTCTAACAAGTTAAACGATTATATTCACAAAAAGTTTTTTAAAAAATAAAATAAATAAAAACGTGGGGGTTGTCTGCCTAAATTTCACAAAATCTCCCAAACCCTGTTTGTACTATATTTGTCTTGTTGCAGGATCCAATGCATTCGGAGATGATTTGACAAGAAATCTCTATGCCTCTCCTATCAACTCTACCACCCTACCCTATACACATATATCCTACCCCCCGAAGTCTTCGTCATGATATAGCATACGTTTTTTATATTTATTTACATTTTATTAGTACATATACAATACATTATATCGCTAGCACAAAGATCCATGTCGGTGTATCAATATATATAACAAAATTTGCCCTCGGTCAGTTCCGAAATCACAATGTCGTCAAACAATGTCTTAAATGGCGTCGGCAAAATAATTCTAATTACTTACTGTCGAAAATGAATAATATATGCGTGGTAACATTTGGCTTCTAATGCGTTTGTTTGTCTTGTATAATTCACTATGAGCAGAACCAGGAATTGAAAATAACTATTTAATTGTTCGTAATTAATACCTCAACTCACGTGTATAACAGGACAATAAATTTCAAGATAACTTTTAAAAGTAAAATATTTTCATTGTGGACGCGTCGCGTCCATACATATACCCGCCGGCCGCTAACATCGCAACGTTGAAAAATCGTCCATAGAGAACGCGTGAAAAGGAACTTTTACAACCGGCCTTATGGGAACTAGCTTGCATGACTTTGAGTTTTTTTTTAAAAAAATTTTCTTTGGAGACGTATACGTATTACACATGTAGAAGGACCGAAATGGGTTTTTGGGTAATTGCATTCTTTAACCATTTGAGTTTTAAACCCTAAACGCATTTTGAATCGAAAGGAATACAAATACATATATATATATATATATAAGAAATGGACGATATGAGTTGATGTGAGTGAAAAAAAGAAGGGTTAGGGTTGGAATCTTGAAATCTAAAACAGGAGGGGGAGAAGAAAAGGGGAGGGAAGTGGTCAAAGAGTGTTTGGGAGAAAAAAGAAGAGAGGGAGGGAATAATGGAAGAGTGCACGTAGGGCTTTGCGTGTTGGTGTAAGCCTCTGCGGTGAAATTAAAGGAGATGGAGAAACTCCCTATGTTGATATGATTCCCCCCTTTGCATTCCCTCTCTCTCCCTCTCTCTAGAGAGAGAGAGAGAGAGGTCTACATATTTAAATGTGAATAACATTTCCGTGAGAGTGTAATTGAGATTACTAGCTAGTAAATTTAATTATACTCTTAAACATGGGAAAATTATATCAATGACTAGGAGCATTTCCATGAGCGATGTGTAACACTTCACGCATGCATAAGTTTGATAAGGTTTTTTCTTGTGTAATAATATATAATCTATATATACACATGATCATTTGTGGACTATACATCATGATACATGTGTTGGAAAGTCATGCACGTGAATATCTAAAGGATATATATATATATTAGTACAAGATACAATTGAATCGGCAATCGATCTTTTGTATAGTATAGCGGAAGAGCATAGATTCTGGCAATGAAGTCATCACCAAATCTATTACAGACATTAATGCTAACGTGTCCGAATCGCACTCGTGTTTTCTACCATTTAATTAAATGCATGCAGCTCTTCTATATATGAACTCTCACATTTATATATATATGTATATACAAGCCGAACATAAATGCGAGGCGTAAAAGTTTCAAAGGGTTGATGAGTTCACTCAGTTCATTGACGCACGAGTTTTGACTAAAAGGCTCTGACGCCATGCATGCAGCATAAAAAAGAACAGCTACACTACAAAGTCTCACCAAACAGCAAGGAGGCCATTACTCGATTTTTTGCTTCGTTTTCTTTTCCTCTCCAATTATTTTAAATTTCTCCGAGTAAATAAATACCGGAACTCGGTAAATTTTTTTGAATCTACGATATAAGTTTCTTTAAACAAAATGTTATAAAAATGTATTATTACACCATATGAGATTCATGACATTTTATTTTATTTTTAAAAACATGGATATGTGACTTAAAAAATAACTCAAACCCCGGATTAGTAGGTACGAGAAAATAAAAATAGAAAATGATATTAGAATATTTTGAGAAAATATCTTGAGAAAATTGTTTAACAAAAAAAAAATATATCTTGAGAAAATATCACTTTTTCGTGACCCTAGCTCAACATTTCCATTATTCCCACGTCATCGCCTGCCGCCACGAGCTCCACCAAAGAAAGCGGGTCACATTCCGGGTCGGGTCAATATTTTAAATGGGCCGAAAAAGGCCCATTAAGAAGAATTTCATGAGCCTCCCCGCAGGCTTAGGTTCATTCACACTAATGGCCGAAGAGAGAGATCAGGCCATGGCGGATCATCAGCAGCCGCCCCCGCCGGCTGATCCTCCGCCGCCGATGCAATCTCCACCGAGAGCGACGACTCCAACGACGCCGGCGAACAATCAGAATCAAGAGATGGAGGAAATGCTGGCGTGCGTGACGGCGCTAGAGGCGGCTCTGCTTCCATGTTTGCCTGCGAGAGAGCTTCAGGCCATCGACCGCTCTCCCCACCCTTCTCATCAAAGTCAGTCTCCGTTTCTACTTATTTTGTCTCGTTATTTTCGTGTCCACACTGGGATTTGCTTTATTTCCACGTTTAAACCACTGTAGCTTGATTTGCTCAATGCAGCTCTCCTTCTAGGGTTCCTTTTTTGCTCTTTTCGGGGATTAAGATAAACTTTAAGATTTAGTCTGAGTGAGTTTTTTTTGTCGTGCTCTATTTGCCGTGTGGGGTTTCCATAGCTAGGTGGTTCCGATTATTGTTTATAGTTCGTCGTCATTTGCTTATTGGGATGATATGAAAGCCAATAGTAAATTGTAGGCCTCAAAATACGCAGTAATGATGTCCGGAATCAGGAACTCGTTTAAGGACATGAGCTTACTTCTTTTGAGATGATATTAAGAGTAAAACAATAGTGGCTTCAATGTGTGTAGCTATAGGTCAAGCAAAGTTCGGTGACAGTTTTGAATTCAGATGCACTGTGTTTTCCTCTTTATCCGTGTAAGCTGCTGCAAATCCAATAGATATCCTTGATCGACGGATATTCGGTTTACAGGCTTAGTCTATAATGTGATTGATTCAATGCTTTCAACGTGAAGCTGCGAGTTTTGGTTTGGTTGGTACTTGATATAGCAAACTTATGAAACCCCGTGTGATGCTTGAGACGAGGCAATCTCAATCTGCAGCTCCATCGTTCTCGATTAATGGCCGATGCACAAAAACGTCATCTTTTCAGTAATGATAATAATCGTGTTACCATGTATCTGTTGGGTTGGGACTTTAACGTCTGGCTCCTTTTCTGCATATTTTCTGCCTTATGATGGATGGTTGGTTCCAGTTTAGTTTGTCTAACCCCATAAGAATAATAGTTACTGTTCATTTTAGTTAGATTTCAGTAATTACAAACTCGGTTACTCATGTAAGATGTTAACTATATGTTATTAGTTATAAATACAAATGTCCATATTACAAAGAACTTGTTCAAACTTAATCATCAACTTTACTCAAATTCCCGATTCCGATGTCTTCCTAGTCCAGATCGTTTGGCTGAAAAGCCATCTGCTTTGTGATCCTCCGCTTATATAAGAACTGTTGTACCTCCATTTTCATTTCTAATGACATGGAGTGATTTAAAGGGCATTAGACAATTAAACTGTTCAATAAGAAAAACCTATATTTCTATGCCTCCCTCACACCAGCTAATGTCTTTTGTTGAACACTGCAGTTGACGTGGAACGGCACGCCAGAGACTTCATGGAAGCAGCCAAAAAGCTGCACTTGTATTTCATCAGTCTAAAGCGAGAGGATCCACCCACAAGAGCAGAAACCCTTAGAAAGGTTGGTCATATGCTTCTGCCTTCCCAGCAAGGCCATGTGCCATTCCATTGCAGACCCAATATCACCCAGGACAATCTCTGTGTCTAGCAGGAAATCGCTGGAATGGAGGAAGAGCTGAAGACGAAGATAGAGCTTATCAAGAAGCATGAGAGGCTTATCCAGGATTGGAGGAAGGAGATTAAAGAGCAGTTAGACAAGCATAGGATCGAGCTGGAGAGAGTATGAGAATGACGACCAGGTCTGCTGATTGTGGTGAATGGAGACAATGAAATGACAAACGGGTTAGAGATGTATCCTTGACCTTGAAAGAAACAGACAGACCTTTGTCTCAAGTTTTAACGAGTCACCATGTTCTGTTCTCCCTCGATGCTGCATATAGGTTAAGTTGAGTTCTTTCGAACCCATATTCTGGGCTGTGTTATTACAGTAAGTGGTCGGAGATTAATGATTTACCAGCGCGAGGGTTAAACTTTCAAGAAACAACAGTATCAATTGAACTGATAAAATGCAGGTATTGACAGAGATGGAAAGAGCTCATCAACAGATCTGAAATAGTCAAATGTCTTATTTCTTGGCATAAGTGATGAGCATTTGGTTCTGCTGAATCTTGAAACCCTGAAGTCCCTGCATTGCCACCGTCGACTGCATCTCGTCTCCAAATTCCACAAAGGCAATCCCGGGCTTTGCTTCGATCATCCTAACCTCCTTAAAACCCGCATATTGGCAAAACAACATTTGCAGCATCATCGGGGTTGTCTCGTGAGGAAGGTTCTGAACAAACAGGATGTTATTCGGAGGAGCCGGAGCCTCAGGGACAGCTGGTCTTGCACCACCAGCGTAAGGCACTTGTGATAGCTGCATGAGTTTAAAGTGAAAGAATGAGCCTTAATGCTGGAAACGTCAGACAGAGCGAGAGCGGGGAAAGATTAAAGAAGCGTTTAGATTGCTCACCGGAGGTGCAGCTCCATACATGCCGAGATATGCCGGAATTGAAGCAGCGGTCATCTGAGAAGAATCAAGGTTCTGATCTTTCCGTTTCTTCCCTCCTTCAATTTCAAAGACTTTCAGTTTCAGATCAAAGCTTACCCAAGAAAACCAAAAGCTTCGTGATAACATTTTAAGACAGATCAAAGAGAGAGACAGAGAGGAACACAAATGGAAGAGAAATTTGGTCTCTGTCTCTCACCTTTCTCCTCGTGTCTCTTTCTCTTCTCCCGAGGGACGAAAGAACCGTCGGCTTTGGCAATGATATCCGATTTCGTTTTGGCAAATTGTAATCTCTGTTCCATCAGAAATGATATCAGTCATCATGTGTTCAATACGTTTTCCTGACAGAATCTATAATATGGAAGGAAGAAGCCATCAACAACAACAACAGCAACAACTCAGAAATGGGTAGAAGCCATCTTCTGCACCCGTTGCAAGTGCAAAACCAGATCTCAAAACTGGATACCAATTCTGAGCATTTGGTTCCAGGGGCTTTTTAAGTGGCATTTGATAAGGTTGTTCCTCACGTTCAAACCTAAGCATCCTATGACTAAAAAGACGGACTTTTAACCTAAGGCTCCTCATTACCAAATTTACAGCGCCTGCCCAAACTTACGACATAACTCCATGATAGATCCCACGAGCTCCGGGGAGACAAAACGAATTCTACTAACTAAATTGAAATTCAAGCGGAAACCAATGCATTAAGTACCATGGGCTTGTCGTAGAAGGGAAATCCATTCATTTTGGCAATGGCATTTGAAGCAGATTCAACGTTATCGAACACAACCCATGCCTGTCCTTTGTGCTTCAGCGTCTTAAACGCCAACACCTCCAGTATCTTACCGAACTGCGAGAACACCGCATTCAGCGATTTCTTCAGCTCTGCAAATTTTCCCGAGAAAAGAAAAATTAATCTCTCCATCGAACCTCAATGCGAATGAACACGAGAAGAAAGCGGAAAAGATGAAGAAATTTTATCACCATCGAGCTTCACTTTCTCGTTGAGATTGTTGATGTAGATCGTCTGATTCGATGGAATCTCTGTGCCTTTATTAGCCTCCGGCATCTCCATCTTCCCCGGCGAAGATCACAGCCGATACGCCCTAGTCGGGAAACCGAGAATGGTGAGTTCCCACTCAGCTGGCGAAACGCAGACTTCCATGAGAGACGCACAGATATTGCGGGTAAAGCCCTAGGCCCATATGGCCCAATATGTCTCTTCATGGGCCAATCTCGATTTTTTAATGGGCCTACATTTAGAGAAAATTAATTGGATATATTATAATCCATAGATAACGATTTTATGGAGTTTTTGTGGATTTCGAAACTAATTATGAGAAGATTATCATTAAACTACTTAACACGTTTGTTAAACATGTCTTGTCGGCTTCTCCGAATGCTTGTCCTTAGAAATGTTTGGTCTTACTACTCTCCATAACCGGTCGAATATTTCAAATCAACGACATAATCGACAATAATATTTAATACTTTAAATCCAAGTTTGGATGGGCTAATGGTGAGAGAACACTCTGGGTTCAAATCCGAGTGTGGGGAGGGATATTCATTTGGACTTCCCCGGTCCTTTGGGAGATGTATCCGGTGAACTTCCGGATTATCAAAAAATAAAACATTTAATGCTTTAATTACTCTTATAGTTAACTGTGGATAATCAAATTAGTCATCCACTTATAAGCAGTGTTGTCCAATAGGCTTCGGTTCGACGTGTACAGCATAATGCCGACTAATCTCCTATTCAATAGCCACCGAGCGTAAACGCACTCGAAATTCATTTTATACTTAACATTACACGGAAAATAAATAACTTTATACATATTATTTACTGTGATTAATGCTGTTACATATAAACGTAATCGTTAATTACCGGTCCAGATTTTTATTTAACTTCAGTACTTACAACCATTAACCATAATTTTTTTTTTATTTGCACCCAGGTGTTTGACCAAATGCAATATAAAATAAATATAATGTGTTTGGTTTCTTATCCCAAAAGCCTAATCAAGTTTGCAAAGTCAACTATAATCGTGTTTAATTAAATATAAACAAGATTGTGGATGAATTAGTATATGTTTTTTTACGAAAGGGCCTGTTTGCTTATCTTTCCACTATAAAAGGTTCGTTCTTTCTTCTCTCTCTCCCTCGTCGATTACTCCCTCCTCTCTGTAGAAACTGTTGCCCTGTGAATGAAGCGGTATCAATGGCGAAGTCTTTGTCCAACGTTAAAAGCATGTCCCTTTGCATATACAACGCAATGGTTCGGTAAGCCATGTCTATTATGAAAACACTCCATTGGTATCGGTACGTTGTTAATAATATGAAAAGATGCATCGAAATGTAGAAAAATAAAATGCGGAAACATAATAAGACAAACGAAAATAAACGGAATTACTTTATTACTACATCTCTTCTTCTTCTTGTTTTACAATGAGAATAACTCATCTATTTATAAGAAACAACTATAAAATAATTAAAGAAAGAAATTTACAAAGAAATAATATATGATGGAAACAAATAAATTAAGAGATAATTGACACAATTATCATTATTTGTTAATTGATTTTGTGTCTTTAATTTCTCTCAATCATCCTCATAATCATTTCCAATCAATTTCAATCTTCTTAAATATATATTTGTTTCCTCATTTCAACATTCTCTCTCAAAATTGACTTAGAGATAATGCAAAAAGTCAATCTTGGAAAGAATACCTGAAATAATTCAAAAACTCGATGAGTAATTCATTGTTAATAAAATGATCCATAGATACCAATCAGGTTCTTGAGAGTTTTGATCCATCTTCAAATCAGTTCGCTTGATCTTGGAGCTTTTTGTGGCTTTGATTCCTTTTGTCATAGCACCTCGTTTGATTCTGGATTTTGCTTCACTTTAAACCACTTGGATATATGAATATTAAGAACTCAAAAATAATGAGAGTAGAAAATAAAAACTAAGAAAATATATAGATTAGATCGTAACGCTGCTCTGATACCATATTGAAAAATAAAATGCGGAAATTAAAAAGAGAGAATAGAAGAGAAAAATAAAATAAAGAACACTTTTATTACTACATCTTTTCTTCTTGAGAATAACTCATCTATTTATAAGAAATAAAATAATTAAAGAAAGAAATTTACAAAAAAATAATATATGATGTAAACAAATAAATTAAAAGATAATTGACACAATTATCATTATTTGTTAATTGATTTTGTGTCTTTAATTTCTCTCAATCATCCTCATAATCATTTCCAATCAATTTCAATCTTCTTAAATATATATTTGTTTCCTCATTTCAACACGAAATGTGATTGGATGGCAGGAGAGGATACAGGGCCGCAGCCAATGAGGCGGAGGCCAAAGCGGTGAGAGATGGGGAACGGAAGGGGACAAGAGGGAGCCGAGAGAAGCCGTCGTCATGGGCACCTGACCCAAAGACTGGATACTATCGACCCGATCCCTCCGCCAACGAGCTCGTCGATGCAGCCGAGCTTCGTGCCTCGCTCTTGAACCAGAAGCACCACTAGACTTCAATGTCCAATCCTCATTATGTTTGTGTTTAAAGATGATAAGATGCATAACTATATATGTGACATTTCATGTAAAGATAAAGATGGCCTTTTGTATTGATTCGATCGGTGGAATCTATACTTTGCATGATTCATCATCAAGATTCAAGACAGTACTTTTAAATAAAGAATGAGAATTTCACAGCTGTGATGCAAATATATATGTATACATAAATTCTGAAGCTTGAAATTGATTCTCAGCATCAAATCCCACCGATTGAAACTTTTCATCCAAACCCAAGAGAGATAAACAATTGATCCATCAGAATATGATCAGTTTCGAAGACGAAGCACAAGAAATTGTTGTTGTTTTAAGTTTTGGATGAACTCTGGGTAATACACAAGCATGCATCAGCTGCAATGGATCATTCGCTTTGGATGACGAATCAAATTAAATCGAAGAAACAAAGGGACTACGTCTCATCTTCCTTACTTGCGGGTCATCGCAGATCAATCCACACCCACACTGCGGACAAACGTAGAAATTATCGATCGGGAAACCCGCTGAGGCGATTCCGACGGAGAATTCCAGATCGTCGCCGTTCCTGGTGACCTCGACGATGTTCAGCCACAGGAACAGAACCTTCACGCTCACGCCGCTCAGATTCGTGAGCCTGTTGTTCGAGATTTGGCCGCTGATGGAGGATTTGTACCGGAGTTGGTACGATCCTTCCAGAGAGAAACTGCAGGAATCATTCCAGAAAACGTGAAATCTCCCGGTGGATTTGTCCAGATCATAGCGGATCACGCCTTTAGGGAGAACCCCCACCGGAAAGTTATAGCTCTGTAGGAGATCGTACGCTGTCCGTATATCGCCGGATACGACCGGTGATGAGATCGCCGGCGATATAGAGGAAAAGAACGAGAAGAAGAAGACGGCGGTGGCGGTGACAAAGGATAACAGAGACATTTGTGCAAGCCGTTCTACGAGGAAGACGATTTTTTTTTGTACTTGCGGGGAAATGATGTAGGCAAATTAGGGTTAAAACGACGGCGTTTCTCGATCCATTATTTTCCCAATATGCTGTAATTACTAAAAAAAAGTAAATCATCAAACCGATCATATCTTTAGACGGTGTCGTTTAGAGATCAATGAAACACAGCTGATTCAACGGTGGATTATATCTTTTAGGTTCCACGTGTATGATCACGATCATGTACAGATGGACTATCTTACACTCGCATGCACCCGATAATAGCCCGGGTACATCCTAAAAACCCTAATTCGTCTTACATTAGCTTCTTCAGCAGTCGAAGGCCCGAGCCGCTTCGCCAGTCCCTGCAACAATGGTTTGCCTCTTGGCCTACGCTCAAACCCTAGGAGTCTCCATTTCCGTTCTCATGGTCTTGATCTTCTTCCTTTCGTCTCATTCTGTCCCTTCTGTTTCCGTGTACTTTCTCAGGGTATCGATTTGAAGGCCGGAGGTAAGAGCAAGAAGACGAAGCGCACTGCGCCTAAGTCCGATGATGTCTATCTCAAGCTCCTCGTCAAGGTATACTTGTGTTGCTGCCTTACATTTCTTAATGTCTCTCCGGATTTGGTCCATTGTTGCTGCTACCTGTGATGTCTTAAATCTTCATTATTTTTGCTCCTCCATTTTTGTATGCTCATGATCTGCGTCTTTTGGTTTGGTTGTTTTGCAATGATGATTAGCTATATCGGTTCCTAGTGAGGAGAACTGGAAGCAAGTTCAATGCTGTGATTCTTAAGCGCTTGTTCATGAGTAAAGTGAACAAGCCGCCATTGTCTCTCTCTCGTTTGATCCGCTACATGCAGGGAAAGGTACTTCATTTTGTTGCTTCATAAGGTGTTATTAGGTTCTGTTGATACTGGGAAACTTGTAGACTCAGTGTTGTTGTTTTCTTCCTGGTTTGACCGAATAGGAGGACCAGATTGGTGTTATTGTTGGCACTGTGACTGATGATGCAAGAGTGTATGAAGTCCCAGCTCTTAAGATCACGGCACTGAGATTCACGGAGAGGGCGAGGGCCAGGATCGAGAAAGCTGGTGGGGAGTGTCTCACATTTGATCAGCTGGCTCTTCGTGCACCTCTTGGCCAGAACACGGTATGCCTAACATATCCTATGTACTTTCTTAATCAATGCATTTCAATGTAGCAAGGTTTACTTTATTTGTTTACTGTCTGTAACGATCATATTAACATGATCTCAGCTTAGTTATCTAATAGAAACCGGAAACTTGTTAGCTATACAGCAGAATTTTTTTTAATCTACTTGTATTGGAAAATATGGTAGGGAACATAATATTGGCTTTAGAAACGATGCAGATCTTGCCCTGACTTAACTTATATGGGGCTGTATACTTTTTACTCTGTATTCCGGCGATAAGATTGAGTCTGATAGGTCGTAGATTGCAAGCTTCTTTTTGTGTTAGACAGTCTGTGCTCTGCACTATTTGTTCGTTTGGCCGATTTTGTTAGTTTCCTGGTGATGACTTACGGTTATGGTGGAACGATGCAGGTTCTACTGAGAGGCCCTAAGAATGCACGTGAAGCTGTGAAGCACTTTGGTCCCGCTCCTGGTGTTCCTCACAGCCACACCAAACCGTACGTCCGATCAAAGGGCAGAAAGTTTGAGAGAGCTCGAGGTAGGAGAAAGAGCCGAGGATTCAAGGTTTAAGCCCACCAATCTGCCAAAGCAGCTAGTAACTCCCTGTTCTTTTTTTACTGTAAGTCACTTTGTGTCATCTTTGTCCGAAAAGACCTGCGTTTATTTTGCTTGCAAGCTTTCGACTTTTTCAGCCGTTGTTGAATTACACTGCATGCTATTGCTCTTATCCTATATGATGTCGACTTTGAACCCTTTTCCCTCGAGGTATCGCTTTCTTGTTTCCAATCATCTGTGTGGATTAAGCTCAGTGATTATGTGATGCTTTCTTTCTCCATGTGTATCTGTCAATGGCTTTATTCTATCCATTAGAACTCTTTACCTCTCTCACGACATTTCCAAAAAAACTCGTGTTTCTTTGGTTTCATATATTCATGAAACCCAGAAACAGGAAATCCTTTTTTTTTTTTTTCATCTACCCCTTTTCGCCCAACTCTTTGAATTTCTTCTTCAATGTTATGAACATAACCCTTTCGCTTTTATCCACTTAATGGATAAATCCGTCAAAGGGCAAAATAAAGTTATGTCTGATTGGTATATTGATATTTATATTCAGGGTAAAACCCCTAAAAAACCTCCAACTTGCAAAAATATATACAAATAAACCTTCAATTTGAAAAACTGTCATTCAATTTCCGAACTTGTAATTTGTCACTGAATAAAATATCGAACTTGCAAATTATTGTTCTAATAAACCTTTGACCAGTTTGACCACAATTTCAAACGATCAGAAATCCACGTATTGACGGATTGCTGATGTCATTTTTTAAATTAAAATTGATAACGTGTATTGGGTGACATCAGCAATCCGTTAATATGTAGATTTTCGATCGCCTGAAATTGTGGTCAAACCGGTCAAAGGTTTATTAGAGCAATAATTTGCAAGTTCGAGGTTTTATTCAGTGACAAGTTACAAGTTCGGGGATTGAATGATAGTTTTTCAAGTTGAAGGTTTATTTGTATATATTTTTTGCAAGTTGGAGGTTTTTTAGGGGTTTTACCCTTATATTCAGTAGTCTTTACTGGACCAATCTATGGGGGGTATTGCTGTGTATACACACATACGTCGACATACATATGGATGGGTCGTGAGGGGAGATCAAAGTCTTCGATTGTCAAAAGTATGAAAGCGTAATTGTCAACTTGTATAAAGTATGCTATTCTCAGATTCGGCGCACGGAATCAGGAGGAATTTCTACCATGGTGTTGAATGTTTTGACCCATGTTCCAACCTTATCCTATATACATCTCTTTCTATCCAATTTTCGATTAATAATATATTATCTAATTGAAATTCCTCCTCTATTTGTCTTCGATTAGATTGGTGATTCCCACGTTTGGATTTCGTGGTGGTTTTATTGATGATTGAAACATGTTTAGAGGATAACTTTAAAAAAAAAAAAATTCATGTTCATTGAGGATTGAGGAAAATGAAAAGGTATCTAACTCTCTTATCATATTTACCAAGTTATATGCGGATATACTTGTGCAATGAAAGAGCATATGGAGATATGTGGAGGCACGCTGTGTTTACCTTGCCGCTCCACTATGTTTTTACTATACTAATACATGAAATTAGATTGCACCTCCCAATTAGTATTTATAAAAATTTAAAAAGAGATATAGAGTTGGATAAAGATGACAAACAAAGAAAGTTTTGTAAAAAAACAATTAGTAGAAAAATTATAGTAATTCACCCTTTTTCGGGCAACGTATATATAATTCCTTTTAGTGATATAATAAAATGGAAAAAATAACATATTTTATGATATATTATATAACGCGTCCCAATTTAATAAGGTTAAAAACTGGATCTGTAGAGTTTAAAATCGCAGTTTGCATATAAATAGGGAAGGGGTTTTAATCGAATAGAAACAGCACGCTGGTTTGGAAACTTCCGATCCACTTTCCTCCTCTTCATAGAACCCATCCCTTCGTCTTTATCATCTCTACGATTTCGGAATTATCCATCTCCCTCTCTCTAGAACTATGAACACGACCGACCAAAGCAGCAAACCGATTCGTGGCAGTGTCAACCACAGCTACGCCCTCAATGGAAGGATCATGCTTTCCTCCGTGATCGTCCTCTTCGTCGCCCTCATTCTGATCCTCTGCTTCCACAGCTATGCCAGGTGGCTTTTCCGGCGAGAGAACCGCCGTATCCGCCGCCGCGTCAGGGCCGACCTCCGCTCCCTTTACGCACGCGACCCGGCTCTCGCCCCCTCCTTCGCCCCTCTCGACCCGGCCGTGCTCAACAAAATTCCGGTATTCGTCTACGCGCTGCCGAAGAACACCGACGCGCCGCCTTTGGAGTGCTCCGTCTGCTTGTCGGAGTTCGAGGAGAACGACGAGGGTCGAGTCCTGCCCAAATGCGGCCACGCCTTCCACGTGGACTGCATCGACACGTGGTTCCGTTCGCGTTCGACTTGCCCGCTCTGCAGGGCGGGGATTCAACCCAGCAACCCCGAACAGTCCCCCTCCGAGATCACCGAACCGACCGCCCTAGTTTGCGCACCGGTTAAGCAGAGCGAAAATTCTGAAACCGGCCGTTCGTCTTCACCGGAATCATCCTCCTCGTCTTCGCCGGTGGTATTTCCGCCGGAGAGGTGCCCGAGGCAACCGATCGAGCTGGTCGGTATAGTCGTTGAGATGCCCAAGGGAATTTGACGGTCCCAATACCGTTTTAGCCGGTTAAAATGGGTCCGAAATTCCGGGTAACCGGGTTCCATCCTTGAAGAAAAGGTTACGGAGCATTCAAATTTTCATCTTTTTTTAATGAGAATTAAAAACCGAGAACCCGATACCGAAGAATCCACCGCCCGGAATCTGGGGAAGGGGGAAAGAAGACAAACCGGGACAAGATCACGACACGTGGAATTTTGGACGGTCCACGCGGCCGTCAGTGGGGAACTTTGGATCTTCGTTTATAAATACGAAACGACGTCGTTTGATAGGGTCGGTGGCTCGTTCGTTTGTAGTCTCTTTGGGTCGGTTTCTCTGTTTTTTAACTTGTAACCGAATTAATGAATTGTAAATTAATTAAGGCGTTAGGAGTTTTTAAAATTCAAAAACAAAAAAAAACAATATTCAAGTTTTTACAAAATTACTTTTTCTAAAAATTTGGAAAGCCATTTTAGTGAAAAAATCAATGAAAAACCAAAAGCTATTTTTTTTGAGTTTTCAAATATTATAAAATTTAAAAACCAAAAACCAAAAACTAAAAACCAAAATTCAAAAACTAAAACCAAAAAACCAAAATAAAAATCAACTCCGCTTAAGTTTATCGAATGTGGTTTGATAATGGGCTGACTTTCCACTCGGAGCCACGTAGACGAAGTGACGTGGAGTCAGACTTTCGGTGGACCGACCGACCAACTCGCGTGCAATGCGTATGGGAGCAACGCCATAGAAAGTTTGATTTCCATTATTGGGATATTTGAATAATAATTTGTTTTTTAGAAAGAAAACTAAAAAAACTATTATAGAAAAAGGAGCCTTGCATGGCACAAGCAACACTTTCAAATTTTGAAAAGGTTAGTCTTGCACGTCTATTCAACGATATTGATTTGTGGGGACGAATAACACAAATCCCCACATATATACATTTTTTTTGGTGAAACCCCACATATATACATATATATATACACACACACACACCACACATATATACAAGGGTGTACAATAGTGTATGTGTATAAATAATTATTTCACTGACCATGTTTTAATGGTAATTATATGATATATTTTGATAAAAGTTGGTAATAATCCAATGGTGTGGAATCCTATTTTATGTTGATAAAAAATGGTGACTTGTTCAACAGTTATCGTATCACTCGGATCATAGTATATGTTACGAGCTCGTCGCTGAATGCATGCAGGCTTCATTGATGCTTGAGGCCCGACAATACGCCCATAATAATCGAATAAAAATGTTATTTTTTTTCTCATAATTAAAATATTATGATCCAGAGGATTTTGAGATTTATGAAACCTTTAATAATTAGAACTTTATTTGTAATTCAGATAAAATTGAACCTATTTTAACGACTCTCTCTGACGGTTTATGAGATTTAGGAAATGTATTCGTATACATACCCATATAAAAGATTTTCATTACATCTTTTACGCTGTTTTTAATTAAAAAACATCATTAATAATAATAATAATTTAAAAAGAAACTTTAACTCGATACGTATGTTGCAAAGTTCATTTCTTTTTTCTTCGATCTTAGTAGCCGTTGGGGATGGATTTGTCATGCGTTTCCTCGAGAGCGAAAACGAAAGGGCCGACAGTGAAGAGCTTGAACGGAGGGCTGTGGCCGGAGAGGAGGAGTCGATAGGAAGAGAGAATGGATCCACTGACACCGCGGTTGATCTCTGTCGGAACCTCGCAGCCATCGAGCGGAGACAGCTCCAAGAACGATCTGCACTCTTTCACCTTCACCTCCTCCCTCACTTCCGACGGTGACAGCGTCACCATGAAATATCCCTTTTCGTCTGTCGCTTGGCTCAGCACCGTCACCTCCTCCGCCTCGTATCCGTACTTGTCCCTTGTCTCGCACGTTACCCTCGCCACCGCTCCTGCATATCCAACCCCCATACTTATATATATATATATTCATGCTGGATTTCCCGTTTTCGGGTTGGTTTGTACATTTGTGTTTTGGTTGAGGCGGATCATCTTGTGTATAAACTAGTTTTTTTTCACACGAATGTGGTAAATAATTATACAAAATTAGTGATAATTTGGTTGGACGTTGGATCATTAGCTTATAAAATGGGATTTTTACAAAAATACACCTTGAATGGGGTTGAGCTTAGACCCTCGCTTGCAGTAGATTATACCCTGAACGCCGATCATCGTCGTAAGGAGATCTCCTCCGCCTCCCTCTGTGTCGTGGGCTAAGGCGGCTGACGACAAGAGAAGCACCGCATATACGGCGGCGGAGAAAAGTGGAGATATTGGAGCCATTTTTTGTCCCTCGTTTCGGTATTGGAGAAAAATGGAACTGGATAAATGGTTAATGTCGGATATGTTTTTGTTGAATAATAAGAAATAGCAGTTATGATGGGAATGAGTGGTTAATTATATAGGAATATTTGTAACCAGATCTAATCATAGAGGAAGGTAAGGGGAATGACTTGGTCGCACGTTGTGGGATCATCATGCATGCACCAAAAAGGAGCGACGCATCTATTAATAATCCAACCCTAATTTTTTAAAACAGCGGTTACATTATTAGGGTATATCATCAAATATCATGATGTTAGTGTTACGTGAATGATTCACTTAGTTGTTTCGTTTTAAAACTTTTCATAATATATATATATACATATATATATATATATATATATTATATATAGATAGATTATTAGTGAAAAGATTGCAGCCCATTGTAATTGGACGGGCTGGTCTTAGTGTATACCGTAGATGTCCAATTCTACTCAAGTTTTTCTTACATGGGCCCTGTAAGTCCATTTGCGTCTCTTTGTTTCTTTCTTTTAATGCTATATGTTACTCGACCATACCACCCTGGATTCATAGCTTTTCGATCATAAAATTCTGGAAAATGAGATTAAAAATAACTATCCACAAAACAAAATACATGTTTAGTTGGAGTATATATATTCGGTGCGAGAATCATATATATATATATATATATATATATATGAAAACGTTACGAGTATCCGACAAACAGGAAAAAATTTGGCCAAGTTTTTGTCTTTGTTAACGCATGCCACAGGCCAAATCAACCTCAACAAATATATAGGATCAAAAAGAAGAACAGACAAAACCAAAAAATCAAATCAATATCTAGTGTCCTGGTTTGGGAGCCACGTGGCCGGAGAAGAAGAAAGGTCCGACGGTGTAGAGCTTCAAGTTCTTGTCGGGGAGAATCTTGAAGTCCGAAGACAGAGGAGTTCCCGCAATGCCCTTGTTGACGTTGGTCGGAATCTTGCAGGCGGAGAGAGGAGAGCTCTCGAGCTTCACTCTGCAAGCCTTGACATTCTTCACCATGTCGGTCAGTCCGTACGGTACGAAGTAGAAGTAACCTTTCGTATCGGTCGGGCTGCTCGATACCACGATCAAAGCCTCCGGTTTACCGTATGAGTTCAGCAACGGACACACCACCTTCACTCTGGCTCCTGTTACATTATATATTTTCCAAAATAATTGTTATAATATATATTTCAATGGTTTGGTGGTGTATCCCATGAGATAATCTTATATATGGAGCATTGAGATTAGGATCCAATATTCCTAATTAATGATCAAATATATTATTTTTTTAAAAAAAAAAAATCGTATCCATGGATAGAGACAATATGAGATGAAGTTTTAATGAATGAAAAGACGTACCTTGAATGGGGTAGCCTGCTTTGCACAAGACGACGCCGTCGATGGCAATGTTGATGTTGGAAGGAGCCTTTGGAGTGTAAGTGGAGGGTGGCTTGGTCGTGGGTTTGGGCTCGTAGTATTCGGCGGGGGCAACAGCCGCCAAGGCCACGACGACTATGAAGAAGGAACCGGCGGCGCGTGTGGTACACATTCCGACCTATACGCTAACTTTCTTCGGTTTTGCTTTCTGGATTGGTAATATATACAAGAAGACAATGGAAATATATTTAAATAATTTTTGGGTGGAAAAAATAATTTAAAAAATAAACTTATCTTATATGGATCTTAAACTGAATTGGGGTGCACGATTTCATCGAGTCAAACAGTAATGGGCTTGATGAATTCGAGGGGTCATGCACTTTAATAATATTGGATTATATAAATAGGATGGTGATGGCTTTGGAAGAAGTCCAATAGATTTGAACTGGCGACTGATATAGATTTTGAACGAGTTATTTACCGCAGATACGTATATGGGCGAAACTATACTGATTGATGTATTTATGTGATAAATGTTTAATACACACGTCATAATTAACGCGGTTTCACGTACGGTCTTAAACCATGATATACTTTAGCCTATACAACACACATTTTGGCACGTGTTTTATCACTGCAAACATATGTTAGTGTATATATATTTGCGATCTGTATTGTATCTTCAGCGGTTAGATTTCTAACATTAACTGCCGAATATGTTTATTTTTATTCAAATCGTGTAAGCCCCCATCCCCGTTGGTAGGATGACAACCCTCCCTACACAAGGTCAGGGGTTCGATTCCTCCTGGTGTCAAACTCCCTCTGAACCGGTCAACTTCGACTAGTTTAATTATCTGCTCGGCGTGGCTTACTGGGCTGTTACGTTGAGCCGTTGGATTTACCGCCCGTGATACCGTGCCACTGGTCCGGCCCTTTGGGCTGCGAGGCGTTTGCGGAATCTGACCCGAAGGATCGAGAGCGGATTCCCATCGTTTAAAAAAAAAAACGTGTAAAATCTGTTCCAAGAATTTGTTAAAAAGTTTTCACGTAAAACGCATTTCTTTCCGGATTCAATGTGGTATTCATAGTTGTACTTTTTATTATGTTTTGATCAAATACTATGCAATGATGGATAGTGAATTGGATTTGATTATATCATTAAATATGGAATTTTTTTTATAGTCGTTTGTGTGAACACGAAAATAATGCCAAATCACGAACCCAGAAGGTGAGTTTAGTGCTTATACATACATACATATATATATATATGATATTGTTATTAACGTAATAAAGATGTGTGAATAAGAGAGGAATTGCTTCAAACAAATACATAGAATTTGTCATTACATTAACAAAAACCGGTAAGGCGCCTTTTGTTGGATGCACAACCGATTCGAAAACCATCATAAAAAGGAATACCAAACAACTCGTAGAACGAACAAATCAGAAGAAATTCCAAAGAAACGAGGCGGGCGAGGCATTATATAAGTAATGGTGACCCATTTGCAAATCAAGCAAGAAGAAGCAGAGCTCTAGTACTTGGGCTGAGGAGCCTGAGAACCGGTGAAGAAGAAAGGCCCGACACTGTAGAGGTTCAAGTGCTTGTCGGGGAATGCGCGGTACTGGTAGAGAGAGAGAGGAACTCCGGTCAAACCCTTGTTCACGTTGGTCGGATTCTTGCAAGTGGCGACCGGAGAACTGTGGAGCTTCACTTTGCAGAGAGCAATGTCCTTCACTGCATCGGTCACCGTCAAGTAGAAGTAGCCCTTCTCGTTGCTCGGGTTGCTGTATATCACCAAACCCTCCTTCTGTTTTCCGTACGAGTCCATCTCCGTGCACACCAGCTTTGCCTTTGCTCCTGCCATTGTATCCGATACATTAATATTTGGGTCAACATATATAGATATAGATATAGATATAGATATAGATACATGTCTAGCTACAAAATGAATTAATGGAATTTAAACACCAAAGTTTTCTTGGAAAGAAAATTAAACCCGTATAAACATGAACCAAACGGATGTTTAACGAAAAAAACTACATGCAAATATATATATATATATAGGCAAACACATGCATTAAGGACCACGCGTAACAGATTGAATGGTCGTCACCTTTGATTGGGTAGGTGTTGTAGCCATGCTTGCACAAGATAACTCCATCAATGGCGACGGTAATCTTGACTTTAGGCACGTAGGGCTTCACGGGAGGAGAGTAAACGTAGGGTTTTGGAGCATCCTCCGACGGCGGAACATAAGTGGTCGGAGGCTTTGTCTCGGGCTTTGGCTTGTAAACCGGCGGCGGGAGCGTCGGCTTGGTAACCGGGGGCGTGTAGACCGGCGGCGTGTAAACCGGGTGCGGGAGGGTCGGCTTCTTCACCGGAGGCGTGTAAGCCGGGTGCGGGAGAGTGGGTTTGTGAACCGGTGGAGTGTAAACCGGAGAGGGAGTGGTGTCGGGGTGGTAAACCGGAGGGGATTGAGGGGTGTAGTAATCAGCGGCGGCAATGGCGGCCAGAGAGAGGAGGATGCAGACGGCGAAGGAGGCTCTTGTGACTGCCATTGCTTCGCTTCTAACTCGCTTTTCTTCTTCCTTTGTCTCTCTTCTCTTGCAATGGATGACGAAGCAGTTTTGTGAAATCGGGATTTTATAAGAATATTTTCGGAATTTTAAACTGAAAAATATTATCATTTTTTTTTCCATAACGTCACAATAACAGCGAGTTCCAACGTGGAGATGAGAAAGTATTTGGAGACTAGACTGCACGATCCATTAACATGTTTTCCACTAAGGTTTTTTTTATTTAATATTTTTTTGTGGCAAAATCGATGGCTATTATTGGCATTGAGATTCGGATACGCATTTACTAAATATAGATTGGGCTTCAAAAAGCCCAAAACATAATCTAAAACGGGCCTGAGTCCTACTGTAGGCGTTTCATACCACGTGACGGGTATTTGTCAGATATTTGTTTCGGATAAGAATATGACACGTGACGGGTATGTACATATATTTTTTTTTTTATAAATTGGAAACCCCGCCTACTACCCTTCGGACGCCCTGACCGAGTAAACCCAAACTCACACGCACAAGTCTGCAATACACGCGTGAAAGGTAAATCAGTCGTAACTGACAGACGATAGGTGAATGGGTAATGAGTCGAATCCCCAACCTCTCGGTATGTTGACCATGCTCTTTGCCAACTCCTTGCCAACTCACTAAAGGTTTTTCCCACACGTATGTATGCATATACGTATCTCTCGAGTCTTTACGTATTTTAACCGCATTATAAAATTGACAAAAGTCGATATACTCAATAATTTATTACAAAACATGCAATATGAAATAATCTAATTTAACCGAATAAAAAAATGATAAGGTGATTAATGTTGTCGTCCACGAGTTTGCCCATATTCGATGTGCGGTCGTAAACAAAGGCAGAGCTATATGTCTATATGTATCTATTAATTAAATCACATTAAAGGGATCTGACATTAATTAATTTATCAAATGAGCATGTGTTCAAATCAAACCAATATTCGCAAAATGAAATTTATTATTATATATAACTTTTTTTTTTCTGTTAAAAAGCGTGGGATGTGGAGGGGAGAAGGTAAAGAACAATTATAAATTTTAAATTGTAATTAAAAATATTACTGAAACAGAGGATGGAATATTTATGACGTCAGAGGGACGTCTCTGACCATCACCCCTACAAAAGCTTGATATATAAAGGGGTCTTTCCCTTGTCCCATTCTTCTTCGTTCAAATATTTCATCGTCTTCACCGTAAAACCTTAAACACTTCAGAGCCCTTTTTGTCTAATTATCCAAGAAGAGTTCAAAGCTATACTTTGATTCATCAGCTTGAGAGGTTAACGAAGAAAATGTGTGGGGGTGCCATCATCTCTGATTTCATCATCCGCAACCGCGGTCAAAGCGTCTCCGCCGCCGATATCTGGCCAAACTCGTTCTTCGCTAAGATTAACGGCGGCCAGTTCGATCCCGATCCCGCTCGACTCGGGGAAAGTGGACGTGTCTCCCTCAAGAGGAGTCAACCCGTCTCAGGTATTATCCCTATGTCCCGTCGTTTTCAGATAATTTTTTCCCGTCTTTCTCCGGGTTCGGGGTTTCTTAGTGGGGGGTTTCATCGAACAGGTGGTGGGCAAGAGGCAGCGGAGAAACCAAAGAGGCAGAGGAAGAATCTGTACAGAGGGATAAGGCAGAGGCCGTGGGGCAAATGGGCTGCCGAGATTCGAGATCCGAGAAAAGGTGTCCGCGTGTGGCTCGGAACCTTCAACACGGCCGAAGAAGCTGCTCGAGCCTACGACCGTGAAGCCATCAAAATCCGTGGCAAGAAGGCCAAAGTCAATTTCCCTAACGATGACACCCATTTCACCATCAACCACCGCAAAAATGGCCAACCTTGTCACTTGAATCCACCCCCAAATTCGAACCCGATCCCAAACCGGAACTATCATCCGGTTGCAGATTCCAGTAGCACAAGTTTCGGGTTCGGCAACGGGCTGAACCAGATCCCGGTTGCCGACAGCTGCAACACGAATCCGGTTCAAAGTGGGGTGCACTCTGATTCTGCAGCGGAGGAGAATTCTGGGTCGAATTCAGCATGCGAGCCAGCGAACTCGTATTCTCCACCGGCGATCAACGGCGGCGAGACGAAGGCTAAAGAGGAGAAAAACGAGGTACAAAGGTTGTCGGAGGAGCTAATGGCGTACGAGGATTACATGAAATTCTATCAGATTCCGTATCTCGAGGGCCAATCCTCGACGGCGACGGACGCGTCTGCGCAAGTGAGCGTCGTCGGAAATCTCTGGAACTTTGAGGACGCCATGGCCGCGTCCCCCGTCGCCTCGGGCTCCGCTTAATGGTGTCGTCGATTCGTGGACTCAGTTCCGTTTATTTTTCATTTATGTGTTTTTCCGTTTTGTATTAATATTTCGGACGAGATTTTAGGGATGTGCAGAATTTGTCGGTTGGTCATATAATTGTTAATGTAAACTTCGGATTTTCATGTTTAATCATATTTACAAATATCGACTGTAATTTCCTCAGTATTTATTCCAGTTTTAAGTGCGATTTTCATATCTTAATTCCCCCTGGTTTGACTTTATTAGTTGTATTTTGTCTGTAGCACAATATAACACGTAAAACACACACACGTTACACGTACACATACATAATGGTAAGTTTGGTGAAATCGCTGGCTGAGACAAATCCAAGCGGCGAGACGCGGCGTTCGGGAGAAACTGCGGCGGCGGTATCTGTGGGCGCTCACAATGGAATAAACGACACGTGTACCATCTTATTCTCTTGCTTTCTTCGGTCGCACTTCAAGTGCGGTGACACGTCATCTCCTCGGCCAAGGCACCGTTATTCTCTGCACGTCACCCTGAATTAATTATCACTTTAATTATATTAAACTTTTTTTTTTTTATTATTGCCATATTCACATTTTGTTATACGTATGTATTTTTACTAATAAATATTTAATGGTAGATTCCATGTTATAGTTTTTTACTATTCGAAAGGGATAGATACATTTTTTGCCGTATATATACGATTTCTAATTAAAATAAAAGATTTAATCGATGTAAATCCGAGGCACGTAGACTAAAAAAAAATATAGGCATCTATGTTGTGGGCCTTGATATTTTCTTCTTGACATTCATGACTACTAATGTAAAAATCTTACTAACTAAAATGCATATCATTTGTGGCCCATTTAAAGCCCAACACGATGGCCTGAAGAATCAGAAACCCTAGCGCTAAAATCCTGGAAGAAGACGTATATATCTAAGCTGTGGCCACATTTGGCCTTCTTTTTGCCTTAGCGGCTGCTCACCGGTGGAAGGGAAGGAGCGAAGATGGTGTCGCTGAAGCTCCAGAAGCGTCTCGCCGCAAGCGTGCTCAAGTGCGGGAAGGGGAAAGTTTGGCTCGATCCTAATGAAGTCAGCGAAATCTCCATGGCCAATTCCCGTACGTTCTTCGATCGGTTCGATTTTCTCAGATTTCGTTCCTGTTTCTTCATCCTGATGATGATCGAATAGTTTATCGTTTATCCGATGAGTTTCACAATCGGTAGGAATCTTCTCCGTGTCGGAATGACATTTTAAAGTTTGTCTTGATACTCTCTCTATCTTAAACCCGAGCTTAAGCTCGTGCCGAGTTGTCTCTGCTTGTTGATGTATGCTTTGGTATCGGTTTTTGTGTAGGCTTATCGGTCTTATTTGAGTTGGAGTTGTCTATGTAGGATTTGTTTATTTCTACTTTAAAATTGGAGATCAAGATGCACATTAAGGAGTTTGATCTGTCTTTGGATCATCATTTTATAGGGTAGAGGATCATCATTTTGTCTGAAGATTATTGGCAATAGTCTATTTTTATTAGGCGTGCTCTGCTGTGTGAAATTATGGTGGTTTGAATTATGATACTCTTTGAGGTGTCTTTATTTTGTCCTCTATAGTGTTTGTGAAATGGATTTTATTACCGTCATTTTCCAGGCCAGAACATTAGGAAGCTTGTCAAGGATGGTTTCATCATCAGGAAGCCAACTAAGATCCACTCTCGCTCTCGGGCGCGTCGTATGAAGGAGGCCAAAAGAAAGGGGCGTCACTCTGGATATGGTAATTTTTTCAAAGATTGTTCCGAGTTCATTCGTCACTTTAGATCCTCGAATTCGGTCGATGTAATATTCAGTCTTGAGTTTTTTTTGGGCTAAATGGAACTGTTTCTTCATCTGTTAAGGTAAGAGAAAGGGTACGAGAGAGGCAAGGCTCCCCACAAAGATTTTGTGGATGAGGAGAATGCGTGTGCTGAGACGTTTGCTCCGCAAGTACAGGGAGGCAAAGAAGATTGACAAGCACATGTATCACGACATGTACATGAAAGTGAAGGGTAATGTCTTCAAGAACAAGCGTGTTCTGATGGAGAGTATCCACAAATCTAAGGCCGAGAAGGCAAGAGAGAAGACCTTGTCTGACCAGTTTGAGGCCAAGAGGGCGAAAAACAAGGCTAGCAGAGAGAGGAAGATTGCCCGGCGGGAGGAGCGCCTTGCTATGGTACGGCCACCCCTTCTCTGATCCGACCAAACCATCCGTACCTTGACTATTGATCAAACTTCCTTTGCAAAACATCTTTTAACATTGCATGGCTTTGCTTTGTTTTCTATTAGGGTCCAGCAGGAGACAAGGCTATGGCTGCAGCTCAAGCAGCTGCTGCCCAAACAACAGAGTAAGTTCATTTAATCCGGTGTTAGTTGAGATTGATTGTACGGATTTCAGTTGTGTTTGTAAAAACCTTGTGTTGTTCCTGGGATTTGCAGACCATCGAAGAAGTCCAAGAAGTGAAGAGAGTTTCTCGTGTCCTGATATCCCTCCTTTTTTTGCTGCTGTTTCCTAATTTTTTTTGTCTTGCTGTTGTTTCGTTGGTTGATCTTCCTAATCTAAGTTTTAGTTGTTCGTGGAGTGTTTCTTGAAAACTCAGTTTAGTTATATATAAACTTTTACGTTAAAACGTTTCAAATCCTGTCGCAGCCCTTTGACTTCATTGGATGGTGAACCTATCCTTGCCCCTTTTGTTGGCGTATTGTACAATGTATGTAAACGGGTCGATCGTTGTAAACTTATATTCACCTGAAAACACTTATTAAGGTATAATATTCGGATTGTCCAATCATGGTGACAATACAACCCTTGTCCTGTCAATCGGATTAGTTATTTACAACAACAACAAAACCATAAGTTGCGTAAAAACACTACCAGTCCCAAGGTTCCGAGTGCTTCCCGTTTCATTTGCGTATGAGCTCACTTACTCACCGTACCGTTACGTAGTTAAATAAGGTCTTTTCCAGACGGAGGTTTCGTAAAAGAAGTCTCTGTATATCTCAGATCACCAGTTCAACTGCCTGCTCTGAGATTTGACGGCCAGGCGGAGTGCGGGTGAATTGGTCGGAGGAGCGTTGCATACTCCGAGCCTGATGATGAAGGAAGTCGTGCATCCTTTCTCCAGCCCCTCGCTCTCTATCCATATGTGTCCTCCCATTAGCCCCGCGAATCTGGAAATAAAGGATAACACCCTCCTTTTATCCCAACATACGATCATGTTTGGTTTGTTGTACTGATGATATTATTATTTAAGAAAAGGAGTCTCACCGCTTGCAGAGGGCGAGTCCCAGCCCTCCACCAGCTTGGTTTCTGTGTGATCCTGTATGTGGCTGCACAAACTTTGTGAACAGATAGGGTATATCTTGCGGGTGTATACCACACCCTGTATCCTTCACCTGTCAAAGAAACCATTTTTCATATCTTCAGTTTCTATGACGATGACGTTGATGATGATGGTGCATGTATATGTAATATAAATATGTGTGGTGGCTACACCTGTACGCATAAATAGAAGTGGTTGTCACTTGGGACTGGATAGAATTCTGGGGATTGCCAATCTCTCAAGGACTCCGGTTTCAAGATAGAAGCTACGATGGAGACATATCCATCCTTGGTGAATTTCACGGCGTTTCCCATTATATTAAGAATTGTTTGCATCAGGCGTTTCTCATCTCCAACTGCATAAACTGGTAAGTCGGCCGACAGAATCAAATTTGTTGAAAGTTTCTTCACTGACGCGATGGGCTTTATTAGAGAGATTACCTGTGAAATACAACATGTCCGGGTTATTCATTCTTACGGCTATATGATAAGACACAGACACACAAAACATTACCGTCTCGTGGTAAGCATGGTATTGTCATGTGCATATATATATGGGAAAGGGTTGATTTCGTTACCTCTCCAAAGACCCCCTGGAGATTGAATGGTTCATTTTCCAAAACTAAGCTCCCGTCTTCTAGTCTGGAAAGATCCAGAACGTCACTGATGAGAGTGGCCACAAGGTTGCTATTTTTCAGTATTGTCTCGATCATGACTCTTTGCTCTGGGGACAGCTCAGTCTCCATGAGAAGTGACGACAGCGAGATAATGGCATGCATTGGAGTCCTCATCTCGTGATTCATGACAGCTAGGAAATCATTCCGAGCATGTACAGCCATCTCCGCCTCTTGACGAGCCTTATCTAAAGCAAAATTTTGCTCCATTAGCTGGTCCCGAGCGTGCATTGATTCCTCCAGAATTGCAGCATGTGAGAGAGCCACAGCCACCTGTATATAGAGAGGAAATGGGTGATTAAGAGTTGAAGTATATTTTAGAGGAAAGATTTAAACACAAAGAAATGTCAAGTGAAATCCAGAAAAAAAAAAAAAGAGGCTAAAATGCAACTTGGTGTTAACGGGAGGAGTCTTGTGTGAAAACATGAACGGACCTGATCTGCCACGACTTCAACAAGGTCCAATTCATGATCTCGCCATTTTCTAACACCATCTGCGGGGAGAATCAGGACCATGACAGCATAACCTTTTCCAGAGAGATCAGACCAATCACTGACTTGGAAATTTGAGAGATGCAAAAGAGGTACACGAACAGCAACAACCTCCGGTGGAGTGTATCTCCCAATAAGAGGTCCAATTTTAGCCAAAGGACACGTATGAGGTATATGCATTGCCTGAGCGCTATTAAAAAGTTCGTTGATTATCGGAAGACTTATAGGAACACTGGCCCCTACTTGTATTTTGTAGTTCAACGTGTGGGAAAGCTGCATATTCAGACCACTTTGAGACGGCATCCATAATGCACATTCCTCCAGGTCAAGAGTTCTACCGAGCTCGATAAGTGTGGTTCTGAGAATAGTGTGTCTGTCAAGGGTGCTTCTGATTTCATGAGTCAGCATCCTTACGTGCCTCCCTGTCTCCTCTTGGGTTAGAATAAGGCCCATTTCTCTGTCAAGCTCGTCCGCTTTTCTTTTCAGAAATGATTCCCGTATCTTGACGCTCAAAAGATCAGGGATTATGTGAACAAGCATCAATGCTGTAGCACATGACACGATTGCACACGAAACTTTTGCGATAGTCATCACAACTGCAACAGCTTTGGAGTGCATGAAAAACATCCATAGATTTATGAAGTGGGTCGCGCCACAAAGGATAATGAAAGCGCCAAACTGCATGAGCACCCACCTGTAAGGGAAAAAAGCGGATTTCTGCACAAAATATATAAGCTCCAGAGGAATGGAGAAGTATGCAACAGCAATCAGCACATCCGAGATGTACTGATATCTAACTAAGAGTTCATCCTGGTGCCCTTGTGTGTCAAAACAATCACAGGACTCCATCGGCAGAGAACAGCCCCTGCTATCCTGGTAAAATGGCAAAGAAACATCACTCCGGTGTAAATATCGAGAAATTGCAATAAGAGTGGAGGATAAAGCGTCATAAAACACGTTCAACAAATCTGTGTTGCAGGCTTGCAGCTGAGAACATACGGCAAACTCATGATTGTTCACTTGTATCATTTTGTTATCATCTGGAAGTAATTTTTGAATTCAAGAGAATACAGTCTTCAAGACAACTACAGTACCAAATAGACCAAAGCTTCACCGCGCAAGTGATTCTTCTCTAAATTTACTGGTATAACTTGACCTACCAGACGGAATATGATTTACTGCCACGAATCTGGCAATAAGCGTTCAAGATCATATAAGACGAAAAGGAAAACCAATACAACTATGCGAATCATCCAAATCGAAACAAATTATCTACGTTTCTTCCGCGTTAAACGATGCCTACAAAATCGACGCTGATCCCGTATAACCAAGCCAAATCGATCAAAGAAAACGCCGAGGCACGAAGATCGAGCCTCCAGTTCGTTTCGAAAGAATATCGAGTGATACTGCGGCAAAAACTAAATCTGCGGTCCCATAAAAGAAAATCAAATCTCCCGAACTTCCGCAGGTTCGAATCGCAAATGCAAATCGAATTCAAGCAAGAAGAGGAAGATAAAGATGAAGACGAACACGGAAGTAACGAAGAAGAGAAGACGAACCTCAGCAGCCGGAGAGGGACAAACTTCCTTTTCCTGCAGCGGAAGCTCTTTCAGAGATACTTTTGGCTGAAGTTCATGAAAAAGTAGAGACCGGCAGTGAAAATTAGAAGCGAGACGAGAGAGACTATATAAAAAGTGTCACGGAGGAGGAGTGACACGTGCGGAAGGCTGACGTGTTCTAGGTTCACACGTGCGGAGAATAGACGACGTGTCAGTTATTCATTGGATGTTACTTGGGCAAATCGATGTATTTGATAGGCCATCCCTGACATCGATCGATGTTAAAACGATCTTATTATATACGAACGGATATTTCCAAAGTTATTTATAAAATGATTTTAAAAAATAACGAGGAAACGATCTGAGGATGGATGGATATAGACACAAACTCATCTCGTGAAATTTAAATGATAATAATAAATAACAAAGAAATATTGACCATTAGTTCGGGAAAGTGAAAAAGATTTGGGGGGAGATGCAATGAATTGGACCGCGAAAAGTATTGGGGAGAGATGCATGTTTCTTTCTTTTTTCGAGCAACTGCCCCACAAAAATAAAATAAAATAAAATAAAAATAGAAAGTGGTGAGATTTGTTGGACCCAACCAATAAAAAGTAATCAAATTATATAATTATAATATACCCCCTATTGGTTCCTAAGATAATGCTTTGATAGTTACAAATCTGGAGCCTAATTTATATATAAAAAAATTAAGAAAATAAAATTATACAAAATCTCACAATGTTCTCTTCTTCCGACGAAAACGATGGCGAAGTTTGAGCTTCAGCTCTCAAAGCCTCGCTTTCGTACAGAGTCTCTGCCTTTGCCGCCCATGAACGGTCTGGCTTCCTTCAGACAATGCAACACCTCTACTTGGAGAAGGGCACATCCAAACACGGCCACCCTGTCTAATTCATCAGTCACTGGTTTGGTGTGAGAAGGAAGCTCCCATAAATGAGGGCCGAGACTCGGAACCACACATGTCCTCCATGGCTGAGTAATAAGGTCTAGGGTCCTAGAACGGTGCGGAGAGAGCCCGCGTGTCTGACCAGCCATTCTTGTCTGACTCTCGTGTGGTTATCAGAGAGCTCAAAGCACTGCAATGCACTCGCTAACGTCAGAGCCTCGCTGCTTGGATTGGAAAACCGGTTACGGGCAATCTTTGTCTTCTCTATTATCTCCTTTCTCTGGTGTTTCAAGGTTTGATCTTCGTCTGGATCGTTTTTCTCGTTCCTCTCCTTCGAATTGCATGATGAAGGGGTTTTGCAAGGTTAAAAGCAGCCACTACCGCGACTGCGTACCTGAGAATGAGATTGACCCAGGACCGGGAGTAACTTTTGATCTCTCTGGATAACTGTGAGAAGCATTCTCGAGTGGCGAGGGCTCATCGTGTAGTCGGCCATAGCTCTTCCCAACTGTGTTATGTTTCCATTGCTGTCTAGAGCTTCTAGGGCCGTAATGGCCAATGACAGAAAATTCTCAACCTGCTGCATAGAGGGAACATAAGAAGATTCGAATGAGCAAGTTTCTGTCCCAATACAAAAGAAAGATTTATGCTAAAGACCAAAGCAGGAATTATACATCTGAGGGATAAATTAAATTCAAGAAATTTTTGAGGAGCCGATTTACCTTCTTAATGCCCATGGATTTCAGCAGAAGAACAACACCAACAGGCATTTTGGTGATTCCAGGAGGGGAAAACTCCTGGAATATATTATTGAACACGGCAGATGAATAGAGGTGATAACAATGGCCAAGCTGATAAGTGTCCCACATTGGAAAATGAGAGGGATTTGGGCCAATATATAAGTAAGGGTCAAACCTCCACTCTTAAGCTAGCTTTTGTGGTGGAGTTAGGACCTAAACCTTATTAATTGGTATCAGAGCCTAACTCTCTACTTTCCGGTGGGCCTTTGACGGGCCGTTCTCCTGCGGACATGCGGTCGACTCGGTGGTTGTGGGACGGTCGGGAGAGGAACGGTCGGGAGAGGAACGATCAGGAGAGGAACGGTCGGGGATGGACCGAGAAGCCGCCAGTGATCGAGAAGCCGCCATCGACCGAGAAGCCGCCAGCGACCAGATTTGCCCCAGCGCCGTGGACGTCGCTGTCTAAAGGGGGCGGTATTGATAAGTGTCCCACATTGGAAAATGAGAGGGATTTGGGCCAATATATAAGTAAGGGTCAAACCTCCACTCTTAAGCTAGCTTTTGTGGTGGAGTTAGGACCTAAACCTTATTAAAAGCCCTGTTCTTCTGCTCGTCGACTCGCTGACGTTTAGCTAATCCACTGTATCTCATACATTTCAATACCAGTGGCGGTATCAACCACATACTTTATACCGGGAATGGTCAATGAAGTTTCCGAAACATTAGTTGCCACAACCTGTTTCACCCCAAATAATAACTGTGGGATGATAGATAATAGCTTCCATTATCTCCTGTTCCATCATCACTAACGGAAGATCTTTCCTCTTCTCTTCAACTTCGGCTGGTCTCAAAACATGGACTGTACACCTGGGCAAGCACCAGGCCCCTGAACAGAAAATTCTGTAGGAAGGCTATTCTTTTCAGCATCTACATCTTCATGACCTGCCCCATCCTGTTTCATGTCAAACCTATTAGCCATCAGATAGGAACATGCATCATGAGGGATATAAATTCAACCCTTATCAGAACTTGATTGCATAATCTCGATTTAAGTAAGAGTTGAGAAAGATCAAATTCCAGAAGCTAGGACAAACCATTCTTTTTGTAGCCTTTTTCGTCACCAAGAGGTGATGTCTCAGCGAACATTTTCGCTTCAAGCCCGTCTTCTGAACCGAGTTCATGAGCATGAACCAGCTCCTTAGTCACACATGAAGAACCCGAGAATGCATTTGGCATCTCTGTATGCTCTGATATCATCAGTCCCGTCATGCAAATGTCCTGAGCTTCATTTTTCTTGTGAGATTCATCACCATGTGGGGCAGTGAGACCAACCTTAGAGGATTGCATTGTTCTCCGTCGTTTTTCCAACTTAATTTCCGCCTGAATCGAGACAGCAATAACATTCTCTTCCTATGACTTCTGAAGATCGCGGAAGCAAGTGTGCGTCCTCATTCCTCAGTGATTTTGTATTTCCTGTATATATATAAATACCGGTTTCAAATAACAAAGTTATATAAGACAGCATTCGATAAAAAAAAAACCATAATGATAAGCGTTGTGACACACTCTAACATCTCAGGGCTTTTCGCAAACAGAATTTTGTTCTTCTTCTCTTCCTGTGACAAATGCTAACGAGGTTCAACACGGGCAGGCAGGATAACAATAGGACCTCTAGTTTCCGTTTCTGGGATTTGCTCAATCTCGTATTTTCCTTTGAATCCAGCTGCTCGGCCACCGGCACAATTTAAACAAACAAAAAATCTAGTACTGTTCAACAGAGAAGAAAAGGAGAAAAACCCGAAAATTTGTTCCAGACTTTGCTTAAAGCACCTCTATAGTGCCTTTATTTTTCTCTTTCTTTTTCTTTGCAGGCAATGCTAGTAAACTGTTATCGTCACCCACCATGCTGCCACAATGACAAGCAAAGCAAAGAGTAGACTGATTGATTCAAAATTGAAGGAGCCGGTTTGTTTGCTATCCAAAAATGTCGTGGAAACCAAAGAAAGGAGCAGCTCCCCATACCTGAATGGCTCTTCAGTTCATGCAACTTTTCAAGACAGACCTCCATCAAGCAACTGCCCCAGAGGCTAGAAGGCTAAATCAGACATAACTGTATAAGAACAGCTAGATTCCGAGCGGAACAGATTGTGAAATCAAGCAAAGTGGAAACAAATTGGACAAGGACTAATACCCAGAAACCAGAAGAACTTTGGAATAACTGGGACATTGCATTAGAAAAGCTACACCCGCAATCAGAAATTCAAGAAACTCTGGGGAAAGGAATGAAGAAAAGAAAATTGGGATAACAGGATCATAATAACAAAATCGTATTTCAGAAATAATCCAAAGCAGCCCACTCTCAGAATTTCAAGCATCAATCCAACGTGGGAATTCATAAGAGACAAGCTCAGAGAAAACGAGGCGAGCTATTTACTTGTCGGGATGGGCAAATTCTTCAGAAAACGAAACCCAACATCGGAAGCCAAAAGCAAAGAAAAGTTAAACCCTAGAACGAAGACGCATCACGGACAATAACCCATCAAATTGACATGTCGGCAAAGCACGGAGAGAATCGGAGTGGGGTACCTGGTGATTAGACCGGCAGCGGGGTCGAGGCGGGGAGAGGTTCTAACAGGTGAAAGCGCTTGGAGATCAGACAGTCTGAATTTTGAATCTTAGAACTAAACGGAACGGACAGAGGTGGAGTCGGGCTTTAAGGATTATAGGAGTCTCTAACGGGAACAGAGGTTTCTAGAAACATGATTCTCCTAGGTTTTGGGCGTGTTCTCCTTTTAAACCTAATATTTACATTTTTTTTAATCTACTTTCCAAACTTCTAACAATTAAGAATCGGATATTTACTTTCCAAATAACGTGTTCAAACCTTGCCTTAATGTATGACTATGTGTGTAATTTGTATACATATATAATAATGCTCCTCAACTTCCCTATCTCTCTCTTTTAAATTTGTATTGCTAACCTTGAAGATTTTGGAGATTAGGGTTTAGTCTACCACTAAACCTTTTTTTTTATAAAAGGCTGTATGACCTACCACTAAACTTATGGGAACTATTTCTTCTTTCTCTTCCTCTCCCTCGCCGAGATTCGAACACGACAGCCGTGGAATTATCTGCAACCCCACAAACCATCGAGCTACGAGAAGACGGCGACCTACCACTAAACTTAATTAGACAGATATTTGAATTATATATATAGCGTTTATAAGGTAACATCGATCGGCCATGGATGCGGAACAAGCTCTTGTCCTCCGAGAACCCTCCGCAACTCAAGTTTCAGACGAGTTTCCGGCGACTGTTAGGGTTCTCGTCGTCGACTCCGATTTAAACTCGTTGCTTGTCATGGAGAAGACAATGAAACAATACTCCTACCAAGGTAACTATTTTCTTTCTTTTTTTTTTTGTGGTGGAGGAGAGGCTGCATGGGATTTTAATGAACTTCAATGAATGTACTTATATGGAAATTAGGGTTTTTATTTTTTGTGTTTGGATGTTATATCTCATATATACAATGGTCACAACATCTATATATGTATGTATATGTTGTTTAAGTACTCTATATTACTCAGTAACTACACGTGATAACGCGGAAGAAGCACTCTCGTATATCAGAACGAGCAAAGATAAGTTAGACATGGTGATTTGGGATCTCCACATGCCTGGAACCGATGGACTGGAGGCTCTCACCACCACCATCGCATCTGACATGGACCTCCCCCTCATAAGTAAGCACATATATATATATATATGCCCACTTTATAATATGATAAATTCTTACCATAAAAATCGATGTCTTGATTTTATTTTGTGTTGCATATGTGGATCAGTTACGTCAAGGGACCTTGAAAAAGAGTCTGTGATGAAAGCTGTGAGGAAAGGGGCCTGTGACTATTTGCTGAAGCCCGTGAGCAAAGAGACCATTGCGGTAATATGGCAACACATTGTTCGCAAGAAGACCAAACCGGGTCTCGTCCGTACTGTTCCACGGTTAACCGACCGGACAGCTGAATTTCGAAACGATCCCAAGATTGATTTCGTAAGCAATGACGAAGAAAACAAACCACCGACGACGACGTCGACGTCGAAGAAACATCGGATGACGTGGACCAATGACCTTCACCGGAAGTTTCTAGAAGCTGTTAACCTAATCGGAATAGACAGTAATCAAATCTCTCTCTCTCTCCCTCCCTCTCTTTCATGCTCTTCTTTATGCGAATCTTTTTTTTTTAATTATTAATTATAATTATTATTTAAACGCAAACGCGAATTCAGAAGCTGTTCCAAAGGAGATCCTGAAATGCATGCAGAAGATGAAAATTCGTGGCCTCACTCGGAACAATGTCGCTAGCCACCTCCAGGTAACCCTGCCCGTTTCATGTTCGTAATGCCCTTTCGTGCGAAGCACGAAATATAAACTCTATCGATCGCTAACCCTATCGACGATGCAGAAATACCGACTCAGCCTACAGAGAAACTGCAGATTTCCAAAGGAAATTCCGAACCAAAGGCCTTTCACGGAGACGAACCCTTCGGCTTCTTCAAACCCATCGTATCTACACGATCAGAACAACGTCGTGCATGGTTTCCTCGGCAGTCACGTCATGAACTCCGCTCCTCCCGAGCTCTCTAACGGCTACATCACTGCAAACAACAATACGTTCATGATGAACAACCCTCAGCCTCTGCAACAACATCCATTCGTCGACCATTCTGTATACCCACCTCCACACCATCTGCCTGATTCCAAGTCGATGGTTCGAGAATTTGCAAACCCGATGCTTGGCGGCGACTATCCCGAGCTCATCGATACGATGTTTGAATACGGTTCCGATATTTTCCAAGATGTCTTACCCTTGCAGGTACTCCATCGTCGCTCTATGAAATAATTACATTTGAACAACTAGTTTTCTTTTAGATGGAATGAGCTTGATTTCATTGTTTATTTCCATATACAAGAGTTGTATTGTGATTTATATAACTATGATTATTTTCTTAAACGGTGTTTAGTACCATATAATAAAAGGAATGCAAGATGATACTCAAGACGATTATACTATTGGATTTAGTATATCGTTTTCATTGTTGATGAAGAAAAAAAATAGAACAAAAATCAGACTCTAATACCATATAAGAGAATATTTTTCTATATTGATGACGGTAGATGAATATAATATTTAGGATATATAAATCATAATATTTTTTTATATCAACGTCGTATTATATAGATAGTAGAAGATCGTAGATTAAATCGTAGTTCTTACTTATGTTGCCTTATTATGCAGTACCTTCGTTGAACACTGCAACACGAGCAGGGAATCATCTCGTCTTGTGTTTTTTGGATTTGAAGAAACATCTCTGATCATTTATTTATGTCCATCTACGTATCCAGAAGACTGGGAAGAACATCATAGCTGCATTTGATTTTGTAGACGTGATGATTTTCTGTTTGGCCATGGGGCCTTTTTCTCGTATCGCCATTTTTGTTAGATATGGGAAGCTTCGGGCCGAAAATAGTCCATATGAAGATACGTATGGATTTGCTTGTGTTCGGACATTCCGGGTAACTTATTTATTAGAGATCCTTCGTTCCTTTGACGAGTCCTATGTTCATTGTTTCATCCGTATCTCTTCTTATTGGATACCGAAAAATATGTGAAGAGTTTCAATTTCTATAAAGTTTAGATATTAATTTCTTCGCTTTTTATATTGGATTTATATATTTTTATCCTTAAGATAAGAATTAGGAATTCTATCGAAAAAGCTATGTTGTATATTTAAACTGAAACGATTGTCAAAAATATGACAAGGTTTTATTGCGCAAATCTTGATATTGGATATATCAATATCACAAAGTGATTATCATCACCACCCAAATTCAAACCCCATTAGACCAAATATAATAATAAAAAAAATGTCATGTAGGAACAATCCTCAACAAAAAAAATCTATCTTATATTATATATGTTAACCCTCCAAATTCAACCACGCAACCATAAATTAAGCAATTCCAAATCTGATGTAATTAAAGAACTAACGATATGGTGTCTAATTTCGATGTGATTTCATGCGAATACGTCTATTATGGAAACAGTTGATCCCATCATAGGTTTAAAAAGAGAAAAGAGCATATTATCATGGAATCAAATCACCGCACAAAGTTTCCATTTTCCTTTCAATCTAATGCAAGTATCTATAATGATGAATGCGGGTGGTCCATTCATGGCTTTTATATATTAAGTTGGTTTTATATTGATTTCAACAAATCCGAATGTAATCTCTGGGTTTTCACTTTTATTTTCATGTCACATAACAATTGAATAGGAATACAGAGGAAGAAAGGGCAGGGAAATAATCGAGGAACACCAAATCCCAAATCGAAAAATCAACGAAAAAAAGAAAAAGAATAATGGGGCAAGCCGTAAAGTTACCGAAGATGAATCAGCGCGAGTGTCCATACAAGTCGTACGGTGCCCAGAGGGTGTCGAGTGGACATGGCCGTTTCGAGTCCAGCCTTAGCCATGGCTTTCCACTTCCCGACCAATGCAGCAAGCTCACCGGACCGGGATGCATGTCCCGACAGCTTCCCCTCACGTTGTCCCCACCGAGGCCATGCTGGTTCCACCTGTGCTCGATCGGCGTTATTTCTCCGGCGAATACCAGCAGGAACGGCGGCAGCGACCCCAGCTCGTATATCCTCTTCCTCTTCTGTATCTCCATCCACTTCTCTATCTGCTTCGTGTACCCCACGCGCCTCCATTTCCCCAGATCCATCACCATCACTCCCGTGTTGAAATAACACGGTTTTCTCCCACTGAACGCGCCGGAAAACCTCTCCTCCGACCAGAACGCCGGGGTGAAATATTTGGTTAAGTTGGCGTGGCAGTATTCCGGCGCCCCGATCGTTTTCGAACCCAATCGCGTCCTCCACAGCTTTGCTATATCATCGACTACGATGAGATCGGAATCCAGGTAGATCACTCGCCGCACGCAAGGTTCCAAGAGGTCAGCCAAATAATTCCGAGCGTAATTCAACGGTTGCTCAAGCGCTTGCCTCACCGACGTGGAGATCAATCTCCGCACAATCTCAGAGTCGAAATAGTAAACCTTAAACTTCAATTCGGGGAAAGTGGAACGAACCAGGGATTCGAGGTCCGTTTCGGAGACGAGGAAATGGAAGAAAACGCTCTCGGGGCAGGCAGAATGCCGGAGAATGGAATGGACAGCGGCGACGGAGCCGCGGAGGTACTCGACATCGAGAGTGATGGCGACGTGGACCAATGAAGGGTTGCAGACGCCGGAGTCTCCGTCGGCGGCGGCGCAATCGGCGGCATTGCGGAACGGTGGGGCCTTCCTGAAGGAGAAACGCTGAGGCTGGAGGAGCGACGCCGGGAAGCGAAGGTCGGCGTCGAGGTGGGAGGATCTGATGGCTTCGGCGGGAGGGAATGACTGGAGCGACGGTGAGAGGACGATCATAACCATGGCGACGGAGAAGAAGCCGGAGAAACGCATGATCCAGAGCATCCCGAGATCACGAATCGGTTCTCCCCGCTTCTTCTTCTTCGTAGACTTGAAATAAACCCACCGATCGGCGGCGATGGAGGCGAGACCGCTTCTTCTTCTTCGTAGACTTGAAATAACCCCACCGATCGGCGGCGATGGAGGCGAGACACGAACGAAGGAACGCTAGGGTTCCCCTGAGGTCCGCCAGAGTTGAAATTCAACACAGAGAGACGAACCCCAAAATGTGAATTTATTTTATTTTTTAAAATTTCCTGGTGAATCAAAAACCGTGGATTCGAAGCGACCTGAGACGGGAGAAGAAGAGATGGAAAAACGAAGAAGAGGGCGCACGTTAGGAGGGGCGCTGCTACGGTGCGCCACCGTGTGCTTTACCCTCCTCCCTCCCTCCCTCCCCTTCTCTCTCAATTTTAGTATCGATTCCTCTGAAGACGACGATGGAGGAGAGAGAGAGAGAACGATGGATGGAGTGATAGATAGAAAGCGAGCGAAGGAGATAGAGAGATTTTCCTTTATTTTCTCCCGAGCCAAACAGACTTAAATTTTAATTTTAGTTGAATAATACATATTTTCATCCCATATTTTAAAAATTATACCAAATATTTCAAATTTATGTATTGTATATTTTCTGCATTTTCAAGCGATTTGTTTCCCCTCCTAAGAGAATATTTCCATTTAATTCGAAATATTATTCTTTTAATATATATATCCACCCAACATTTTTCTTTAATATGTTCAAATGCTATTTGGTAAAAAAAAGATTTACACATTATAAAAACTAGAAAAAATCTTGAAAACGTGGACTAAATATCGTAAGAAAATGATATGAAAATTAATTACGGTATCACGCACAACAATTATGTTTACAAGAACGTGTTAATTAAATACTAGGCCCCTATATAATTACAAGCCCGAATCAGGTGAGGCCTGATATCTTAATTTCAGCCCATACTCAGCCCAAACCAGTTTTTTTTACACCCAATTCAATAGATGTCTACTAGTGAGACAAATTACATTTTTTTAAAAAATTTTCTGCTATATAATTGTTGTCACAATACATGCTTTAATAGACATATGTGCTAGAAAATTGTTACAAAGTAAGGCTTTTGAATTATCTTATAACGTCTTTTAGAATGCGATCATATATAAGAAATTCCAACATAAAATTCGAGATTTAATACAAGAGCAAAATTTAAAATTCAAAAGTAATAATATAAAGGGTGGGAGAATTAATTATTTGGGCGATGTCAGCGATGACGGTCGGGGGACATAGATGCCGCTCTGGACGTCATTAATCGCCTCGAATAATAAATCCCAGCAGTAAGAAGTAAAAAGAGACAGAGGCAGTAAACAGCGGTAACAATTTCGTTACCTAACGACGGGTCGGACCAGATCGGAGGCGAGCTTGGGTGTGTCGCGGTGCATCAGATTCCCCTGTGCCATCAATATCGACTTGTAAATCTCCACCAGCATCTTCTCGTCGTACTCCTTCAGGACGGGCCCCGACCCGAACCCGGATCCGACGTGGCCGGATGCTCCGATGACCCGAGAGTTCGCAAGCCGCAGCATCATCTTGACGTAGGCGTCTCGGAGCCAGACGAGAAGCCTCTTAGGCGACGCCGTTTTCAAGATTCTAAGCTTTGGCACTATCTTTATCCTCCAGAATCTCCTCTTCCGGGTCGAATACGGATCCATCTTGACCCGTTTCACCTTAACCCGACCCGTTTCCGACGACCCGTCGAGCCTCTTGTATCCTTTCCATCTCTGCCAATACATCTTCCGCCTGATATCCATCCCCCTCTCTCTCTCTCTCCACGATCTACATGTACATATGGATGCAGTATGCGAGCGTATGTATATTCGTATATGTATTTCAGGGCAGAGAGAGAGAGAAAGAGAGATAAGGAGCGAGAGATTAATGGAGGGTTTTTTATAAATGGGTAGACACGTGATAAGGGGACACGCATCTATATGTTTTTGTACATATGTGTGTATGTATTCATTCATTTATGCGACTATTGGTTGTGCAAATGCAAGTTTACGTAACACAATGGCCCTTCTCGGGTAGGGACGAGACAACCACATCATCGCCGCGTTATTAGAAACGGGTTCCTAACCCAACGTTATATAATGAAAACACGTGACATTTTCCATATATAATCCCTCAATTAATATATATAATATATATATATATATATAATTGTCATGTACATTCGATATATACGTACGTAGACTAACAGTGATGGTGTAATAAAATTCACTTGACAACTTTGAAAGAGCGTGAAAGAAATACAGAGTCGAAGGTCAAAAATAAAATAAAAAATTAAAGAGAGACCGGCGTTCGGGAGTGGGCGGTCGCTGTCCTAATAAATGCAGACGGGTGATACTTGCCTGTTCTGCCACCTCCCCCTTTCGAATCCTGACCGTTGGATCTGTCATGCAATGCATTATTGTGAATTTGTCAAGGCGTTCACTCTTTCTTCTTTCATCTATTATTTAATGCCCATATTAATTTTATCACGTTCGGCCTAATTAATTAATTGTCTGTTGAAATGCGAGTCAAATGTGGTATTCCTTTTTATTATCTGTTTGGTGTTATTTGAGTTCCTAATAAATTCGACGTACCTCTAATTAACAATGCACATTCCTTGTCTAATTTATCAGATGATATTTAGGTTTATATATTTCCGTATAACCATCATTTTTGCGTGAATTGTGTGTTTTTAATAGATTTTGTGAAATTAGAGAATGATTTACGACCGATTTAATTCGGTCCGATTATTCCATTCCATGTCTCTCGATGTCATCGGAGTTTTCCACGTGGCAGATGCGTAAACGACGGGGACAGATTCGAAACTTCCGAATGAACACGTTTTAATCTGATACCGCTTTTTAGTTTGTTGATTTGAGATTAAAAAAATAAAAATAAATTTTCACTTGAAAAAAAAAGTGAAGAAGATAATTTTTTATTCCATCCTATGCCCAGTCGACAAAATCCCGTATTCTGCTCCTCTTCTCGCGTGGACATACATACATACGTACATACATACATACATACATACATACATACATACATGGTAGATCCACCGCTGCGTCAATGTCAGATGATTTTATTTATTAATTATAATGCATGGTGATGATTCCAATGTAAATTTTTTATAAGGGAGACGTGCCTTACAAATCAACATTTCCTTTATATTGCTAACTTGTTTATTAATATTAGTAGTATATTATATTTTGATATTTTAAATAAAAATATAAAAAAAAAATATACAAATCATTGTCCAATTGGTTGAATCGATTGACCCGCGGCCCAATAGCCTAACCGGAGTATTATATAGTCCATTAGAACCCATTCCAATATATTTTGAGCCTTTTTTTGGTTGTTAATTGTATCTTATGTATCTACGGCCCATTTCTAGCCCATTTTATTATGTTTTAAGCCCATTTATTAGCGGAGAGTACTAAGGGTCAGGGCATAAACTAACGGGAGCCGATTGTACGTTTTTGTAATAAAATGAATAACAGAAAAACTATAATAAATTAGAAGGTTTTAGTCCGACAGGTGTCACGGAGCATCCGAGGCTGTCCAGATTTATTATAATTACAGATCGTATAAATTTAACATATATTTATTACAAATCGTCCCTCGACTTCATGTTCGTTTCAGAAAAAAACCCCAAAAAAAGAAAACGATCGCGGAAACCGCCAACGCTAACTCTCGGACGTTTTCTTTTAGACCAGAGAAAGATAGAAATACGGCTCATAGAATTTATCGCCCGTTCACGTTTTTGCCTCTTCCATTTTCTCTTCCTCTCTCTAGGAACATCCAATCGGGAACCCTACCGGTTCTTTTGATTCCGGCGAGGAAGATGGACGGGTTCGGATCGGGTCAGAGGCCGCACGCCGCTGATCGGAGGACGGAGATCGTGAGCGGCAAGGGGTACGGCGTCGGGGCGAGTCAGATCTACGCCACGCGGTCGAGCTCGTCGGATCTTCCTCCTCCTCCACCGCCGACGGAAGCGCCGCGTGCGAGCAACGCGTCGGCGAAGCCGTGGGGGTTGAGCGACGCGGAGATGAGGAGGAAGAAGAGGATCGCGAGGTACAAGGCGTACACGGTCGAAGGGAAGGTGAAGGCATCGCTGAGGAAGGGGCTTCGTTGGATTAAAGACAAATGCTCTCAGATTGTCCATGGATATTAACCAGCTGACTTTTTTCCTGCACCGGCGGGTTCGATCGGAGGAGGAAACTGTGCATGCGGTGTTTTACGGCGGGATAGGCGGCGACAATCTGCGGCGGCTAAGTTTTCCGATGTGATTTCCGGCTGGATAGGCGGCGAGAATCTCTGGAGAGAGGGAATTGGTCGGTGAAATGGGATTTTGAATTTTATTTGTTTACCAATCCGATTCGGGCAACTTTGCATTTTAAACCCAAAAAACAAAAACTTTGCATTCCACAGATTATTTTTCGTCAAAGCTTGTGGCGTTTTCGCCGCTACTCAGAGAAATTTTCCTTCCGTGTTGAGAAATCTTTTTCTATTCATTCAGATTCTGGGAAAATTTTAGTGTTCATTGGGTTTAGAGGTTAACAGAGAATTTTTTTTCCTTTGGTAAAGAAATATCCAAGTCAGAATATATAGGAAATAGAATGAGTTAAGTTAGGTGTGCAGGAGAATCCATTTGGACATCCTAAGATGTCTCTATCAACAGATTTTGTCATTTTGAGATGGTTAGAGACATTCCATCAACTCGCTTGAAAAAAATAAATACTTCACATTTAAAGTATTATAACGTTTATTTGCTTCCAAAATGCATTTGGTTAAAAAGTTCAACAACTGCAACTTGGGAAGAATTCAGACAACCGAACCAAGTTCCATCTCAGCCGCAAGAAAGAAGACTATTACAGTTAAAGCCGGTCCACTTCAACCAGATATTCAAACCAAACCCAATATTATTCAGCATAACCAAAAATTAGACAAAACCTGCCCCCTCCCTCATCCAAACCTCAAAAAAAGACACTGGTTCCATAACCATGCTTATATGGTTTACACAGGAAAAAAGCTTTAGAGATAGCTTACTCCTTCGCCGTCCATAACCTCCCCGATGCGATGAGCAACGTAAGCTCCTCTCCCGGCTTCTCCAAGTATTCTATCCGCCGCCTCTGGACTCACCACCATAACCATTCCTATTCCCATGTTAAATGTCCTTCTCATCTCAGCATCCTCTATTCTTCCAGCCTGTAACCATTAACCAAATATAATGGCATTTGTTCATGTCATGTGATGCAACTTTCTCTGATATGTTTGAGAAATATAGAATGATTTTACCTGTTGGATCCATCTGAACAGAGGTGGGATTTCCCAGGCGTCGGTGTGAATAACAGCACCAAGCCCATCTGGGAAGACTCGAGGAATGTTGTCTGTGAACCCTCCACCAGTGATGTGGGCTATGCCCTTCACTCCTCCTTTGCTGATTATGTCGAGTGCCTGCAAACAGATGTGAAATTATATGATGCCTCAGAAAACTACCATTAGGGTGTCGGCTTGTTGCATAAATTCCAGACTGACCTGCTTCACATATATGACGGTTGGTGCCATTAAAGCCTCGCCTAGTGTCCCTGATCCGCCCGGAAGTTGGTCTTTCAGAGAAAGGCCACTCCGATCCACGACCCTGAAACAAATTGTTTGGGTCTAATTATTAGGATGCGATATGGTGTTGAGGGCAGAGCTGGATGGTCGGTAGCCAAAAGCTTGATCAAGCATTTTCGACATCATAATGATTTTACGGTAGAAAGCATGATAGCTGCTGCCAAAGGGAGTCTGACCAGAACTACCTTCTAACGAGCGAGAAACCATTCGAATGAACTCCACTAGATGGGAGTCCAATGAGGACATCTCCTGCCACAATGGTTTTCCCATCTATGACCGAATCCTTCTTGACAATGCCTACTGCAAAGCCGCTAAGGTCATACTCCCCATCTGCATAAAAGTCGGGCATTTCCGCTGTCTAAAACAAAAACAAAAAACACATTTAGCAAGACATAACACACATGCTACAGGCGAGGAACACAATTGGGTATGTTTGAAGCGTACCTCTCCCCCTAGTAGAGCACATTCCGATTGTCTGCAACCATCAACAATCCCTTTAATGACCTGGAAACAGAAAGCTAAACCCATCAGTCCAAAACTTTCAGCTTCTTCATCAGCTTTTCAATGGAGATCCTAATCACACCAAGCCTTACGAAACAAACACCACAACTTACAGGAATACCAAAAACCATACAAGAAAAAACCCAATAAGAGCCAAGGGTACCTTTTCTGCAAGATCAACATCAAGACGACTTGTAGCAAAGTAATCAAGAAAAAACAGAGGCTTTGCACCAGAAGTAACAATGTCGTTGACACTCATTGCAACCTGGGAAGAGAAAAATCCCCTCAAAACGTAAATTGCTGATGTAAAATACACGAAAATAAAACAAAGATCCCACTCGCAATTATACCAAATCGATTCCAATGGTATCATGGATCCCTGTCTCAAAGGCCAGCTTAAGCTTCGTTCCTACACCATCCGTACCAGCGACAAGATAGGAATCACCTGCTCGACAAAGCCGCCATGAAAATCTCAGCACAAAGGTTCCGAGGAAATGAAATGAAACAAATGATCACACAGTGAGCTACACCCATCAATCAATTCACACCAAAATTTTGTTTCCAGTGACTAAATTGGATACAACAGAAGTAAAAATTTGAACTAAATCAGAAACCTTACCGAGTGGATAGAGACCACCGAAGCCGCCGATTCCAGGAGCCATCTTGGCGATTCTCCGGACGAGTTCAGTCCCGGCGTCGATATCCACACCGGCATCCTTATAAGTGAGACCACCTGCTCCTGCGTCGCTATCCGACATCGACAAGCAACGCGTGCTACGGACCCTAGTCCTCGCCCCACCACGCAGAAAAAGACCCGCTGACAGATCTTTCGGCGAGGCGGGAACACAACGAAGCCGGTTGACGGTGCCGGAAAACGAAGGTCTGATCGGCGCTGCTAAACAGCGAGAAGAAGACTGTGCGACGAAGTTGGTGGTGGCTTCCATGGTGGAGCAAAACTTTTTTTTTTTTTTTGGAATTTCGGGAAGGAAAGAGAGGCCCGAGAGAAAGGGTTTAGGCTAAACTCTGAGATTCTAGGTGAGAGACCGAAAGAGAAAGGGCGTAAATTAGCGTGGAACCAGGGTTGGTGTAGGATTCATCTCTATACATTTCCTTTTCAGCCTTTATCACAAATCATGGAAATTAGTGTACGTGTGTATCTAAATGCATAAACCCATAAACCATGTAAAGATCGATTTTCCATTTTTCGGTCCAAATGAAAAAGAAGAGTAAACCCGGCCCAATGGGCTTGACCCACTAAATGTGTAGGAATGGTAAGGCATGGGGAACTGTGATTTTTATTATTTTTTTAAAAAGAAATTGCCTTATGGGGGCGATCACACCCAGCAACAGCACGTGCCGCCACGTCTTGTCCGGTAACAATTATTCCTGAAATGCCCTCTACCGGTTTACTCATTTGCCCAATTGCCCCCCACCCCGTTCTTTTGATTTAATTTTTGTTCGTTATTTGTCTCACTAAAAATCTAGATACTTTATTAGTATTTATTAGAATTATAAAATATTATAATAATTTAACTCAACTAACCGCAAAGTCAAGACCTCAACTACCTCTGAAGTTTACATGCAAAATGTGAGTTAAATGTTTTGATAAATTGCATCATTGAAAACAATGGGCAACAACATTTTTTGGAGAAAAAATAAGGATAAGCTGCAAATATACTGCACTCCGAGGGCAAATGTGTAATTTCATTTCTTAGGGGGGGGTAGAATCGAAACTATACAAATGGATGGACGTACATTAAAAAAAATGGGTATATTATATTCTATTGGATTTAGACTGTGGAATCCCAGGCAACTACAATAGCACAACCGCATAAAATAAAAATCCAATTAATATTAAAAAGATAATAACATTGTTACTTGTTGTTCCAAATATTAAAAAGATAACTACTTTGATATAAAATATTAATTAACGGTTCGACTAATGGAATTTTTATTTTATCGGATTAAAAAATTAAAAAAAAAAAAGGTAAAAAGCGGTCTGCATATATGTAATGGCCGTCACCTCGCTCCGCGCGCTCTCTGAGCAGAAACATTAACTTGTAAAACAAGCTAAAAATCCCCCAGCCACTGTCCCATCTATCTTCTTCTTCTTCTTCTCTGTTCTTCGTCTCTCTCTCTCGTCATTGTCATGTCACAGAGCTTCGGCCATGGCGACCCTGAGCCAACCGACTCTTCTGAGATGCCTCGCTTCAGCGACGATCTTGGCTCTGCTTGCTCCACGCCTTTCGTCAGCGCTCCGTCGAGCCCCGGCCGTGGTCCCTCTCCGGGATACTTTTTCAGCGCTCCGGCGAGCCCCATGCATTTCGTCCTGTACTCTGCTCCGGCGCCCGCCGCTCGTGCGGCCCCGGAGTATCCGCAGCTCGACTCGTCGTCGTCGTTGTGCGACTTCGAGTTCGACTTCTCATCTCGGTTGTCAGAAAGTGGTCCCCTCGGCGGCGGATCCATGAGCTCTGCCGACGAGCTGTTCTCGAACGGTCAGATCAAGCCGATGAAGCTTTCATCGCACCTGCAGCGGCCTCAGATGTTGTCGCCGCTGCTGGATCTGGAGACTGAGGAGGAAGACAACGAGGACGGTGAAGTGGTTAAGCGAGGGAGAGATCTGAGGCTAAGGAGCAGATCTGTTCATCGTAAGGCAAGATCCCTCTCTCCGCTGCGGAACGCAGCGTATGAGTGGAACGAAGAAGAAGGTGAAGAAGAAGGACGGGCCGGGGAGAGAGAGGTGAAGGAATGCATTCGGAAGCTGCAGGAAGATTACGAGCAGGAGAAGAAGCAGAACGAAACCGTACCATCGGTTGAAACGACGCCGTCGTGTTCGGCGTCATCTTCCCGGTCGTCGTCCTCCGGTAGAAACTCTAAGAAGTGGATATTCCTCAAGGATCTACTGCACAGAAGCAAAAGCGAAGGTAGAGGGAACGCGAAGGAGAAGTTCTGGTCCAACATATCCTTCTCTCCTTCCAAAGAGAAGAAACTGAAATCTTCATCTCTGACCATCTCCAAGGAGGAGAAACCGCTTCCCTCGGCGGAGGACGCTGCAGATGCAAACGCAGTCGCCGAAACGCAGAAGCAGAAGCAGAAGCAGAAACAAGCGCCGGCGAAGAAATCTGCGGCTTCCGGAAAACCGACGAACGGCATAGCGAAGCGGCGGGGTCTGCAGCCGTCGGCGCACGAGCTGCATTACACGGCGAACAGAGCTCAGGCAGAGGAAATGAAGAAGAGGACGTACTTGCCGTACAGGCATGGGCTCTTCGGCTGCCTAGGGTTCAGCTCCAAAGGTTACAGTGCCCTAAACGGATTAGCCCGGAGCTTGAACCCAGTCTCATCCAGGTAATCAAATCAAGCCATTAAATCCCAATTACATGTTATAATCCGCTGTATAGACTTTGGTTTCGGGGAGGAACCTAAGCTTAAGCTCATGCCTACAATAGTCTTATGTAAGATATTACTGTGCCCATTGTTAGTTAGGCATGTTTTAGCTGCTGTCTGTGATTCTGTATTAGTTCATCATGGGATGTGGGCATTAGTTTCCGCCATCGACGAATGGGGGATATGTGAAGCCTCTGCCTTTCATGCGCTGTTTTTACGCCTTAAATTAAATCCATTAGCAAATAATTTTTCCAAATTTGTGATTTTTCTATTAAGAATCTTAAATCGGAGAGTACCGTACTACGTACCCAATAACTCTCTCAAGCCGTGCAATAATTTTTGTAAACTGCGAGCCTCTATTCGATTAGTGGGAAGATGGGGCAAATGGTGGGGGTGTCTGTGTGTGGGAGCATCTCCAGGAGCTTTGTCTTCTTGTTAACCTTTTGTATTCATGTGGGTCGAACTGCATCTTTCAGTCTATCTTCTTCATTTTTTATACTTGTTTATCCTTTTTTTAAAATAAAAAAAAATTATAAACCACAAATCATCTATACATCTGAACCCCACCCATGACCATTTCCTTTACCATGTTATGAACTAATCCTCCTATTTTGGTTTCACTGCATATGTAAACATTTCCTTTAGCCATTGTCTTTTAACTTTGTTCTTGTCATAACATCAACCAAAGAAATCTGAAGCTCAGATCTTGTTGGACCTAAGAGCGACGGTGGTAAATGTAAAAACCTAGAAAGTAAATTTAGGAATCTTTCCAATTACCTTTTACCCACCAATATACATATACATATATATATATATATACAGGAATCTTTGGTATTCACATTGATGCAAAGTAGCTGGTATTTCTTTTTCTTTCAATTTTTCAGTGTCCTTTGGTCGGATGGTACAAAATACATTAGCTGTCTAAAAAGAAGTCTGAAATATAAAGATTTCACACATGGGGTTGTCCCATGGGGGTCTGATGCTGCATACTATATATATGTATGTATATGTATATGGGTCTCTGTTTATCAGATTATGGATAAAACCCCACACGAGGATGGGTTTATATGAGTTGTCCTCTCGATAAAAGAGTTAAAACAATAGAGGCCCATGCTTTTTATGACCCAAAGCCCCTCTTCTCCTCCTCTCTTGTCATGACAATGATGTTGATATCGGGGCTTTTATTTCTCGTACGGTTTTATTATATCCCCAAATTTATGAAATCTGTACCACTTGATTAATCTTGGATTTCTATTATCTTATGAAGTGATACAAAAAACAAAATCATTGCGTAAGTAATGATTTTCGAGCCTTCGACCCAGTTACATCCACTCTAGACTCGAGACTCGAGATCACTATTTATATATGGATCATTTGAGTTCAAAAATTGCATCTCTCTCCAGAAATCGAACCACCACCGTCACCAACTAGCTGTTGTTTGGCTGTCTAAGTAAATTGTTGACGTACTCGTTTTAACCGTCCGATACAAACCCATATATATATATATAACGGATGGAACCGTGGTGGTTGGGGAAAATTACAAAGGAGACTGACATGTTGTCGAATGACATGGGACCTTTGACGTGGCCTTTTTTTTTTGTATGTACCGAAAATATATGGACTTGTTTAAGAAGTTGTATGATATGGTTATATATGATCTTAGGATAAGGTGATGAATGAAAGAGGGTTTAGGGCCACTTTGCCTTGACCATATTGCAAACAGGCAATGGGTGGATAAGTCATTTCATTGGACACCATGAAATGAATGCCTTCAGGAGCTATATCTCTCTCTCTTAATTACCGTGACATCAGTTCATGTTGTGGGGAATATTCCACTTGTCTCCCAGGGGTATGCTAATGTAACATTTTATCATTCCCTTGTAAAAATGACACTCATATTTAAGAAAATTTACTAAGCAGCCATATGCCATGACCTCAGAGGAAAGCAACGTTTCGCTGAGACATCATGTCTTGATAATATTCGAATTTGAACTTCGATGGAATAAATTTTGATGGAACAAGGAGGACAACCCGGATTAAATGGCATTGATGAGGATATATGTATATTGAATTGAGGTGGCTATCACAGTGAACGTGTGCTCTATGTGTATGTGGTTCATTATCTAAAATATCTTCTTTTTATTAAAACTATTTCAATACATATCATTCTCCAGATTTGACCATGTGAACAAAATAACTGTATGATCACATTGATCATAACGTTAAATTTATGATAATCACATTAAATTATAATGGATACACATTACATATTACATTAATCGATTGGTGAAATCATCATAAATTTAACATTATAATTTATGTGACCATACTGGAATTCTAATCACACCGTCATATTTGGAGAAAAGTAAGTGTAGAAGTAGACGTGGCAAAAGGATGATATTTTGAATATTTTATCATTTATGTATGGTCCGACATAGACGCCAAAGAATATGATGAGAGTCCTGTTCCCTCACCCTCCCAATTCAACCGCTTCTCACATCTAACGGGAATTACACCGACGCCCCCATTAAGCCTCATAGCAAAACTTACCATTACTAAACTAAAAAAACTAGAAAAACAAATAGAAATAATGGGCTTGATATAGACTTTAAGGGATCGGAAATGTGATCTCAATATAATAAAAAAAAAGGTACAAAGTTTTTGAGGTTACTAGTTCGAAAGAGTTGCTCGGTCAGACAATCAAACATAGATCCAGACAGAATCTATAATCTCATCATCACTTCCCCTCCCAACTAAGACTGGCTACTCTCTCTCTCTCTCTCTCTCGGCCGAGCTTTAAGAAGAAGCGAATGAGGACAGGATATTTCTCTTGAGGGTGAACTCATCCGCTTTTGCCGGGCTAATAGCCTGTACAACACCACAAACCCACCAAAAAAAAAACAGAGAGAGAGAAGTCAGATCTCTCTCATTGTGCTCTGGGTATGGTGCCCAATGAAATGGCTCGTTTGGCCAGCATGCACATAAAACATATACATGTGTGGCTGTGTATACACTTGTTTATGTATGGCTCTGGAACCAGCTATATAACTCGGATAGAGAGGATATGTTTGCATATGCTAAATGAGTATGCGTGTCAGCATGCATATGTGCGCGGATATAGACGAAAACATGATTGGATACTAAACTAGTTTGTACCTTGCTAAGCATGCGTTCAAGGCGCTCAACTTCCTTACTAGCGTAGTCAGAACCTTTTGCCATGTAATTCTTAGCAAGCTTCGAGTAAATCTGCCCATACCTACACAAATCCAGATCCAGAGATTTCGGCTATCACTTACCAGTGAACTGAACAATCCATCATCCATGGCAAGGAGAGAGAAAGCAGTCATTCTAAAAAAAATCACTCAGACATTAGCTAGATACCTCACAGAGGAGCCCTTGAGCTTAGCAGCTTCTTCTTCAATCTTAGATAAAATTGCCTTCTTCTCATCATCACTAGCAGCCACAAACTCTTTCACAAGGGCATCCAAGCTTTCCACTATACCGGCCTATCGAGAGAAAAAACAAAGCCATAAGCAAGTTATAGGAAAAGTTAAAACTACTTGGGGTATTGTAGACATGTTACTAACCTTTGAAGTGAGCTGCCCTTTACTGTCCCTGCTGATGCCAGCCTTCTCATTGATGAAGCTTACAAAGTCGTCTAAATCCCTCCCACCGTCATAGTCTTCACCAGCTTTGTTGTTCTTTGGGAAAAATTTCAGCGTTGGGAACCCGCTCACCCCATACCTGTCCATAAGGATCGTGTCTAAATCTCAGGTCTTACAAATTGCCTAGGATACACATTACTAACAAAAAATTTTGTAACAGTAACACTAGTGGTTACTGAGTAAATCGTGGTAAACTTACTTCTCACCAAGATCTCTGTGTTTATCAGCATCCACATTAGCGATGACCACCCCTTCCTCTTGCTTAAACACCGCTGCTACTTTCTCATATGTCTGCACACGCAGATGACGGAAAAAGAGACGTGTTTACAACAAAGAGAAGATAAGAACTATTGACAGATCAAAAGCAGGCAAGCAGGCAAGCAGGCAATCGAGCGTACAGGAGCAAGGGATTTGCAGTGGCCACACCTGGAAGAAGCGAATTGGAATTAGAAGAAAATATGAAAGCAATTAAGCAGAAAATAAAACGGAAGAAAAGAAATTCAAGAAGATAAATTAAATTAAAACCTAAACTATTATCATGGCGTTGAACAAGCTGAAATGGTTACCATGGTGCATAGAACTCGACCAGGACATCTTTGTTCTCATCCAGAACAATCTCATCAAAGTTATCAGGTGTCAATACCACTACGTTTGATGGGATTGAAGCTATCTTTACATTGGTACCTGAAAACAGATTCCACGAGTACTTCAGCCAAGTTGTTTGGCACCAATAACAGTAAAGAGCAGAAATTTATCTAGAAACAGTTGTGATTTCTTAAAGCAAGATTCAGACAGCGAGAAATAGAAGGAAAATGGGATACGAAGAATATCGCCTGCCGATTCTAAATGAAATTACTTGCAAAAAAAGTTGCCAGGAAAGAATAATTACCTCCTTCATTGTTCACAAACTCAGCCAATGCCTCAGCAGTGCGGGCACCTTCGTACCTGTTAAGTCAGAGGCAAGAGCTTAGAGACCTAGAGAACTACAAGTGAAAATAATATTTTAAAAAATGGCTTTTTAATGTGTTTTTTGATTTGTTGGTGAAAGCTCACTTTTTGGGTTCAAGAGATCCTTTTGTAAACCATTGAATGGTCGGGTACCCAGAAACACCATATTTACTGCATATGCTCTTGTGCTCATCACAGTCCACCTGCACCAGAGTAAACAAGTCAATAGCTGCATGTGTAGTTTCCATTAGCAACATTCAGAAATAGTAAAACGTTAATGCCGAAAGACAGCACCAACCTTTCCGATCAATACAGATTTAGCTTTCTTGAAGCTTGCACCAAGCTTTTCATACTCCGGGGCAAGTTTCTTGCAGTGGCCACACCTGTCAGGGCACAAATAGTTTCACATTCCAAGTTTCTTGCAGTGGAGACAGCATAACCCCTACTGCGAAAATCAGATACTCTCCCAGAATTTATGTACACTCAGGGCCATTAGCTGGTGGAGCTTCCTCCATAAAAAAACTTACGCCAGAGGCCATCCCACGCTTCACAGCCATTTTCGTACACCCTAAGGAACATTAAACCAATTCCTGCTCTTCCTTTCCAAATCTATAGGTGGTGCCCCGTAAATGAAACCAAGTAATCAACTTGTAAGACTCAATTTCAGCACACAAAATTTAGACAACCAAGTGACCAACTTGTAAGTCTCAGTTGCCGCATGAGAACACCTCCGATAATACCAAATAAATAATAAGATGAGTTCCACAAGCAGCTTCCAGTTGAAGTTTAATCGTTACCACGCCTATCAATCCAGCACAATGCCGACACATACAAAAACTTCTTTTCACAAAATCGAACAGAACCCACAACAGATCAACAACGAATTGAACAAAAACAATGGCTACCAATCCCTGAATTCACATATACTAAGATCGAACCGCCGGCCAAACAGACGATCGGAAG